ACCCCCAGAATTCCCATAACAGGTTCATCTCAACACTGATCTCATAGAGTAGGCACGCAAATCCCTAAGCTATATAGATTCAAATCTTCGTTGAATCTAGAAACATCTCCGAATCTTATATGTGTATCAGCCTTTACCCCGCAGGAAGGCTGTCGAGCCTATGACCACCATCATTGATGGTTTCTTTAATAGTATCTCGACTCGATTCATTTGCAAGACAGTTGCCGGCTTGCCATAATATCGATCACCCTGTCTACATTGTGCAACTTGGCTTTGTCAAAAATTGTAACAACACATTGTATTCTTGGAATACAACACGTTCAAGTGTTCCCGTAGGAGACTTGGGTATCTCTCGCAGGCACCTCGAGATAAAGGCGTAGAAACTAACTTTCGTCAGCCACCACAGGACCAGTTACGGCATTTTTTTGAAAGCGCCATCGCAAGAAAAAATGAAACGAAGCTTTGGAAGTTTTTCAAGTGAGACCTCACTGCTGCTGACGATGCGCATCAAAAAGAAGAAATTGACCATGCCATGCACGGAACATGCAGCACAATTCCAACAACAACAACAACAAACAAACATAGCCATACCAATATCTCCACACATCCGTTATGGTGATGTGGGAAATCAACCATCACCACATCATCAAACAAGTATTTTGCAAATTTCAACACAAGATCAGTTTCTTGACTCTATTTGTGGATTTTATCACTTTATAAGACCTAAACTTCGCGAATGTGATAACTCTGATCCGAACAATAATTGCTGTTGCATAACACAATGTCAATGGCAACGGAAATTCGGAAAGAAATACACTCTATCTATTTATAGGAACGAAACTCTACAAAACTATTCGTTTGAAATTATTGAATCGAATATGGGGAAGGAAGGGAATCCTGAACAAATTACTGTAATTGATGGATTCGTAGAGAGCGAACCCTCCAATAATACAAGAAAAATTATACTACAAATTGATCGACAAACAAATTATAGACCTCTTCATAATCAATGTGCTCTGATGAAGTTTTCGGAACAAAAAATAGACTATCGGTGCGAGGCTAAATTCTTTCCTAATTGTAATATATCAAATATTTCAAGACGAATGATTACTTTTGAAATCATGAATTGTAGACTTTACTTTGGAATGGTGCAATAGTGTAATAATTTCCATGCATGAAACTATCGGTTACTGATCTTGGGGATTAGGTATCTTTTCGAAAATTGACATGAATTGCACTTGTACTCTGTATATATTTGTTTGTTATTTTCATTTTCAATCTCTCTCACTGTACATGTTTTTCCTGGAATAAAAACCATTCCACACTTTTTACAAACAGTTCGTTTGATATTGGAATGACTTTCGAAATTAATAATTAAAAATTGAATGCAATTCCATTTCAATAGCAAATGTTTAAAATATGAACAATTTCAAACTCCGATGTCTCACTCGATTACATACAGTCTCAGAACATTTTTCTTTGCTATTTTCTTCATTGTATTCGAGTAATGTTTGCTTACTTGCAGATCCGACGTGGTAATATTTGAGGTGTTTTCTTGTTTCAAGTCGAAGCAATTAGCTCCGCGATGAGCCATAAAATTTGCAGCTTGATATAAAAAGTTCATGGTATGCTGATGAAAAGAAGCAGTATTGTTGGGCTCCACTTTACTTGTATGCTGTTGTTGGCTAGATGGTGTTGCTCCGTCTTTGTTTAATTGATTCAGTTTCTTGTTTTCAGGAGAAGCATTTTTCTCTTGTTTGGTTGTCATCATTTTTTTAACAATTCGTCTTTCAAAAAAATACGGTCTGTGATTGATAAGGATTTCGACCCCAGGAACCTTGATAGAAGCGCTGCTTCCTACGACACCAAGAGAAGAACATCTAGGTTGTGATTCTACTTGTAGAGTTGTGACCTCTGACTAGGATCCCAACTGGATCCGGATCTTGGAAGTGTATAAACAGGCCTCGTAATAAATTTTTTTAATAATTTATTTGATTCAGTTGAGAGGAGTTCATATTTACAAAGGAGGAGGGTTGAGACATGGATGAAGTGTGGAAATTGGGAGACTGGTAGTGATTAGGTGACTTTTGAACGAGCATGTCTAAAGACTGATCTAAACTTCTGTCTGTTAACAACAATGCTTCTCGTATGTCCAAATCCTGAAAGTTCATCTCTGAAAGTTGTTTGTGCTTGTCAAGAAAATCGAGGACCTTAATTTTATCGCCCCTATAGGCTTCAGTTGCAAAAGTAGAAATATCTGGAGAAAATCCAATTTCTATAGCATGCTTATAACTATCTCGTTCTTCTTCAGTCAGAAAAGTAGGCATATTGAATGGTGACGAGTAAAAGTTAGAAGATGAAAACTCTGTTGAGCTTTGTACAGGTTGGATTGTGTTTCGTGGAATTGTTGTCATTGAAGGATTTGATGGTCTTGAGGAGTTTGGTGGAAGAGGAGTAATATTTTCATTGATATTCATTAATGTCGGAGACATTAGGTTTCGCTCTGTAGTTGGCTTAGTATTCAGCGTCTGTAATAGTAAATTAAATTTGATCTTGCGTCTCTTTTCTTCCTCTTCTTCCATCTTCATTTCATGCTCCACTCGTTTAATATATTCCAACTCAAAATCAGGCTTGAAGTTATAAACTTCATAATTTTGATGCAATCGAGAATCGACCACAAGATTTGGAACACCAGTTGATAACACGAAAGAATTAGTACTCATTGAAACAGATGGTGGTCTGCTGATTTGGCCCCTCGGACTCGTTGGTTGAAAATCGTTCATACTATTCCGACGATTGCCAACTGCCTCAATTCCGTTACTTGGCTGCGGATACATGTTCTTCCTTTCAGCCTCTCTTCTTTTTAACACATCTTGATACGATTCAATTATTTCAAAATCGCTTTCGGAAGATGATGATCCATGAGATTTACGATGATTTGTTTTCTTTTGATACGTTTCAATGATTTCGAAATCATCTTCCTCTCTTTCCCGATAGGCGAAGGGCTTCATTTTTTTCAGTTGCAAAAATAAAAATTTAGGTTCTAATTGAGCAATTCACAAAGCCGCGGTTTTGAAATGGAACATGACACACCGACAAAAATTTACCTTAATTCTTTGGTTCTTTCTTGTCTACGAGATCCAATATGAGCTGCTTCAATTTCATTTTCTTTAAATATAGTCTGTGTTTGTCATCATAATTGATCACACAATACACAATGGATTCATCACCTGCAACGACTGGTCTTGGATAAATGGTGTCATAAAGAAATGGAACAGTTACAACATCATTCAGATAAGGAGCTAAGAATTGATCTTTTAACATGGCTTTCAAATCATCCACTCTGCAACACAACACAAAGTCACAAATTGGGTTCATATTACATATAAAATCTCCATCCAAATCTTTAAATTCAATGTCTTCTTTTGAACCTTTTTTCTTCTTCTTGTTGTCCATTTCAGGAAAGTTTTTTGATGATTCATAAATCTCCTCTGATGTGAAATAATGAGAAAAACTGGTCCATTCATATGTGATTTTCACTGGAGAGATGTTAAACTCATTTACAAAGAACTTGGTCCATTCAATGGAGGCTTCTAAATTTGCCAATCCCCATGCTCTAGAGAACAATTTCTTCGCTTCCATGATCATGTTTGATTTTGTCACAACGTCAGCCTCCTTTAAAGATTCAAATAGTTGTTTAACATAGAACATTGATTTTGATTTTTCAATATTTCTTGTTCCACAAAGTTGTCTTAGATCGTTCTTTACATCTTTCCAAAATTGTTTTTCATCTTTACCATGTCTCAAATACACGTCTTTGCATTGCAGTAGGATAGCTCGATATTCATATTCGCCATCTAAGGCATCAATATAAAAAAGTGTTGGTTTAGCACTCAAACTCGAATAGTAAGGTCGAATGACATCGGATGCTGTGTTGTGATTATAGATCAAATATCTATATAAATTACTTGAAAATCGTAACGAATTTAGCATGAATTCCAATAAAAAGATGCTTCTTTCATCATTTGCTTTGATTGACAATCTTCTCAATTTAGAATAGTGAATCTCGAATGTTTGTTCAAATATTTGTTTGTACGTCTGATGTTTCTCAAAATAGTTTTTCAAACTTTGAAAGACACTCGCAGCAATGTACAAATCAGGATGTGAAAAACAGTCCACCATGAATGTTACTACAAGATATTTCATCACTCGAATGGCCATTTCCTTTCCTAAGAATTTCAATTGACAGCTGAGAGAATCAAAGATACAATCAAGTGCGACACATTGTGACACTGTTTGAGGTTTTTCCTGAACGACACATTCATGAAATGAAATGGAGGTTTCTCGTAAGATGGTAACCATTTCTTTCACGATGGAGGCATTCTTTTCGGTATATTTGGTTAGAAAACGTTTTTGTAAACGAATAATCTTTTGTTCATCGGTTTCTTTCAAATGTAAGAGTAATTTCCAATAGAGATCCAAATGTTGCTTTGCAATGGAGGTTACTAGAGAGTCATTCCCAACAACGGTCAAGTGATAATCAATTTCACTGAAACTATCAAAGTAATCGCAATTGAAAATTCCTGTGCTTCTCCAATTAAAATCATTCCAAGCCACCAAGCCTAATTCTTCCTTCAGATGTTGACCATTTTTTTTTGCCTTAATACTGTTGTAACAAGAGATAAAAATGGATTTGATGAGACAAGTTATAGTTGTTTTTGGATTTTGTAACGAATGTGAGTGAATGAATTCATTAACTTTGTCGCCCTGGTGTAAAGGATCCGAAAGGAGTGTTATTGGTTGTGAATTGTTGTTGTTGTTTACAGAAATGTCATTTTCATCGATTATCTCACCTCTGTGATCCAACAACCGCTCTTCATTCATGATTGTATTCACAGTCATCATGGATTTTGATCCAATAAAATCCAACAATTTTGAATGCATCTCTTTGAATATCATTCGAAATATTTGATGTCGATGTAAGAGATTTTTCATTTCCATTCGATTGAAAAAGTACTTGTTGTAAAATAAAAGAAGGTGATTGCAATGCAATTGTGGCCTTGTGTCATTGTCATTACTAGAAGGAAGAATCTTCTTGTGTTTGCTTTTGGATGGATCCTTTGTACACTCTTTTTGTTCATTACGGACGAATAGAAAGAGCAATCCACATAATTGTCGTTCCCAAAACACTTCATTTTGACCGGTGCATGCATTCCAGTGATGATTCAAAGAAAAGATGTTCACAAATTCTCTCGGGTGAACAACGAGCATATCGAAAAATGTAAAGGATGAGATCAGGATGGAGATGGGTAAAGAGTGAGCCAGATGCTGGTGACGAGGAAGACATGTTTTTTAAATAATGCGAAAAATATGAAATGCCACCTTGAAGTGCATTGTTCAAATTGAGAATGGGAGTTGTACTTGTCAACCAACAACAAGAACTTCATCAAAGTCCTCTCTGAAAGGCATTCATGACCAAACTTATTTTAAATCAAGCATTCAATAAGAGAATGAGTCACTCTCTCAGGGATTCTTTGCAACAATCTTTGTTTGATTTGTTGATTCTTTTTCGTGTGAACAATGTAAATCATCGAGTAAAAAATGTCTTTTCAACAACAACAACGAACGAATCGAATGATGCTTCCTTCCTCGTATCAAGACATGTCTCCTTCCTATCTTTACAATGATGCTCCCTATGGCGGCTATGGAGGTCTCTCAACACCATCGCCACCATACAATTATTCCGATCCATATTACAATAGTATGCAAAATCGGAGAGGTTATTATGACAATTACATGATCGGAAATGAACCTCTCTATCATGAAGATAAATTATTTGATGAAGATTTACTCATGTATGACCGACCAACCTATAGACCAAGTCGAATGATTGCGAATCCAGATTTTGGAAATTTTAATTATAAAAAGGGATTCACAGCAGAGGTTTGGCTAAATGATGGAGAAACAGTGGTATTAAATGGAGATTCAAGAAAGAAAACGTATCGTACTCATTACAGCCCAGAATATTTACGAAGTTTTTTCTTTGGATGGGTTGGACGACTCATACGATATTTATGGTTGGATCGATTGTTTGGATTACATGTCGATACAGTGAAGGAAGTGAAAACTAGAAATTATATTTTTGTGACAACTCAAATCATTCCAGAGTGATCAACACATTTACTTCTTCATGCCAAAGTTGCAGCATGGTTAGTGGAGATGGCCAAGAGATGCGTTTGTACATCATTATGGACTTGGGAGTGTGTTGACTGAAATATTTCACATTTGCATAATATCCTAAAAATTAATGGACGTGGCATCTACTTGACGGACTTGAGTGATTCAATTTCTTTCAAAAGATCATTAACTTGATTTCTAAACGTCTCCTTCACATATTTAAACTCTTCTTGGAGACTCTGAAGTGTTTCTTCCTTTTCGCCAATCAAATCCAAAGCTGCTTCGTATCGATAGGTCAGATCGTTGGCCTGTTTGACCAATATTTCCTTTTCCTTAATTTCATTTGCGAGAGTTTGATTTGTCTGTTTGTACATGGACAATCGTTCTGTCAGATCGTCCTTAATTTCTTCCAATTCTCTAATTTTCTCATAAAGTGTTTTGATTTTCAAGTCCTTCTGCCGTAATTCTTCTTCTAACTCAGTTGGAGCCAGTAAACTCGAGTTAACAGTTGTAGGTGATGACAATCCTGCCTCTTGGTTGACATTAGTTTTTTCAATCACCAAAGACTCAGGACTTTGTGCTTCAGGACTTGGCGTTTTTGGAGATCGATGACTTGGATGTTTATCGTGAAGTGATATGTGGTGGTTGTTCTGTGATAGAACCTCAATCTCGTAGTTAAGCCTGGATATTGTCGTGTTGAGTTCGTTCATTTGCTGATCTAAATATCTATTTTCTTCTTGCGCTCTCGCTAATGAGCTCTGTAACGAGCTCACTGTCATTTCTAATTGTATCCTCTTTGTTCGCTCTTGATCGGATTTGTGTTTTTCAGCTATAAATGTCTCCTTCAACTCTGAAACCTCCTTTTCCAATTCCACATTTGTTTGCTTGAGTCTATCGTTCAGTTTGTTTAATCGAATAACCTCCTGTTCTGACATTTTGAGATTATTCTCTGCGATTTGAAGCTTGGCTTGATACTTCTTCTCACGTTCCGTGAATGAAGATGTTTTGGCTGCTGTCGTTTTCTCAAGAGAGTTAATCTGCTCCAAAAGTGGCTTTGTAGCATCGGGCACCAGTGTGAAAATTTCTTGAGATCGCTCCTCAAGTTCTCGATACTTTTTCATCCAAGACTCTGCTTCTTTTTTGAGTACTTCTACTTTTTCTTCGCTTGTCTTATTTACAGTTGAAACCATTTCTCGTAATTGCTCTAGCGTTTTATGCAGTTCAGTTAATTCAATTTCGTACTTCTTGGCTACTTCTGCCAATTTCATTTCAAGTTCAAGGTCGTATTCCTTACGTAAATCCTTAATTATTTTCTTATTCTGTTCATTTTCATTTGTCAATTCAGTGACTGATTTTTCAAGTGACTCTATTTGTTTTAAGTGAGTTGTGATTTGCGAGTTTTGTAACTCAATTTTTTCTTCAGTCTTCTTTTGTTCATGTTCCTTTAATTGTTGTTCCAATTTTTCTTTTTGTTGCTTTAAATTTTCTTTTTCTTGAGTTTCTTTTTCAAGCTGTGATGTTAGATCTGATATGGTTTTTTCTTTCGCCTGAAGCTCTTTCTTCAACTGTTCTTTATCTCTTCTCAAAATGGCTGTCTTGTTTTCCTCCTTTCCCAGTCTGGTGCTAAATTCTTCTTTAAGTGTGTCGAATTGTTTTTCTTTTTCTTTTGTTTCCATTGTTAAATCATCAAAGCTTGTTTGAATTTTTTGTTTTTCCTTTTCTAAAATCTTAATCTTATTTGAATAATCATTAATTGTTTTAGTTGCCTCTTCATATTGTTCTTGATGATATTTAGAAGCTTTTGACAATCTAAAATAATTATTTCAATAATTATTATTGTTATGAATTTTGAAACATACGCTTCAATTTGTTCTTTTAACTCCTTCACTTCTGGATCTTCCTGTGAAGCATCTCCCAATTTGACTCGAATGCATCGGTTCGGATTAAACGCAACATTTGTGGTACTGCCACCATTTAGCGTTGTTGTGGGTGTTTTCAGTTGTTTGTTGACTTGATCAGAGGAGGGTGTTTTGGATAACAAAGCTGATGATGAACTTTTGACAGGTGTGGATACATTCTTGCTTGGAGTTTTTGTGTTTTCGTGCTGTTGTTGTGTTGTTGTATCGGAAGAAGAATCTGTGGAGGTGGAAAGAGCCTTGTCGATGGTTGTCTCTATTCGCGAAAGAAAGGAAGCAAAATTCATTTTTTTGTTTCTTCTTTCCATCATCATCACGTCATTCATCCCCCTCCGCAATAGAAAATATAAATGATTATCGATTGATGGTGTTTATTACAAGTGCCCAGAGCACATCAAAAGGCAAATACTGTCCATAAATAATTCCATATTTATAATCTTCTTTTCAAAAGGATCCAAAGTCGATTCAAAATTTACCAATCTTCTTCCTCTTTTCTGTACTTGAATTTGGAAGCGTAAGACTTTCCTTCTGGTTCACTGCTCTTCTTAGATTCTGGGTCCTCAATTTCGTATTCAAACCCCTGACTCTTACAGTAGTCAATGGCATCTTCCAAAGAATTGAAATACATATAGGTAGTCATTAATGGATCATTGGTAGCATTCCAGCCCATCATAGGATCGTGCCACACTTCTCCGTGTGCTGATTGCTTCTTCCATTCAACTCTCCACTTGAGTGTTTTAGAAATGCCTTGTTGTGTTGCTGATTTGCTTGGTCTATAAATTCTCACAGTTCTTGAAATTTGATCCTTAGGAACACCAGAAATTAAACTTCCATGTCCGGTGGTTCTTTCTGTTGAATAAAAATTAAATTGAACACATGATGAAAGTTTGTTGAGAGAGGTTTTGTTGTTGTTCATTACAACCTTGTTCGACAAGGACAGAAAAGATTTTAAACTTCTCATTTTTTCTTTTTATTTTCTTTGAAAACAAAACAAGGCGTTTGGCAGTTTTATCTGGGCTCATTCAAAAGCTTTGAGAATAATAAGCAATACATTTGAATGGATGAACGTCATCAATCATTCGGATACAAGTCTCCTTTGATACCTTGGCGAGATCTTTTTACTAAAGAAAATTTTTGTAAAGCCTATTTTCTTGAAGGCAACGTCTCAATTGACGGAAGATGGCATTGAATGTTTTTCATAAAAGCAGCAATCTTTTGATGAACGTTCTCCGCCTCATGCAGTAATTGGATCTGATCTTCTGAACACGAGTCTATCTCCGTCTGAATGAATCGTTTCAGTGCTTGATACTCCTCTTCAATTTCTCTGAAAATATCGGAACAAGATTTTTCAAATAAATCAAATTATGACAAACTTACTCCAGCTCCTTTGATGTTGTTTCAAAATGTCTTGCCAGGTCTGATTTAAACTCTGTTTGGAAGGATAACCGAATTACCAATATAAATGTCATTACAAACCTTGAAAGCATGAAAGAGGAGTTGAAACAGACGATTCTTCTGCTGGATCCATTTTTTGTAAGGCTTGAAAATTTCAACATCCCGCCTTAACTTTTGAAAATAAATAGATAAACCTCAAAAAATGCAACAAACAGGAGCTTGGGCTTTAAGGAAGAGTTTAAGTACCCCTGTTGGGACAAAAACTACGTCAAATCAAAGCCTGAAACCACAACCGTTCATTTCGAATGATCACATCATGAACGACAATATAGAAAATGAAGTGCAAGGAAATTCTAATATCAAAATCGGCAAGAAGCAGGACCTCTCTATTTCCGACAAGACACCTCAAAAGACTCCCAATTTCAAACGAGTGTCTTTCAGTCTAAAGAAAAATGCTTCTTCAAGTCAAACACCAGCCATCACCACAGAGAATCCAACCGAACAAAATCGATTGGAAGAAATAGCTTCACAACAGTCGCCCAACGTCTCGCCCGATAAGTTCTCCTTCACCGTCTGTTGCACTTCAACACAAAAGAATTACAAAATTCTCATCAAACGCAAAGATGTCAACAAACTGAAAGTGTCGAAAATTAAATCGAATTTATTCCGAGTTGTAAACATCCCTGTGGAGGAACAAGCACTCTATGCACCATGTGATACACTATCGGTTAAACCTCTTGATGATGCTGTTACGGGAAGAATGTTAGATTTGAACGAAAACACCATACTGTTTCTTGTGCACATTTCTCAACAGGATATTTTCGAACAGCAAATGACGGCAAATATTGAAGCACAACAACAAAGGAATGGCACCATTTTAAATCCATCTTTGGAGACAGAATTTGAAACAACTGCTACAGCATCTATTAAGGATGAATCAATGCTTCAACTTTCACCACAGATGCAAACTAAGAAAGAGGAAGAACCGTCTCAAGATTACTCATTAATCAAAGATCTATCAACAGTTACTACTACGTCAGAAAAAAACGTGCCACTTAATAATTCAACGAAAACAATGGAAAATTTACCTAAAGAAGTTTCATTGTCATCAATGGTAACACAAGAATCAACATTGGAAAAAGAACGAGAATCCATGATCACGCTCCTCAAAAACCAGTTTTTGGAAGAAAAGATGCAACTGGCGAGAAAATATGCAATAGAAAAGAAAGAAATTCTTCAGAAAGCCAATGAAGATAGACAAGAGCTAATGATGGAAAATACTCGGCTTAGAAAAGAGTTATTGCAGTTCGCAAACATGTCCACTGTTAATCCTTCAACCAACCATTTAGTGACATCTATTCAACAGGAGGAAATTTTGAAACTACAATCCATACTGTCGGAACATCAACAGGCCTTAATTGAGAAGGATAAAATTATTTCAAAATTGGAAAAGGAGATTTCAAACCTTAAAAAAGCAGCAGAGACAGACTCTCAAGCTTGGAAGAACAGACTGGAACTCGAAAAACAAGTGAGTTGGAATCGCGAAAAGGAAATGATTTTAAAAAACTGGGCTGAAGAGATTGAAATTTTAAAGCTTTCTCAACAACAAGAAAGAATAGAAGCTCAAAATATTATTGATCAAGTGGAGACCGAACTCCAAGTTGCCAATAACAAAATTGAATGTGATCGAAAATTTGTTGAATCAGCAGATCTGGCGTTGGAGACGTTGAAAAATCAAATTGCTAAACTTTCTCGAGGAGACTACGATACTGCGACATTAATGATGGAAGCTGCAAAAGAAAAAGCTCTGATCGAGAAACGGTTTAACGATTTACTGATCAGCTATTCTTCTCTAAGAGAGTTAATGGATGAAGAAGTCAAGAAACGTAAACAATTGCATAACCTTGTGGAAGATATGAAGGGAAACATTCGAGTAATTGTACGTCTCAGACCATTACTTGAGGATGAACAACCTACTGACTTGATGCAGGGTCGCTTGGAAATCAAGGATGACAATACAATCATTGTCGCCACTCAAAATTTTGGATCTAAAAGTCATGAATTTTACAAAGTATTGGATGAAAACTCCACTCAAGAAGATGTATTTGAACATGTAAAGCCATTAATTCAAAGTGCTCTTGATGGTTATAATTTATGCATTTTTGCATATGGACAAACAGGTTCTGGAAAGGTAAGGAAATTTTAAACTTTTATTTCACACTGAATCATCACATGTATGTACATAAGACCTTTACAATTCATGGTGACAAGGTACAATACGGATTGATACAACGAACTGCACGGTACTTGTACAACACACTGGAGAAGCAAACAGGAGCAAGAAGAGAAACCTTCTCAATATCTTGCAGTATGGTGGAATTGTATTTAGATAATTTATATGACTTGTTCGATGAATCTGTTTCATTGATTGACCCACAACATCGCTTCTCAAATGTAACTGCAACTCAAAAGAAGAAACCTCAATTACGACAATCAAAAAATGGAAAAATGTCTGTCACTAATTGTACTGAAATAATGGCTCGCACTCCTGAAGAATTACTGACTCTCATCGACGAAGGTAATGAAGCAAAACAAGTGTTTAAAACAGAAATGAATGATCAGTCCTCTCGTTCACACACAATATTTACCATAAAACTAATCATTGAGGGCACCACACAACCCAACTCATTGAATCCAAACGGAAAGCATTACAGAAAAGAAAGTAAGATTGCATTTGTAGACTTGGCTGGTTCTGAAAGAGTCTCAAAATCCAATTCAACAGGAGAACGTTTTAAGGAAGCTCAACATATCAACAAGAGTCTTTCTTCACTGGGAGATGTCATTGCAGCACTTTCTGCCCATCAAAAACATGTGCCTTACAGAAATTCAAAGCTTACCCTGTAAGTATCATACTATGAACTGTTATGAGTGTTCAGTTGACGTTACAAAATTTGCAGCATGCTTCAAGAAATGATTGGAGGAAATTCCAAGACACTCATGTTTGCGAACATTTCACCTGATCGAAAGAGTATTTCTGAGACCATTTCAACCTTGTCGTTTGCCTCTCGAGTGAAATGTGTTCAGAATCATCCCATTCTTTCCAGACAGGTGGTTGCAACAAGCAATGACGATACAAGTTCTACGTGCTTATAAGCGCTGACGACTCTACCACCATCTCTATTTTATAGGGTTTGTAATTGGTGACCATAATGTATTGAGAGTCAAAAGAAATCCATCAAGAGAGATCTGTAAAGGTGAGAATAAAGGAACAAGACAATGCTGTTCAATTCCGAGACTGCCATCGGAATTTTTGAACCACACTACAGCATTCTCTTATTATTGGATTAGCCAATTCAGGTCCTGAGTTTTATCTATTTCCAGTTTAAGTAAATTTAACGTTCGGGAACAAAAAAGTCATCTCGGAAGGTGAACTGAAGAGTATAAATACGAATAGCGTGAAAGCATTGTCCAGATCAACAACAACAACAACTCAAAAACAAAACAACTTAATATCTGTATCATAAAAGCAAGGTGTAAAGATGACTAACCATCACAACAGACAATTAGCCAAGGCTCACCCAAGAAGTAATTGGTTGAACACATTCTTTGATGATCCCTTCTTTACTGCTTTCGACAGAAACGATGATCGCTTGGTCTCCGTATTCAGACCTACCACTGACGTTTCCGAGACTGATCGTGAAGTCAAGATTGTGTGTAACGTTCCTGGTATGACCAAAGAAAACATTAAGATTGATGTCGATGAGGAACATCGATCACTCACTGTCTCTGGTGAAATGAAAAAGGAGACCAGAGAAGAGAACGAGACTTATCACTGTGTGGAGAGATCGCATGGTACCTTCTCAAGAACTGTCTACTTACCATCGAATGCAGATTTGGATGGCATTAAGGCGAATCTTGAACATGGTGTGTTGAGAGTGAGTGTTCCAAAGATTGTTGAGGAACAAAAGAAGAAGACAAGGTCAGTCAATATTGAGTAAATGTCGCTTTCTTGAAAATATTTGATAATAAAATTTGAGTGGTACAACTCTTGAATAATTGTGAATTAAACAGTGAAATTCAGTAATTTCAATTTCAATAACGGATCTTTTGACAGATCCCTGAACCACGCGTCTTGTCAGGTTCAGATAAAACATACAGTGGCACTTCTAAGAGAGAGTTGTTCTAGGTATTTTAGAATTGTTGACAACCCCATGTTGTTCTTCCATCAATCCTGACTTCATTCTTGTTTTATGGTGACTCTTCGACAAAGTTTGCTATGATGGACTTAACCTCACATTTTTAAATAATGTGGTTGATTTTTATTTCAGCAAAAATCTGGTTCGTTATCGCTATCGTCATCATTATAATTAGAAGCATGACGATGCATGTTGAATATCAGATCAAAGCTGCTCGCACGATGCCACCCTAAAGTAGATAGCTGATTGTGGTGATAGTAGTTGGCGTTGCGAGACGTCTTCATCAACCATAAACAAGATTCTGCCATGGTTTTGTGGGATTCTTCGAAGAAGCTTACAATACTTCGGAACATGATCTCACTACATTGAGTTGTGGTTAATTCTTGTGTGAACATGTCGTAAGAAACACAAAAGTCTCCTAAATCTGTATACCAGAGTTGATGGTATCTTCGGAGATGATGCACCATCTCGGAAACAGGAACGGTCACTTGTTGGTTGATCATACTGGTCACCTCTGTGAAGAAATTAATATTGTTATAATTCATCAGGTTATTGGATGAAAGATTATTGTTGGACATTTTACAACTATACATGATATTAGAGATTAGAGAAATAGATTAGAATATTATTGATATGGATCCGATCTTGAGCGAGAGTGCTCTTTTTTTTCTTTGAAAATTCTTGAACAACAGGCATGGCCATTTGTTTGAGTTGAAAATCGAAAGCCGCTCTGCATTTTTTTTTGCTGTTTGCAAAAGTCGAGTTCCCAGGTGTCGTTGGCGGTAAAGACACACCACTCAGACTTGTTTCCTTACATCCAAATTCCAAACTTTATCTCAGCATCTCAATGTTTGCTTTTGATCAATGATGAAACGTTGCCATAAAGACACTGCTGTAGGGAATGCCACTATAGATGCAAGAATTAATGATTGTTTATAACACTTCCTAAACAATCAAAATTCTATAAAAAGATCGAAGTTGTTGCTGCACCAAAAAAATAGAAAATTTCTCATCATTCCGCACGTGTCGCACAATATTGAGTTGTTGTTTTGAAGGCTCTTTACATCCGCATCGGAATCAAACACCACCATCTTCAATCATAAAAACAAATAGAACGCTTTGATCTTGCCTACAGACCGAAGATTTGGTTTTGTGTGATCATCATTAATATTCAACAACAACAATAATAGACGTTTCAAATCATCATGAATATTGTTTATCAAACATCATCAGTGGCCTCAACATCCAGGCCGTCTTTCACTCATCCGTCAAGAAGCAGTACTGAAGGAAGTGATCTTCCTGATGATTTGGGGTCGAGTGGCGATTTAGAGCCTCCAAACCCGTCCAACAATGTGCACCACCAAAGCCAAGCCTCTATAGGTGGCAGTACCAACGCCACTTCAAACAACCATCCTTCTAGAGAAGCAAGTCAAAAATCTTCCAATAATCATCACCATCATCAAAGTAAATTTCATAAGAACGCCAATCATGAAAAGAAGAAGAAAAGGGCACTCAATTTTCTGAACAACATTCCTACAACACACATTCCAACAACAACAACTAACAACAACAACGTTTCTCAACGTACACCACCAACTCCCACTGCCAGTACACCAAGGAGTAGCAGTAGCGGAGAAAGCACGAGTAAAACTACCACGACCAGCACTGGTTCCTACCCACCAACACCAACCAACAACCTTCTACCAACAACAACTCGTGCTTCATCCGCCGTCTCTACTGATCAAAATATTTCTGAGCCAACCAATCCTTCGTTAATCACTATTACTGTAGAACAACCAACAGATGAACACTCATCACTTGGTAATCATAACAATGGATCAAACAAACTCACTGTAAATATTCCTAAAAGTCACCCCACAGTCGTTGCCAATCGAATTATTGGAGAAACTTCAAAAATTACGAATAATTCTTCATCCAATGTCACCTCTGCTGGTTCAAGGGCAAACGGTCATCATTTACCACAAGAATCTGGAAGAGAGCATCAAAAGCAACATCATCACCACAGATATCACCAGCAACACCTCAATCACCCTAAACACCACCATCATTCTAACAAATCTAAAACTAAAGAAAAGGCTCTTGACTTTTTGAGCAACATTCCAATGAAGAAGGCAGAAGAGACTCCAAAGCCAGAAGTAACGTCACAATCACAGAATAATGTAACATTATCTCCAACAAAACGTCCCTCTACTCATCAACCAAAACATACTCTTCCTAGACATATCAAGAAGATTAACTCTTTAGAGGAAGTATTTAACGCTTCTCATATTGAGGATAATGACAGCAATAGTGACAATCAAAAAGAAATTGAAGAGCCAAATGATGACGAGTATATACGTCGTTTACATTTCATGGATAAATCGGCTCCAGTACCCTTTTTAGTTTGTTCATTTATCAGATCAAAGAAATCCCTACCCTCGAACACAATTCAACACGTGCCGTCTGTTGGAAACGCACCATTGCCAAGTACAAACATTGGAACTTCTAACTCACCTTTGGATCATGCTAATCTAGAACCTCCAACTCTTTCATTGGAAGAGTTAATTAATAAGCAAATGGAGCTAGAGGCAATTACTTACAGCAAAAAACCAACGAGCTACAGGGCCTATATTTTAGAGCCTGCTCAATCAATATATGATCCATTATTTTTAGATGACCCAAATATCAGAACAGCAAGCAAAAGAAAAGTAATGACTTTTCCTGGTTTAATGACATCAACAATCCCCTTTTTAAAATCAAAAGCTTTAAAGAAGGATTTGAACGAACAGTTCAGACAACAACATGAAAATTGTTTATTAACACTATCCAAGATTAGAAACCTGAAAAGAAAAATTGTGAAGGTTGTTTTACGAGAAAGACCAGAAGAATTAGCAATTGCAGCCGTCGCTTTTGTGTATCTTGAGAAAATGATTTTGAAGAATCTAGTCCATAAGGCTAACAGAAAACGAATAGCTGCCGCTTGTTTATTCTTAGCTTTTAAACTTAACCTTGAAAGCCCTCATGAACAACGAAAACAAGTAACATCTGAATTTTTGGACGAAATTGAGAACGTCTTTGACGTAAGTCGAAAGAAAGTTGTTCCTACTGAATTTTTTGTTATGGCAGAAGGTCTTCACTTTAAAATGATTGTTGACCCAAAGGAAATACAGCCCCACTTGCAAAGACTAATGAGCAACGAGGAAGATCAAATTATTCAACAACCTGATTTTTGATCTTCTCTCTGTCACGGAGTTGAATTCTGTAATACACTTTCAGACAACATTAAAAAACAAAATATTTATGCTCAATCTAACAACTTTAGAATCGCTTGCATCTGAATTAGGGATTTTGAATCAATGAAATCATAAACCAGTCGCAAATACACAGCATACAATGTCTCGATGATGATTGGCTTTACATCCTTGATCGTATTATTTGAACTGACAGAGAAAAGATCTTTGAAGAGTGAAACTGCGGTCAGCTTTTCCATATTGTGGGCGCAATATTTAAGAACTGCTATCGCATCATTGATAAAAGATTCTTGGAGGAATATTCTGTCTGCCCCAAAGATTCCAGAGGTGATGTTGGTGCTTGGGCTTTCAAAAAGTGAATCACCATAATGTTCTGAATACAAAGTGATTTGATCAAGTTGAGTTAGATATTCATGGTAGTATAGTTTCTTCTTCTTAGTTTTTTGAGAATTATTATTCTCAACATCCACTTGAATGTCTAGATCGCTAATTACATCTATTGTCCGAGATTTTACATTGCTGTTTGAAGGATCATTGTGTGAGTGACCAGTGAGATCCTCCTTAATCACCTTCAAGCTCTCTTCCATGATATTCTTAGCTTCAGCATTTCTCTCTTTGATAATGCTCACCTGTTCTAATGTTGGGACTCTGTATGGTACTTGTTGAGATGTCAATTGATAGAGTACTCTCAAGAAAGTAAAAATTGAGCTTTTAGGCAAAACCTCTAGTCTACTGGCAAATACTTGACAAACAACACTCAACACTTTTTCATTGATTTCATTTAAAAGTGGGGAGTAAATTTCATAATCTCTAAAATAAAGAGGTGACAATGATTCATTATTTGTTGCCATCTCATTTCTTAAATAGAGTTGTCTATGAGCAACACCTGTGAAAAAATCTTCGTTAGCATGTGATGATCCAAGAATTAAACTATTATATGATGACTGCAACTCCTTGGAGCTTGATGATGTTGTCAATGAAGGCAGCTTTTCACCATTATTATATTTGGTTTTCACACCCTCGATTGAGCTAGCCAAAAAAATCATAGTCTTCTCCTTCTCAGGCATCTCTCTTCTTTTTATATTTTCAGTATTAAAGAACAATAGTAATATAGATTCTATTTTAGATAGAAACAATAATTGAATTTCAGATAATTTAGAAACATTCTTTGTTTCAAAATAAATATAAAGGAAGACTGGAACATGTTGTAATAAAACTAAATCCAAATTAGAGTTTTTGGAATCAGTTTTTGTGTTCAGCAAAAACAAGTGATAGGCAACTCTGAGATAATTCTGATACATTTGATTTTCACTTTCGGAAGAAACTTTCTCACGAATGAACAAATCAACCAAGAAAGAATTTACCAAAAAGGCTACTTGGTCATTGGATAATATCTTGTTGGAAATATCGCTAAAATTCCTCTCCAACTCTTCTCGGGTGATCTTGTTGTACGCAGCGTTGATCATATCACTCTCATTATTGTTTGATGATGGCAAATTTAAAAGCGTAATCTTGGACGAGAAATATCCAATAATACTCTCGGGAGTTGATAGCTGTTGTTGAGCTGAATCAAGAGGAGTCGTGGTGTTGTTATTATTATTAATAATATTATTGGAATTGGATGATGACGAAGAAACATTCTCTCCACCTGCGAGTGCCGATGAAGAGGATGCGACGATTGCGTTGGACATTTTTTTTGTGAGTGAATCCAAACTCAAGCATATGAGATTGAAAAGCTTTTGAGTTATTGAAATCTTGGTTTATTGGTGTTGTGGGTTGGCTTGTCTTTGAGATTCATGACTTGACGTACTTTTCGTTTGCTGGTGATTTTTACACCACTCAAATGGTGTGCTTTTCCTGGAACATATTTTTCATGTGTGGTGTCGAATTGAGTGGGTAAACCTAGTGCTTTCATTAATTGTAAATTTTCATCATCTTCTACGGTGGGAATGATGAGATCATCGTCGTCAATATTTGATGCTTTTCCGTATTTACTTGTATTTCTTTCTCTTTGTATTTGATACATATTCTCTGAAGAAGAATTCGATTTTCCATTTAAATTAGGTGCTGTAGATTTTGAGTGTTGTTGTTTTGAGTCATTTCGCGTTAAAGTGTTCATTGTTGTTTTCGAAATGTTATCAGTCGGAACTTTTCCATACGATGCATTCACTCCGTCATCACTAGTTCGGAAAGCACCTTTTTTCTCTTCATGATGATGATCGTTTGATTTATAATTTTCAGATTCAATATTTCTTTTATTTGGATAGGGTTGATATCGGGATGTAGTGGAGACGGCACCTTGAGGTTTCGATGCAGGTTGATGATGTTGCGGATTTGCATTTCGACTTTCTCTTGGCATTTTTTTTGGTTGAAACATGACCAATTTCTAATTAAATGCTGGAAATGAGTAAGATTGAAATTGTCACATGTATTTTGGGGATGGTATAACAGGTCTTGCTTACATGTATAGTCATTTGTTAGAAGTGTAAGATTTTGTAATGGCGGCAAAGCATGGCCCTTACCTCACTAAATCGTTGTTTTCTTTAAAATAGCATCAAAAAAAGAGTTAAGCTGTGGTATCTGAAGAGGAACGAGATGTAAAACCGTTATTTTCGTGATCACTTTCGTAATATTCATCATCAGTAGATTCGTGTATTTCTAGAGTGAGTTTTTGTTGACGCTGCTGAAGTTTGTAAAATACTAAAAAGTACGTCAAAAACAAAATCCAATCTACAAAATTAATCAGGAACGATATTTTCAGATTGGTGGCATGTGAAAATTCTGGAGTAATGCTTGTGATAAAAAACGAAATATTTAAATAGGATAGTAAAATATTAGAAATGATATAGCCGGTTAAAACGCAACAACTGAGCCCTACAAGACAACAAAATGGATTTCCTGTTAGATTCTCTTGAAAACATTGAAAGAATTTGTGGTTCTTCTTAATTCCCCCCGTTAACTGGCTATCAAAAGTATAGACCTGCAGTAATTAAGTGTATTTTAATATTGTTTATGTAAAATAAGTAAATATTAATTATTATTTTCGTAATACTTACCTTAATACCAAAAGCAAACACTGCAGAAAAAAGTAGAACCACCACAAATTTGATAAATTCAATAGTGGTTATTAAAGCATTGATAGAGAGTAAATGAGGATGCAAAAAATTGTCGAGATTCTTTTCTAGTTGTACAGAGTCGCCTCCACTAATGGAATTAATTTGTAAATAAATACTAGTACACGTTGTCATGAAAATTGTTGTTGGTATCAAGCAAAGTAATGTCACAAGAAATTCAAAAACATGTTTTGAGTGTCGTTGGTGATCTTCTGAACGGCTATAAACAACAGCGTTTCTGAAAGGCAGCAGAATATCGTCTTCTTCTTCCTCTGAATTATTGTCGTCGTTCCCGAACAAATATTGATTGTAATAATTATTTACAAACGATGAAGGCTTTCCTCCATCCACTATTCGTTGATTAATGACATTGGTGGAAGTTACAGAGGGAGAAAATTCCGAAGAGCTAACCATGTTATGTTTGGAAGTAATATTATTTAACGCTTCATATCAGATACTTGTACAACTTACTGCAATCCGGATGTATTCAAATATGAATAACTGTCGTTACTTGACGATGCAGGAACGCCTCCTATTCCAACGTTTAAACTTGTGCTGTTTGCGGATGATGAGAAGGAGTAATTATTGCTGAAATTGTTCATTCCTTTCGTTGTAGGAACTCTAAACAATTTGGAGTGTTATTATTGTTGCTACTATGATGAAAAAGAGTTTTGTTTTTTCAGAAAACGGTGTTCCGATGATGGTGGTAATGCCTTCATGAAAGGCCTTCTGAGATTTGTTGTTGGCTCAATTTTTTAGTTCAAAGGTAAAGCATCGTTTTTTTCAAAGAGGGCGTGTTGGTTTGTACAAGCAACGATGCAACGATGACTCAATTCGTGAAACAACGAGTGTTTCAGAAGGAAGGTCCTCTTTCTTTCCATCATCATGATGGTCGTTGTAAATTTCTAATGAATGCCCAAAGAAAAAATGAAGCGAGTATTGGCTTTCGAGAACGTTCATCATGTTGCTCTTCTCTCCTCTATTGTCGGTGTTGCAGGCAAATCATCATTGCGTCGGGGAGTGGTAACGTCTGCTATGCAAACACATCAATTCCATACTCAATCAATTGTGAATGGAACTACCCGTATTACAACAAGAGTTACACCAACTTCTATTACTACCGTTTCCTATGAAAATCCAGAAGAAACAAGAGCAATGGTTGAAAAGAAGTACCTCCGTAAAGCACAAACAGCGTTGGATAAGAGAAATCCAGAGTCAGTTGAACAAGCTGTAGAAAATATATTTGAAGATTTGAGAATTCATGGTGTTAGTCGCCCAAACCTTGCTACATACACCACCTGCATAAATGCTTTGGTTAAAGGAGAAAAGCCTGAGAAAGCTCACAAATACTATGACAAGATGCTTGAACAATACTCCTTGAAGGATATTCCATTCAGTTTGCTTGTTTTCATGATTGACTCTTGCAAACACAAAAGAGAGGAGGTGAGAGCTGTAGACTATTTCACACAATTCAAAGAAAAGTTGAAAATTCATGAAGAAGCAGGAGAATCAATTCCAAACAGAGAAGCAATTATCCTAAAGGCGTATACAAATTTACTAAACAACATGAGCAACGTTTTGGATAAGGAAAAGTGTAACTTATATTTTGAGGAGTTTAAATCAACTTATGGAGAAGATAAGGTCGACTACACCATGTATGCGTGTATGATGAAAGTGAATTCATTTCTTCAAAACTATGAAGAATGTGCTCGAATTTTGGATATTGTCAAGGAACGAGTTTACACAATCATCCCTTCAGGATCCGATATGAGCCAATCAAATCCTTCACAAGTTTTGACTCTCTTCTATTCAATGATGATTACAGCTTGTACATCCGTTGAACAAGTTGAAATTGTTAGAAAGCAAATGGAGGATGAGCAAATAAGTTATAATGACAAAACATACGTCAACATTCTCAAGAAATATCTCCAGTTTGACAATTACAGCAAGATGTATGATCTCTATGAGAATCACTTGAAGCCAAACACGTCCATCAGAGCCAAGGAGCCTGTTTTCTTTTTGCTGTTGGAAGCATGTTATCGTGAAGCATTCAAGAGAGGAGAAGAATCTAGATCGGCCACAGGAAACGAAATTTACAGGAAAGCCATATTCGATATGCATCAAATCAGAAGATATTGGACTGAGATGAGAAATAGATATGGCCACAAGAAACCAAGCGAAACAATCATTGATGCTCTTCGTAAAATCGTTGCGACAAACAAACAAGTTAAGAAGGAGTACAACGCTCAACTGAAGGACTTATTCAAACAACAAAAACAAACAAAACTGGAACATCTCAAGAAACTTCATGCAGCATCGGAAAAGAAACACTAGATTGGTATCTACTTTTGCAACTTTTCATAAAAAAAGCATTACTCAGAAGAGAAAGACTTGTTCTTTGAATACGGCAAAGAACGTTCTTCATCATCAATCGTCGTTATAAGGGAACCAAACTTTTCTGGCCTTTCTGTCTTCTCTTCCGGTGAGAGAGAGACCTCCTTCCGTTCTGTGTTGACGTCATGTGTCAATCACTTCAGTCAAATTGTTTTCAAAAAGAACACTCAAAAAATATCAAGTCTGTCTCACCACCAGAATCTCCAACAACATACACTCATTGCCTGAGGAACGACTTTCACTCCCTGTTCTGTTGGTTGATTGATTCATATCAGTTCGTCTTTGAAGTTATCATCACCACACAACTCCCTATTAGGAGTCAATACCTTTGCACTCTTCTACCTGGTGTGCATATTCTCGAGTATTGACATCGATCATCGGACTATCTCATCCCCTTGTTGTTATTCGGTAACACCACCACTGGAATCATCATCACTCACGTTCAAGACGTGTCTTGACTCTTGTGTCAAATATATATACTCTTTCTTTCGTCATCATTCTTCAAATTTCTCACAATCACCATCATCATCATCACTACTATCAGCACACACACATGTCAGTCAGAAGAAGATTTGAAAAGGTCTGGGGAGGACCTAAAGAAGGAAAAGGAAGTGAAATACAAGAAGACGTTCTCTCAAAACAAACTCCAAGAATATCCTTTGAACTCGTGAAAATCAATCGAAGAGGAGCCAGACAAAAAAGAGAACTTGTCTTTTCAGATGATGGTATTTCAAACATGAAAGGTAAACAAAGACAATGGTTCTTCCATATTACTGATTTGTTTGGTATTGAACCAGGAAGACCCATCACCAAAGAGGCCAAACCTGTGCTCAATTTGAAAGTGATTAAGCGATATCAATTTGAATGTGAAAGTGACGAACAATTAGAGAAAATTGCCAAAGTCTTTTATCAATTGTACAGTGATCGATTGCCCATCAATAATGCATCACAATATAACGGATATGGAGCTTATATCGGAGATTATGTGAATTCACAACAACTCGCTCCGGCATCTTCTACAACAACAACGACAGCAGCATCGACCTCAACCACTGCAGAGAATGTGAATAACAACAACAACAACAACACCTCTGGTGGATCACCCACTTCGAATCAACCTTCTGTCACTTGTAGTAGTAACAGCAACAATAACAACCATTCATCATCATCCTCTCAACAACAACAACAACAACAACAACAAACATCAAACTCTCCCTCCTCTTCCTCTTTGAATAATCAAACAAATTCAAACAATTCCACTTTCACCACCACTACCACCTACTCTTCTCAACAAAATCCACCACAATATGAATCTCCCAGCATTTTCCAACAACAACAATTGGCTGCATTTATGGGAAAGAAAATTGGCATTCATAGTTTTGAACTTCTCAAAGTCATTGGTGAAGGAAGTTTTTCAAAGGTGTGTCTCGTGAGGAAGAAGGACACTCGTCAAATCTATGCATTAAAAGTATTGGATAAAGCAGAAATTAAACGAAGAAATCAAGTGGAACATACCATCACAGAGAAGAGAGTTTTGAGTAATCACAGACATCCATTCATTATCAAAATGTATCATTCATTCCAGGCTGAAGACAAGTTGTATATGTGTTTGCAATTCATTCCTGGTGGTGAATTGTTTGGACATTTGAGACGAGTGCATCGTTTTCCATTGGAGTTGGCTAAATTCTATTTGTGTGAAGTGGTGTTGGCCATTGAATATTTGCATAACAATAATATTATTTATAGGTATGTTGAATGTGTGACTTGTGTGACAACAAGAATGTGTGTGACACTCTATGATGGATGATACTCTTCTTTATTTCAACCACACACTAAAATGATTGGACTGGATGATACTCATTCAACCACACACTTACTAAAACGATCGTTTGGACTGATGATGAATGTGTACTTTTCAACCACATATCCACACACACGTGAATCATGATTTGTGTTTCTAAATGTCATTTCCAATGATCACCAATGATCATCCTACTCGAAACACACAACGATCATTTGTGGTGTGTTGTGATCGTTTTACTGACACATTGCATCACTGTAGAGATTTAAAACCTGAGAACATCTTGTTACACTCCGATGGACACATCAAATTGACCGATTTTGGTCTCGCAAAAGAAGGAATTACAAGTGCTGGAGGAAATGCTGCAGGAACTAAAACTAGAACCTTCTGTGGTACTCCTGACTATCTCAGTGTAAGTTTTTCTTTTATTTCACAATAGGATCATTCACACTCAATACCTTTTTGATCACAATCGACAATCGACAACATAACAACAACACAATTCCAACAACACCCAACAACAACACGATTCACACACCAACGGCCATGGTCGACAATGTTCACAATTCCAACAACATCAACATGATTCACCTCAACACCACCACCATAACCTTTTTGTTCACAACTCTAACAGCCTGAAATTATCAAAGGTTTACCACATGGAAAAGCTGTCGATTATTGGTCCATGGGTGTCTTGTTATTTGAATTTTTGACAGGTCGATCTCCCTTCCGTGGATCCAATCGTAAAGAATTGTACGAACAAATCATTCACACTCATCCCATCTATCCCAAAGAAATTACCGAATGCACCACCAAGACCATTCTCGTCTACGATGATCCCATCAAGGGTGTGAAATACAATCAACCTGTGGAGAGAAGTGTTGTGGTGGATCTCTTGGATCGATTACTTGTGAAAAAACCTGAAGAACGATTGGGAGCGAATGGAATTCATGAAATTAAGGGTCATCCCTTCTTTGAAGATGTTGATTGGGATTTAATGTTACAAAAACAAATTCCACCTCCATTCAAACCTCCTCTCTCGGATAATCCCAATGAAAATCTTCAAAAGATTTTGGGAAATCATATCAATGAGAATGGAACTTTGACTTCGGATAATTTATTGAATGCCAAAGAACAAGGAATGATTATGCCCAAGACACCTTTCAAAGCTTCACAATCGCCATCTTTTACTGGATTTTCCTATGATGCAGAAGGTTTCTTGGCAAGTACTTTGGAGAATCATCAAACTCAGAATAACAATTTGGATCTCTAATGGAAAGGAAGGAAATAGGATGCAAAGAGATTTTGTGTGACGTCACATTCCCTATTAGTATTATTAGTATTATTGGTATTTCTGATGAGTATTTCTGTTCGTTTTATTATGTTGGTGGTATGGATGGACACTTTTATCCTTTCAGAAGAATTGATGTGTTGTGTGGAGAGTGTATACTATTAATTAATCTATGATATTCTAATCTTTTTCATATATAAAGACACTTTTTCAAATTTTTCTCTTGTGGATGATGACGAGATGGTTGTGATTGGAGGTGTTATGATCTATCAGAATTTGTGAAACAATGAGATGTCCTCAATGGAGTAAATGAACGCTTTCTCTTGATGAGAATTAATTTTCCATACAAATTGGACAATGCGATTTATACAACCACTGTGGAATTCACTTCCTTTCCACATGTGTCACAATCCAACAAAATTTTGCTCCTCCCTCTTAGTAGTCAGACGACAAACCTTACATCCATCGCAAAGATAGATTGATCATTCTACAAGCTTTTCGGTTCGAATACAAGAGTTAATAATTCGTCCATTCCTTCATCAACATCGATTGAAATCAATAATTCGTCCATTCCTTTATCACCATTGAAATCATTCAAGTCTGACCAAAAAAATGTCAAACCTCAAAAAAACAAGGAGGACTCAACCTTTTGTATCGAAAAGAAGAAAAAACAAGTTTCAATCATCATTCAAAGATTTGTTTGTCCCCGAGAAGGACCGAGTCGAGGAAATTGCCACACATTTTCTGTTACAAGAATATGAGAAAATTTCACAACATTTTGCAGAGGATGATCGTGAATGTTTAACACTCATGGGACGATTGAATTATTTGGCACATTACATTCCTCTGCAATGTGAAAATTTATTTCAATGGTATGGAAAATGTTTCGAGAGAATGAATCGACACGGAAATGCCTTTCGATGTTTCATGATTCAATCACATTTATTTCCGAATCGTGTGAGTGTCATTCAATCATTGCAAAATAGTTTGATTGAGGGAATTCAATCGAACACTGAGAAAATTGTGGATTCCACAAATACAAGACAAACGACAATAACGAAGAAAATGAATTTAGAAGAAAACAAAGCCATCAAAGAATTACAATTTCGACAATTGATGATTCATCCTTTAGATTTTGAATTGAGATTGTTTTTTGTGAAGAAATTAATTGATTCCTATTTGTTGAACACTACTACTAATAATAAGAGAAAACAAAGCAAGATGGCTCACGATATTTATTTATTTGTTCTCGATTACTTTGATAAAAAGTACATTTCAAAGATTATTGAATTGAAAGTGAATCATTCCGTATTGTCTATGGAACAAGTACAAGAATTTAAAATCATGATTGAATTGTTCCAACAAAACAAGTTAGAGAAATATGCCATTGAATTGAATCGACTCGTGCTCAAGCTATGTCCAACCTCAGATCCTCAACTCTACCAAAGTCTCTTTGATTTGTACATGAAAGGAAATGAGTATTTAAAAGCATTCAAAATGTACAGCCATTACATGTATCTCACTGGAAATAACTCGATCGAAAATTATGCAACCTGTGGAGAATGTTTAGAAAAGGCAGGATACTATCATTTAGCGTTGATTGCCTTTTGGCAGTGTCATTCTCAACAACAAGAAGAATTAATGTCCTACCATCACGCACAGCTGCAACAATCACCAGCAACAGAGGAAGAGAGTCCAATCATTGAGGAGATTAAACAACATTCAATGCTAGATCGAACTAAAATCGCTGATATTCATGATGATCAGTCCCTAAAATACTTGAGGCACATTCAAAGTCGACTCATTCCCAAACTTAACACAAGTTCCATTGTTTTAACAAAGGAACAGCAGGACCTCGTCTTGCACATTCAACAACTTGCAGATAGGATTGATTTTAGTGGTAATCGATTATTTAATAATAAATAGCACAAACCAACATGTCAATTGCTTGTTAGTTTCCGAAATACTTGAAATTGACATTAATTGGCCTTATATCTGTACATGGAAAAAAGAGCTGAGCGAATTACAAGTCATTATTTCTAATGAATCTATTTCCTTCGCTGTGTTTACCAGTATAAACGTGTCTGGTATATCCAAAGTAAGAATGTGTTTTTTCCTTGTCATAATAGTCCTTGGCAGCAAGTAAATCCATTTTAGGAGCATCCGAGTCATTTTCTTCTGTTACCTCATTAGTGGGTTGCTGTTGTGTGTAATCAGGCGTGACAACTTTACAGAATTTACCTCTTCTTGCAGCTTCTTTTCTTTCCTCTTCGGTGACTTGTCTTGAGTCCAAAAACTTTAAGTTGTTCATTCTATAAAGTACATAGAGGCGATAGTGTTGATAATCGTCTGTATCATTTCCTGTAAATTCATTCGGGCATGCTGGATTCTTCAATAAACTTAAATAAATAAGTTTGGGAAACTTTTGAAGGCAAGCCTCGATGGTAGCATCTAAATCATAAATATTGTTGTTGTTTAGCCAAAGAGTTTCAAGATTTGAAAAGCTAGGGAAGTGTCTGATATCTTCAATTAGGTTATTATCAAGAACAAGCGATTTCAAGTTTGTGAATCTATTCAAATTCTCTACTCTCTTTAAATTATTAAAACTAAAATCAAGTGATTCAATTCCAACTCCGAATCTACTAAATATTGATGATGGAATGATAGAGAGATCTTTTGAAACAACCGACAAGTGTTTTCCATGGTTCGTTAATTGGCATCCATCTAAAACATCATCGGAAGTGGTAACAGTGTTATCCGTTGCGGACATTATTGAGTAGTGAGTAGTGATGATGATGATGAATACTAAATTTTAAATTGGGAGTTTCTTAGGATGGTACAATCTCAATCCCACAACAAAATTTTTTTCAATTTGAAAAATATTTTAACTCCGAGTAAAACAGGGTCTCCGCTTTGTCCTCGTTTGAACTCTAAAACCATGTTGTTTGGATTCTGAGGTTAAAGTTTTTTGTTTTGCTGCAGTTGATGACGACCATTAAAGAGTTCACTTTCTTTCAAAAAACAATTATAATAATTACTTCCAACAAATGCTCGACCTGATTTCCCGTTGTAACACTTAAATCCATCCGTTAAATATTAAAAAGTTTCATTTAAAAAAAGGCGCCATTTAATTGTGTGAATTGAAAGTCGTTGTCATGTTCAAATCTCTCTGCTTTGATAACAACACGGAAGATTCCCTTGTTACGCCTACTCCAAGCATGGGAGTGAATATGGATTTATTCTGGGATGATGCTCTCAATGAACGTGATGATGAAGAAATCATTGTGCGTCATCACCAAGTCCCGAAACTGAAGCCTCTTTCCTCTCACTCGAGGAATGAAGAAGTGCATCAACAATCACTCAACAACCAAACATCCTCCTCGTTATGGTCCAACTCAACTTCATCTCATCAACACATGATGATGATGAATCAAATCCAACTCAACAATTCATCGTTGAATGATTCAACTTTTGGGATTACCAGCGACTTGAAAAGCAAATGTTCATTGGAGCACAACGAGAATAATCATCACGACACTATTGTTTCAGCCGACTTTGAAATAGCCTCCAATCTCCACAAGAGAAAGAGAGCGAGCAGTGTTACTACTGTAGAATCATCCTCAGATGAATTCACCAATGATCCCATCATCGGTTCAGGACTTGTGCGAGATGATGATGCCGAGAGAGAGCCATTGAAGAATATATCCAATACAGTAGCATCCATGATGATGGCAAAATCAAGGCAATCCTTGAGCAATACTGCTCTGGGTAGTACTTCTAGTCCAATCAAAAAGAAGAAGAAGATCAATCTTATTGACTTTGAAAAGAAGAGAAGAGAAACCCGAGTTCTCAATGTTATTCCACAAACACCAACAACATGTACTCGTGATCAACAGAGTATCGGAGGCTTATACTTTTCATCAATTGAATCTGCTCTTCGTGAAGCACAACCATTTGATACCCTTCTTCTTCATGAAGGAATTTATCATGTACAACGAACCCTTAATATCAATGTAGAAGGAATTCATCTGAAAGGAGTCTCAGATAAGGTTCATTTGGTTGGCATGTGCCCTTCAAATGTATTGAGTATTGAACACAAATCAATAACCATTTCTCATTTGAACATTTCTCATGACATTCAACCATGCACCTCCACGAGTACTGCCGTTTCTTCATCTTCTGGTACTAATTGTGCTCTCATATCCATCGATACACAATCATATCTTGGTGATGAAATTTTCCAAATTCACATCAAGAAATGTCAACTATATAACAGTGTGGAACATGGAATTTTGGTTTCTGGTGTTGCAGAGGCTGTAATTATTGACTGCTCTATTCACCACTGTAAGAAGATTGGAATTCTTTATACGAACAATGCTAGAGGTCTTGTTCAAAACAATGAAATTTTTGAAAATGACTATGAAGGAATCACATTCAGAGGTAGATCTCATCCCACTGTAAAAAACAACCGGATTTGCAATGGTCATTCAGGAGGAGTCTACATGCGCGAAAACTCTCATCCTTACCTTTTTGAAAACGAAATTTTTGGCAACAAGCGCTCTGGTATTTTCATTGCCAACAAATCAAAGCCATACATTAAGAAAAATTTCATTCATTCCTGTAAAGAGAATGGAATTGTACTGAAGAATCAATGTGCTGGCAAAATTGAAGGCAATGACATTTATCAAAATGCATATCCAAACCTGTACATTGATGATGAATGTGAAACTGAAATAAGATGTAATAAGATTAGATTAGGAGGCTCGTTTGGTATTTGGGCAAAAGGGAAGTGTAAATCTAAAATTTGTGAGAACGAAATTTTTGACAATGTTGGCAAGAACATTTTAATTACCGAGTCAGCCAAACCATACTTTAGCGAGAACAAAATTTATTATTCTCGAAGTAAATTGCAAACGGAGGAACTCAGAGGAATTGTTTTAAAGGATTTATGCAAACCAACTTTTGAATTCGAAGAGATTCATGGACATTCATCCTCAGGAGTGGATATTGCAGGAAGAGCTCAACCTCTATTCTTCGCTTGTAAGGTGACAGATAACTCAAAGAATGGATTTTTGATTAGAGATTATGCTTGTCCAACAATTAATGAATGTATTATATCCAACAACGTTTATCCCAACATATTAGCCATAGATAGGGCTGAGACAGTGATTAGCAAGTGCAAAATACATTCTGGAAACCAAACTGGGATTTCAATTAAGGGCACACCAACTACAACTATAAGAGAAAGTGAAATTTTTGGAAACTCTTTTTCAAACATCAAAATTGGTGGAAACTCAACTACAGATATTATTGAATCGAAGATTTACAATGGAAGACAAAGTGGAATATGGGTCAAGGAAGATGCTTCCGGTAAAATTTTTAGATGTAGCTTGTTTAACAACAGAAGGGACAATATCTTCATGGAAATGAGAGGTAAAATGATTATTTCCGAAAATGAGGTTGATAAATAGATATTTCATAGTTCAAGAAACACTGTAGTTTATGGCTTCTTTCGTTTTTTATTGATTTGATTTCTTTCATCAACAACTTTAAGGTTGTTTCTGAGAAAATCAAATTGCGGACATTCCATAACGCTTTGCAGAATGTGGAAAGGAACAAGAACTTTTCCTTCAGATTCTTTAAAAGTTTCGTTATTGGCTTGAGCTTTGTACATTGCTACAGAATGAACCAGGAGTGAGGATGCAAATTTTCGAAAGAGAACATTGAACATGAGCGAGGCCATATCATTCAGTTTGAAGTCGCATTCATCCATTATTTCATCAATTCCGACGTCACTACAGTCACAATTGGTTCGCATTCCGCTTGCGAATTTTGAACAATGAGGACATTCATTAAGAGGATGAGAACATTCTTCATCCAGTGAAGTTGTACATGATTCAATATGATAGGTAAAAGAAGGAATCTTCATTCTTTTTCTACATCTATCTTGGATACGGTTAAAATCTGATTGAGGCTGGTGAGGGCATCCACAGTATTTACAAAATTGTGGATTCTCTTCAAATTGTTCAGCCTTTTTCTTGTTCTCTTCCTCTATCATATCTAACGCTGACTCCTTATGGAAAACAATCGGTGTTAGGCCAATGTTTCTTAATAATCGTGCAATGTAAGAAGTAGATAGATTAAAATTAGCATGTTTGGTTTGTAAATATCTTTTAATTTCCAAAGCTCTCTTGCGTTCGGCACATTTTCTTTTTCCTATCGTCCAATTGATAAAAACTTCATCAGATGTTGCAAATAAATATGGAAGATAGATGCTGTTGTCAGCTATCATTGGAAATCTTTCAGACGCCAGCTTAACAGCTCTTTCCTCTTTGTTTAAGGTATCAAATCGTGTGACAATATAATCTATTCGTATGAGGTGTATTAGTTTGCATTAGATCTAATTTTCAATGAACATACAATACCTACCCATCTTTGAAGGTTGGCAGCTGAATGGTGGAAAGGGCATATCAGAAATAAAAGATAATTCTTCATCAATGATTTCACTTTCAAATACAAACTAATTCTATTTCTTTGCGTTGAAGACCACATTTTGAAATACTTACTGCTGTTTCATCTTTTGTATCATTCGGTGATTTTTTCTTTTTCTTAGCTGGAGAGGAAGATCCAAGATGAATAACTTCTTCAGCTGAGAATTCTTCATCTGAATCTAGCTTGAGTTTTTTCTTAGTTTTTGTCTGGTGTGTGTCAACAAAGGTATCCGACTCGGAAAGAGCTTGTTTGTCCAACTCGATGTCTGCAATTGTTTCTGCTGAATTAACAATTTTTCCAGTGTTTTTTCTATCTAGTGATAAGTGATGAACAATGTCTAGCGGTTTGTTGATGTCTGTGTTTCCTTTGAAATGGAGTTGGACAACCACTTGAAATTCGCCATATCCTCGTCTGGATACGTGAAAAGGAGGATGATAAATATCGACAATATCATTCGGAGCAAATGATCTATGTAGAAATACTCGAACTTTCTTTACATATGTGCTAATATCAGGTTCTTCACTTGAACCTCTGACATAGATTGTCCATTTATGAGTATAGGAATCATGTACTTCCCGATGTTTCTCGGAAATAAATTGAGATGTATTTCCAACCACAATTCTCTTACGGATTGTATCTGTTTTCTTTTGATTTTCAAGAAAGCTTGCCAATTTCATAGCTTGATCAGCGTTGACTAAATTTATCATCAAATTTATCGATTAATCATCACAGTTTGTAAAATTTGAAAATATAAAATGTTGAAAAAACACCTACGTTCACTCCGTAGCTTTTTAAGCAATTCTTGCTTGTGGGCAACCTCTTTCAAGCGTTCTTCAATTAATTTTTGTTCCAAGTGCTTTTCCCGCAAATTTTCCTCGTAATCAATCACCTCTTCTTCGTCTTCCATTTTTTTCACCTCTTGTGTATCTCTCTCCAGTCCGTTCAACCACTTGGCTCGATATAGGTCTTGAAATTGGTATGCACGAACTGAACTGTAAATTACTTCATGACTAAAAAATGAATACAAAACCATCGAATGCCTTAGAGAGAAGTTTTGCGAGCCTGACGAATACCATTCTCTCTTCCGGGCCGACAATGTCGCCAGCAAAGAACAACATCTCTAATTCAACATTTGTTACAAATGATCTACAACAAAGACCAAAACCAGGGCTCTCCGCGAAGGAGAAACAAATTGTACAACAGATAAAATTACAAAAGAATATTCCATCGGGATTGCTATTGGCGGCCAGTTTTACTTCAGCAGAAGAAGTTATTGAGAAAAATCTTCTTCAAGTTGATGAGGAGCAAAAAGTATCTCTCTCTTTGGAAGATATTCAAGTATTATTCAAAGCAAAATGTGTAGATCAAAATCTACAATACATTCCAGAACGAGAAGATCGATTTATAGATTTAATACAAAAAAATTGTAGCGGTCTACTTTTTTCATTACGAGAACACGGTTTGGCAGATGAGTCGGCAAAAGCTTTACGAAAAATATTGGCAAATAACAGAACTTACACCATTCTTGATTTATGTGGTAACAGGCTGAGAGACACTGGTACTATTGAGCTAGCTCCCCTGCTCGAAGATAATCAAACAATTGTGAGGTTGGACTTAAGATCAAATGATATTGGAGGAAAAGGTGCAAAAGCATTGTTCAACGCATTACTCTATAACCAGACTCTAACGAGTTTGGATTTATCAGGATTGAGTGGAATTAACAGAAATCATATCAGCACAAAAGGAGCCAAACACCTAAGTGAATTGCTTCAACAAAACCAAACTCTGTGTCAACTCAATTTGGCAAGCAACGGAATGGGTGCAGACGGAATCAAAATACTTTGTAGAGGTTTAGTGGATAACTTTTCCTTAACAGAGCTAGATATTAGCTCAAATAACATTGGAACAGCAGGTTGTGAATCACTTGCTAGAGTATTGGACAGGACCAACCTTCAAAAACTATCAATGGAACGTAATCAAATTGGCAATAAGGGGGTATTTGTTATGTGTGAGAAAATGAAAACGATGTTAACTCCAACTTTAACCTACTGGGATCTTTCTGAAAACAGAATAACCAGCGAAGGTGTTGAGGTGTTAGTGGATATGCTGAAAGTAGACAAAAGCCTGAAGACGTTAAGAATTGAATGCAACGAGTTCGGTGATAAGGGCGCCGAGGATTTTGCACAGCTACTTGAAGTAAATAAGACCCTTAAAAAACTCATGCTTGGAGAGAACGCAATTGGGGACGAGGGTGCCAAGGAGATTGGAAAAGGTTTAGCAATGAACAGAACGTTAAAAACTCTGTTTCTAAATAACAATCTAATCAAAGACACAGGAGCAAAACGAATTATTAGAGGATTGAATGATGGCACGAAGTTGAAGCATTTAGACTTGTCATACAACAGAATTGGTGACAGAGCAGGGGTTGAAATAGCTCGAATGCTAACAACAAATGAAACTTTACGCACTCTCAACTTGAAACAAAACGAACTCAAAACCTCTGGAGATCAAATATCAGATGCCATGAGAAAAAATTTCACGTTAATTAACTTTGATTTTTCATTCAATGATTTTAGCTACAAAAGCTTTAGTTACATTACTGAGGCTCTGAAACGAAACGAAAAATTACTTAAATCTAATGAAGTGGAAAGGTTGAAAAAGAAAATTGAGCTTCTTCAAGATACAGAACTGCGATTGGTTGAGGTAAACGATAATTTAGAAAAAGAAAAAGAAGAAGAGATAATACTATACAAAGAATTAGAAGATTCAGAATATGAGCTGTTGCGAGTGAGGCAACAAAGCCAACAGCAGTTAGATAGACTTCAGGAAGAGCTTGAAGCAAAGAAAACTCTAACATTTGAAAAAGAAAAAGAATACAGAACGTTAGTTGAAAGTATTCAAGAAGAAAAGGATTTGTTTGAAGATAAATGCAGGGAAATTATTGACAAGACCGATTCTGAAAGGAGACGGGTAGAAGAATTGAAAAAAACCAAACAAGCAATGGACCGAGAGATTGCAGAGCAGCTCAAATTCTTGGCAAATGAAACAGTCCCTCTTCTCGAGAGTTTAAAAACTGAGGAAAACAATTACATGAAGGAAAAACAAAAAACAACAGTCACTGAAAAAGAACTATATTTGCTAGCAAGACGAGTTCAAAAACTGAGTGATGAATTGTACCCTCAAGAAATTGTTAAGGAAGAAATTGACTCAAGGCCGTCAACATCTTCAGGTAGAAGGCCCTCGGTAAAAGATGGATCGAGAACCACCTCAACAAAACAATCGTCCGCTTCAAGGTCGCGTAGATAATTGCCTGCTGATTCTTACAAGCTCACTAATTGATGCATGTCTCATCAAATCAACTTGAATCAATTCCGTTCCGCACTCACTCTAATTCAATTCGATCCTTGGTCATGTATGAAAAGTGCGTATCATAAAAGTGCGTCTCAATCGATGCCTTGACACTTGCGCACTTTTTCAAAACTTTGCAGTTTTGTATTTGTGCGTCTCCTTTTTGCTCTCTTCAGGTTTGGTATTTCAGCGCCATTAAAAAAAAAGACATCACTTCTGAATCATTTAACCTTCATTATTCGAACAACACACTAATTGGCAAACTTGTAAAAATTGAAGAAATGGCTCCCGACAAAACAGAAACACAGGCATTCATACCGACGAAAGTAATAGATTGTTCTTTTCAGGATGTGTGTGCTATCACGTCCATAATAACCATCATCACCCTATTCACGATAGCAGGTATTATTGTAGGAGCTTTGTCTGCAACGAATAATGATAGATGTGCACGGGATCTTCCGTTCCAGGACTCTCAATCATTTACTTTTCAATTTAATTCATCTGCCATCAAAAACATGTACATCGGAGGTGATTTAAAAACAACTATTTATTTCGATACGACCCTCACAAACAAGATTGAAGTGTTTGTAAATAGGTCATCTTTACTCGACCAAACCTACACTAACATTAACACCACAATATACAGTGCAGTAGAAAATGGAACAAGCGTGCTGCGAATTAACACAACCATTCCCACAACAGATTTTACAAATTGTTACTATGCATCAAGAATTATTCGATTACCTGCAAATCTTGCAACATTAACTGTTCAAATAAGCAATTACGCAAATGATTTAATTTTTATGCCAGATCCAAATACGAACCCCTCAACAAACCTTAGACTTAAATCGTTGACCGTTATGACAGGAACTAATCTTGTGAATATCACTCAAGTTCAATCAGGTCAAATTTTTATGAGTGGAAGAAAGGGACAAGTATATCTTTCGAAATTATTTGGAGCTGCTTTGATTGTGTCAACTTCCGGTGATATTACTTATTCAGATCTGTCTTCTGCCGTAGCATTGAGTTTATACACAACAAAAGGCACCCTACAAGGAAGTAGTATTACTAGTGTAGCGAATGGAACTGTCACTCTAATTGCAATCAAGAAGAAACAAACTCACCAAGGTATCAAAGGAGCTAAGCTTATTGAAATTGGTACAGAAGATGGAGAAATAGATGCTTCATTGAACAATAATGACTTCCAAGGTGAACTTCAAATTCAAGCATCAAACCTCGACGAGTCAACTATTCAATCCACCTATTATCCCGTTGTCAAATACTCATCTTTAGACTCTAGGAAACAATACCCAACAGACTTTGGAGGCAATGCAGCAGAGATTTTCACTCCAAACTATGCTGGAACCATTGGCGATCCATCTTTTGCCTCAACGCGTTTAATGAAAATTCGAGTGAAGAAATCTGGAAAATTATTGAACTTGAAAGTGTAACATCTCAACCCTCTCCTCCACCAGTAAATCCCAAAATTTGTAAAGTGAAGACTTGATTACATGATTTATGATATTACAATATTCTCGTTTAGGAATCTTCTCCTCTGGGCGAATTGGCTGGTGAGCATACATACTCTGCATCCATATCATCAGATGGCTTTCCTTTAAGGTTTGTGTCCGAGGGAGGAAGTTGCAACAAAGAACTGAAAGTATATTCTTGCTTCAGTTTGGTATCATCTTGAATGGAGAACAACTCCGAATGGAATAGGTTTCGGAACAAATGACAATGCTGAAACAATGTCAAACAAATCGCCAGAGAGGAAACACTTGCATTAGAAAGTTTCAGCCCGCTCTGTTTGGTTGGTAAATCATTGTGGTAGAAATCACAAATGGAAACTGGATTTCCTGAATGAAAGATCCTTTCAATCCTCCTTTCATGTCTCAGTAATTCCCTCTCTAAATCATACCCGTCGGAAATTGCTTTAAATTTTACATAACTTTTAACTGCTTTTCCATGCCAAACATACACAGAAAATCCATAAGTTTCTTCATCTCTAGGAATACTTTTTCTGAATCCAAAGTTGGAGGATTTCGAAAAGAAATACTCTTGTAAATCTCCTGTTGATAACTTGGCTTCAAGACCCTCTAGAGAAATATTGGAGGCAGAGGCAACAAGTTGAAGTAAGGAATGACTCGACAGTTTTATGCGTCTGTTTTCTGATTTTTGTACATTATCATTTCGTGATTGATTCCGAAAGGTATGAATCAGCACATAGGAATGGTTCGCGCTAAAGGATGTAAAATCTTTGGTGAAATCAAGAGCCGAAACCCGTAACGATGATTGCTCATCAGAAATACGCTCCTCATAGATCCATCCTTTGATATTGTGCTGGAAATAAGAATTGGGTGTTTCCTCCGATTCTCTGCCCAAATGCGCCCTTAAATCCCTCAACATTGCCTCAATATTTGCAAACACAGAAGAATCAACTGAAACTGTTGAACCCATTTTTATTTCAAATGGAATTGGATTGAATCAACCTTGAGTTAATTACCCACCCCTTATTGTTGATTGTTTACATTGTTTTAACATTAATTAACGTTAATAAACAAGTACTTTATAGGACTCTTTGCCATGATGAATCATCCAAAAGACATAAAAAGCACATCCATCATAATCACACGTCATGCACAGAATGGATTCCGTTGAAAAACCCATAAAAAATTTTTGAAAAAAATGAAAGGAGCCATGCAAGGGCATTTTTCCTCTCTGGTGAACAAGACCAAACAAGCGGTAAACGCCGGACTCACCAAGATGGAGGAAACTGTTGAGAAGGTTCGCCATCATGCTGCAAACGTTAATATTCCAACTTCAGGATTGCCAGGTGGATTGGATATTTTGGATGATGCTGCCGGAAATTTGCCTGTCGATATGCCACCAAAAATTGAAATCAACGGAGAAACCTATAAAATTACTAAATTATTGGGAGAGGGAGGTTTTTCATTCGTGTTTGTTGTAAAGAACATAAACACTGGAGAAGACTTTGCTCTCAAGCGCTTATTAATTCAAGATCCATCTCAAGGTATTCAAGCTCGAAAGGAGATTGAGGTCATGAAGAAATTAAACAATCACGAAAACGTGGTTAAATTGATTGGTGTAAAGGAAATACAAAATGGAAGAGCCAACGAAATTTATATTCTTATGGAACTTGCAGATACCGAAGTGGTGAGCATGATGGAGGAGAGAATTAATTCCGGAGAGAAGAAGTTTTCGGAACAAGAAATTTTGAAAATTTTCTTTGATGTTTGTAAAGGAGTTGCCCATATGCACTCCCAAAATCCTCCAATGATTCACAGAGATTTGGTAAGTTGTTATTTGCATTCAGCATGTGACTCTGTAATGTTGAATTTCACCTCTCTGTGTTGTCATATCTACTAATTGTATTCGGCTATAATGATTTTATACATCTGTGCATCTATCATTGCTCACTCTACGTCAACCATCACCTTTAAAAATAGAAAGTGGAAAATATTCTCTGTAAAGATGGCGTGTACAAGATTTGTGACTTCGGTTCAACAACAACACGAGTATACACACTCACTTCAAGATCCGAAAAACAAGAAGCGGAAGAGGATATCCAAAAGAATACGACACTTGCGTACCGATCTCCCGAAATGGCAGACCTTTATAGTGGAGATCCTATCAACGAAAAATCTGATGTATGGGCTTTAGGATGTGTTTTGTACAAATTATGCTTCTTTAAAGGCCCATTTGAAGATGCTGAAAGTTCTATTGCAGTAATTAATGGAAAGTACAAAATTCCACCATCATCCTACTCTCCTGCGTTGATTGATTTAATTAAGAGTATGCTCGTTGTATCTGTTAAAGATAGACCATCTGTATTTGACATTACTGAACGAGTTGGAAAGCTTTTAGGAAAAGAAGTCGCCCTTCAACGACCTGTGCAACAATCGAGACCACCTGTACAATCATCATCTCAACAAGTTTCTAAGTCTAGTCCATCCGTTAGCCATGTAACAAATAATGCTGGAGGTGACTTATTTTCCCAACTTGATTGGTTTGATAATGGAGGCCAACAAGCTACTTCTCCTCAACCTCAACAACAAACATTTAGCGTTCAAAGAAAAGCTCCATCCTCATCTGTTGTTGTAAAGAAACCACAACCAGCTCAAATTAATAGTTTTGAAGATAATGGTGACTGGGCTGATTTTTCCGATTTTGAAAATACCACACCATCTTCTGCCACACCAAAACCTCTTCCAAAAGTTGAAAATACTCAACCTAAATCCACACCAAAACCATTACCTCCAATTGAAACAAAACAACAGAATGCTGACCTTTTCTCTCAACTTGACTGGCAAGACTCCAATGATGCTTTCAGTAGCCAACAACAAACAAACGTTGTTAGCACTCCTCAAAAACCACCAGTCCTCAGACAACCATCTACTCCAGTTATTCAACCAACAGTTCAAAATCTTCAAGTTCAAACTCAACACAAGCGAAGCTTGAGTGAAAGTTTACAAGGAATGACTCTTAGTACACCATCACCTCAACCATCTTCTTCATCGTCACCAATGCCAGTGATGGCATTTACCAGTGAGAGCCGTAGACTTACAGTTTCAAGAGCAACCACTATCGCTCCTAGACAACCTAGACCAAGTCAAATTTCGTTGGCATGTTTTGATTTGTATACAAATGGTGATGAAAATCTTTTTGTTGAATATTTGGTTTATATTAGAGAAAGACCTGTATTCGTCGATCAACATGCTTGTGTGAAGGCCTTGATTTTAATTCATCACATCATTCAATCAGCACTCACAGACAAATGCGATCCAATCGATGCAAAGTCTTTACTTCAAGATATCAAAGAAGTCTGGAAACCAAAAAATCAATTAATTGCCAAATTTATTGTAGAATATGCCTCATGGCTTGAAAGAAGGTGCGAAATTTTGTCTGCTCTTAGAAATTCTGTCTCTGCCAATTTCTCTCTAAAAGGAGAAATTCAAATTGCAGAAATTTCAGATTTGCTCGATCTGTTAGATGGCTTGATGCAAGTTCAAAAAGCAATTTTGGGAGACAAGACTCCTTCGCCAAAGATGGGAGGCATCATTCCAGTAGCAAGTGACGCCTATGACTTGTACTTGTGTGTCACCAACACTCTTCAAAAATGTAGTGAAGCCAACAAATTCTCTGAAGATGTGAAGAAGGTTACCTTAAAGTACAACCAAGTTTACACAAACCTTACCAGATTTATTTCACAACTTGGTCAATTCAAACTTCAAGCCGGAAATGTGAGATCAATACCAACTCTTCCTCCAACTCCACCATCGTTCTTTGGTCTGCAAAAAACTTTGGTACAGCCTCCTTCTGCTTTGTCAGCTCCATCGGTTCTTAATCCAAACTTTGAATATAATGAACCAGACGAACCATATACCTACAAAAATTTGACGATCACAAACGAACCTCTCACCAATGCAGACATTCTTAAAAAGGACGGAAATAATCTGTGTGCTGACTGTACTTCCAACCAAGTACAATGGGCACACTTGGGCTACGGTATTGTTGTGTGCACTCAATGCAGATTGGCTCACTTCAACTTGAAAACAGGAAGACTCGAAAGCTTGACACTCAACAATGTTAAATTATCAAGAGAACAGCTTTCATTCCTCAATGCTGTTGGTAACAAGACTGCAAACGAATATTTCGAAATTGGGCTGCCACCAAACACCAAACCAACCAACAATATCAATCAACCTAATTTACAAACCTATGTCAGAAACAAGTATATTAATAAGATATATGTTCGCGTTGGCGGAGCAAGCTCTCCAAATCATATCAGATCACCAAGTGGTGGACTTGACCAACTGAATCCTTCTCAGTTCTACATGTAAACTTTCTGGACATGCAGTACAAAGAATCTGATTGTTGGAATTACCTTTTTACAACGTTACAAATAAAAATTATGACTTTGAAAGTGTTGAGCTATGATTGGATGATTGGGTGATGTCAATCAAGCAAGTTTTTAACAATTGATTAATGTAAATGCTAATGGATGATGTTGAGAATTGAGCGATTCATAATATTTGGACCTTGAAGAAAGTTTGTTTGTTAAAAACAATGTAACCATCAACAAGATTCCACAAATATTAATTTGATAAAATTGGACACCCAATACCTCCGTCCAGTGAAAAATACATCCAGAGAGTGCCCAATATAATTATCCAATCAACCAAACTGAACACCGACTTTCTAGCACTCAGTTGACTCAAGAGATTGAACCAGAAATTCTAAGATTATTATCGCTTCTTTCATGAATGTCCTTAACGTTGGCTTAACATTGTCACCACTACTGAGGAAAACCTCTCAAATTGAGCAATGGATTACAATAAAGTTTCGAAATTCAGATCACACTTAAAAAGAGGAGATTAACCCCTTTACAATGCTTTCACCTATTCCTTGAATGACACTACATTCAACAATTTGAATAATGGTTTCTCATAGAGAAACTTTCAATCTTTAACGGGCATTTGAAGAATGAGAGAAATGAGAGTATGTGCGATCTTTGGAAAATTTTACTCCGAAAGAGTAAACATCATCTTCAAAAAACACAAGAATCAAAGAGAGAGTCCCACTGCACTTTTGGAATGGAATCCATTTCAATCAATATTTTGATTTTTTATATAAATGAATTCTTGGATTACAATCATTTCTTCATTAGAAATGCAAAAAAATGTCCTCTCGGAATGACAGTTTTGACAACGAAGAAGATGAGAGAGAGCTCATTTCCAGCTCTGCACAAAAGGAGCCACACCTTCTTCATGAGACCACTACCACTCGAGACCATGAATCAGTTCAATCCTCCAATCATCATCACGACTACGACGAAGAGCAATCATCACCGCCACCGCCACCACGACCTTCATCAACAACAACACCTCAAGAAGAAGAAGAACAGAAACCACCTCCAACTCCTCTTCCTAAATTATCCATTCTCATGATCTCCCTATTAATTATTGCTGAAGCGGTTGGTTTCAGTATTTTATATCCGGTCGTTCCGTTTATGGTGAGAGACTTTTTATTGTTGGAAGCACAGCAACAACAACAAATACATACAAATTCTACTTCAATAGGTCTTTATAGTAGTATTAGTAGTATTCGTTTGGGAAATATTCGTTATCATTCCTCTTCCTCATTCCATCATTATCCTCATTACTTATTCCTTCCAAAGAGTTCATTGTTTTTCATTTCCGAGAACAGTATCAATTTTGCAAGTTTGAAAAGCCTTTTGAATGAGTCCTCGTCGTCGTCGTCTTCTCATCATCTCTCAAACAATTTTGTCGGCAACATTCCAACCTTCATCCCTTATTATGAAATTTTGAATCATAACATTACTATGAATAATTATACGAATCAAACCAATCATGAAATTAGTATTTCTGAGGAACGAGTGGGTTTATTGGTTGGAATTTTAGCATCAGCCTTTTCATTGGCACAACTTATTTCTAATTGGTTCATCTCTAGAGCGAGTGATCATGTTGGACGAAAACCATTATTAATGTTTGGTTTAATTACAAATATTGTGTTTCTTTCATTATTTTCAATTTCTAGGAATTTTTGGTATGCTCTTGTGGTGAGAATTGTTCATGGATTGTTAAATGCAAACATTCCCATTTACAAATCATTTCTTGTGGATATCACAGATGACAGCAATCAACAGAAAGCATTTGTAATTGTTTCCATTTTGTGGGCTATTTCCAATGTCGTGAGTCCTGGAATTGGAGGTTGGTTATCGAGACCAAGTGACAAATGGTCTTCTTTGTTGGGAGGTGAAGCCAGTTGGTTTCACAAATTTTTTACTCATTATCCATATGTTTTGGCGTTAATGGTACCCATTCTTATGAACATTATAACTCTAGTTTTGAATGTGGTATTCATGAAAGAGACTCTGGTTAAGAAGTCAAAATTTGCACAAAAATTGGATGATTTCTATAATGCTGTGCTTGTGAAACTTCGAATTAGAAAATCTCAAAAGAAATATCAAACTGAAGACGAAGAAAACATGTCAAACTCAGTTGATGGTGACACCAGCATGGATATGGATGAAATTGACAACTCAAGGGACAATATTTTGAATGTAGGAGCATCTGATCCAACTCTTGAGTCTTCGACAGACAATCTCTCAAAAGAAGACTCGCTCAAGAAACAATCTGTTGAAACAGTTGAAGAAGTTTCTGGCGATGAGAATAGCATGCTTCTTCTGTTGAAAGATAAGACTGTTGTTAAGGTGGTCTTTTTGTACATGTTTCTTGCTATTGCAACAAGTATGATGGATGAAATGATGCCTGTCTATATGAGCAATTCAGTACAGAAAAGAGGTCTTGCATTTGACTCATCTGACATTGGAATTATTCTATCAATTGGTGGTTTCACATCTCTAATTATGCTCGTTATTTATCCCAAGATGGCAAACATAGTTGGATTTTTGTGGATGTTTAGAATTGGTTTGGCTATTTATGCAGTGATTGCAACAGGTCTAACATTTAGTTCAGAGTTGGTTCGATTCGAGTTTTCTGGATGGTTTGTTTGGATATTTGTGACTGTCTGTGTGTTTATTAAGGCATGTGCTCAAGAGGTGGCATATACTGCCCAATTCATGTTGGTAAACAATGCTGCACCATCACCACGACACATTGGTAGTATCAATGGTCTCGCTCACATTGTGGCTTCTCTTGGTTGGAGTAGTGGACCAATGTTTGCAGGGCTCCTGTTCAAGTGGGGATTGGATTGGGCTGATCAAATCTACGCAGCAAACCCTACCAGCTTTTTTGGACAGGTTCCTCTTGTTGACAAGCTCAGCTTCTTTGTTTGTGGCTTGGTTTGTTTGATTAACTTTGCACTTTCGCTTACTGTCCCCAAGTGGATTGTGTTGGGACGGAGATATGAAAAGGGATCAAAATAAACGAAAATGTTGACATTTGCCATCCTTTAAGGCTCGATAATATCTTCTGTCTTATCAAACATGAGGAACAAATGAAATCTTTTTCTCCTTGAATATTAAATTTGTTTTTTAATTTAGAGCTTCTTCAATTTGAGGGCTTGGGCAATTCTGTCCATATCCTTTCTTCCTTGGGATGTGACTCTTCTTCCAGAGTGTGGGTTCTTTGATTGTTCCTCAGATTCCAAAACACCAATTCTTTCCAATTCTTGCATACACTTTCTTTGGACAGTTCTGGAGGCTCTTCCATGATGATATGGAGCATAACCACCGTTCTTTGATGAACCGTATCTCTTTCTCAAACCTTGGACACCGGTTCCTGGTCTAATGTAAATGTTTCTAGCAACAGCAGCACAGTGAATGTAGAACCAATCTGGGTTTGCTGGTGGCAATTCCTTGTGGACAGCAGTCTTGGCAATATCGACCCACTTTGGCAAAACAATCTTTCCTTGCTTCTTTAAGTGTTCAGCATAGGCAACGACCCATTGTTGTGGGTTAACGTCCTTCAATGTTGCTTGACGATTGACCATGTTGTCTGTTGTTGTTGTTGATGATATGAATGTGTTATTCGGGAGAGGTTGGATTGCTGATGTCAGTCAAACGAGAGGGAGGAAGAGAAAACTTACATTATTTTGGCGTATTTTTTTCAAACGATTTTTCAAAATTTTTGGTCAACCTGTAATAATATTTTACAATGGAGGTCTGTTTTTGAACATTGTTATTTGGTGATAAGTTTTATGGAGAATTGAAATGGATATTTGGTATCTAGGGCTGGCATCACATCCTGAGCTGAAATAAAACAAAAACATTATATTCGAAACTCAAGTTAAAACCATGTATCATTCAACATCACCAAAAAATGTCCAAACTTCGCTTTCTCTGCAGCCTCTCATCTTTGAAAATAATCTCCAACAAATTTCGAACAACACACTTGCTCGGAATAAACATGGCAACATCAACACGACAATTTTCGACAATTAACAATAATATGCGAGAAGAAAATGATACAACGAACAATTCAAAGGAGCCATCACAACAAAAGTTATCATATCACGAAATCAAACAAATGAAAAGAATGAAAGAACTGGAAGAGCGACTAACGAAGGGTAAAGGTGTCGGAAAACTCTTTACAAATCCAAAAGAGAAACAATTAGTTGTTACGGGACTTATTTTAACCCTTGTTTTTTGTTTAGCTTCTTTGTTGTTTTCAATTTATAGAGTTTACGATACACGGCTTCAAAAGCAAATTAGATGTATGTACATTGTCATATGAATTGCTGAGTCGAAATTGTATAATAATTGGGACTGTTGCTTGTGAATGCATGCCATATCAGATTTTCCATCCCCTTTTGTAATGTTGAATGAGAATGGAATAACCTGTGTAGATTTCTTTGGAACTTTCTCGATAAATGTTCCAAAGGAACATCTTCCTGATGAAATAATTGAAGAATTTGAGAAGAAGTCATACAAATAGTTGAGATATTTCAAGTGCTAGAAAAAGAAATAGAAATACCTCAAACAGTGTTCATCAAATCGTGAACTTTTGTAAAAAAGCTCGACCAAGGTCTCGAGCCATGGTTAAAATCGTGTAATTCGATCAATCACTAAAAAGAGTTTATTTTGAAACGTGAACGTGAATGTGAGATCATCACTTTTCATGGTGTTGCGTGAGAGCAATGGTTTCCATGTGTAGATGTATTTCGCCCAAAATCGAAAAAATCGATTATGATCGACCTGAATCGATTTTCTTGATCGTCAGAGTTGATATAAATCGATCATGAAGAACCTTTAATCAAATAAACTCTGATAATTTGCTTCTATTTGATTTTCTCCTCTTCCTCTTTTTGTCTAATCTTCTCTTTCTTTACCTCAATCAATCTTGCAACTTCATTCACCAATTTGGTCAAAGGTTTTACATACTGTTCCTCTTGTTTTGCAATATCTTCTTCTTGTTTTTTAAATCTCTCAAGTAACTCCTCCTTTTCTTTCTGAATTTTCAATAATTGATCTGCAATAACTTTTGCATTATTTTCTTCCATGTCTTTCATAGTTTGTAAAAATTTTGTCGAATTTTGCATATCCTTATCATTAGTATCACAGTCTTGTTTAGCGTTAATAAAAATTTGCTTCTTTAGCTGATCCAATTTGAAAGTCTGGAATTCTAAAACAGGTGATTTGAACGTAGTAACTTGTGATGTTGATTTAGGTTTTGGATCAAGATCAAACATATCATGCAAATCCATGCCACATATATCAACCTCAGGAGCCATTGAAGGTGTTACCTTAGCCTTTGACTCATCCAATTCTTTCTTAATGAAGAATGATTTTTCTTAAATAGAAGCAAGAGCTTTTTTGAATACAGGAGAGATGCTTTTGTCTGTATCACCTTTTCTTGTGCGCTTTTTCGCATTGTCTCTCAATTTATCTTGCGCTTCTTTATACATAACTTCCTGCAAATCGTTGCCATTATCATCAGTCCAATCCAAATCATCTTTCTCATCATCCTGATCTGAATGTTCTGATTCGCTGTCACTCCTGTCACCTTGAATTTGTGAAGCCAATGATTGTTTTTTGTTGGAGTGAGCAGAAATCTCTTTTTCAATTTCGTTAACAATCCATTTCTTGAATTGTTTTCTTGAATGAAAGTATCAAAAAATCTTTCACACGCTTGTCATCTTTTGGGGCGTTGCATGTTGCTGGTAAACCATCTTTGTATTTTCTTGAACCTTTAGCAGTAGGAAATGTGAAATTTGTATTGAATGACAACGCATCAATGTCGCTCATTTCGAACTCGAAAAAAATCGCGAAAAAATCGTCGATTTTTTATTCGCACTTTTTCGAAAATCACAATATGCATTGAATGGTGACAAAAACGTTGGTGGACTGGCCAGCTCATACTTAAGTTGGGGAACAAGTCTCATCTCCACAAGGTGGAGATGTGGTTGTTGGAAATGATGGCAAACATGTTGGTATTTTTGTTTCCTCGACAGAGTTTGTGCATTCAAGCTCTAAGAGAGAAATGGTTATTAAAGTGGGCTTAGATCAACTCACTTACGCTTTTACGAGCGGATACCAAATAAGAAGAAAATAAAACATTCTGAGCTCAGAAAACAAATTACACAATAGTGCATGTAGGGCAGCGTATTACTGTTGATGTACAACATGACTGGATGCATTACTCAATCTTGTTTGAGAGCTTGTAGTTGACACAAATCTCTGATACTTCGAGAGTAGGAGTGGTACTGCTTTGAATAGATCAACCTCAAGTTTTTGATTTTCGATCGACTTCTTCTTGACGGATGCCCACTCAATGTCATTCAACGATTGATGAATGATATCCATCGTTCGTGCAATATTTTTCAAGAGCTTTACGAACTTGTCTTGATATTGTCTATTCATTGCGACAAGTTTTTGAGAATGATCCAGAGAAGGAGCTTGAATTTTAGAGAGTATTTTGGATTTGTTCAATGCAAACAGGTGCAAGTTATCACACAACTCATTCAAAATTTGCAATCTTTCTGATAAACTTGCATCATTTAATAAATCAAAGCTCCGACTATATTCACTCATCAATTCATACTTTTCATGTAAATGAAATATTCTATCTTGGATATTCATTGACTCGGCCAACAGTTGTGGCAAATCAATAATTTCATTTTCTTGGTCTATGTGTTCGTCATGATTCAACTTTGTGTGTTTCTCATGATAACAACCACAATGTTCAGCTAGCCGCAATAATGAAGCCATTCGTTCCAATTTTTTTTTAATTGTGAAATTCAGTGGTTGATTACAAAGGTTTGAGTTGGCGGGAAATGTTGCTTGTTTACCCTTAAAAAATGTCGTTGCACTCGGAACGAGTAAAGACGCCACTGCCGGAGCAGTTAAAGAATTCCTTTTCGTTTGGAAATACATCACAGAACGAAGAGGATGGTATTGAAGAGGAAACAATGATGGACGATCATCACTTTGAAATGAAGCAAACAGAGGACGGAGCTAATTTAGAAGAATTTCATCGTTCCGAGAGTATTCAAGAGGAGCCTGCTACACATCAAAATACAACAGCAGCAAACAACTCTAGAAGAAATCGATTCAATCAAGACATGAGCCAGGCTGCAACCGAGGTTGATGAGGAGCCAAGCGACAGGAAACAGAAGAAAAGAGTCAAGAAGAAAAAACTAAAGAAAAGAATTGAAGAAGAGAACACTGAGGAGCCCAACCAGGCATCGAGCGAAATTATTTCCGCAACAAATGACACGAACATCAATTCGACCATTAAGAATGATCTCTTTGCAGACATGAAGAGAAATCACTACTTAACCATTTCTCCAAACGATATTATTACAAAAGATGTTGAGGAAGGTGATGATGGTAAAACCGAAGAAAATGTAATTGAGACAGCCAGAAATGTCAAAACTCAGGGACCTACATCACAAAGACAAAAAACAATATTTATTGAGAGTAAGTAGAACCTGCTGACTTAAGTAATTTATTGACGTGCACCGTTAGATCCTGTGAGCGGCCAGTTCAGAAAAATTAAGGAGGCTGATTTGAACAATCACAAGGACGTGAACGAGGAAATGGTTGAAGATGAACAAGAAATTATTGAACGTGAGATTAATTCCTATAGTTCCACAGTTTTGATCACTAACAATAATCTGTTTGTAATTTTGAACTTTACCCAAGGTCTTTTGGTTGGATTTTGTCTCTTTCACCTTCTTATCAACATTCCTCTCTATAGCCAACTGGTAGCTTTCGCTGAGTGGTATTCTTCGGTTGCAACAATTCTACAAAAGATTTACATGTTCATTTGTAGTATCTGTGCTGTTCTCTCCTTTTACATTCTTTCAATTGAAATACGCCCTCCAATTCAAAAGAGTACAATATTTACAGAGTTGGTTGTGGAAAATTCGTCACCTTTGAAAAGGTCTACAAGAACTGTGTCATTTCTAGTGAAGTCATTACTATGTGTAGAGGCATTCTCATACTTGTTGGCCTTTTTAAGCAGTGTCATAATTGCATATGCTGACGAATTCTTTGCATTTTACTTCTACAAGGTTGGATCGAACTGGACAACTACAATTTCAGTAGCTGACAGTGAAATGATTCCTAGATATGTTATTTTTTGGCATGTCCTTAATGGAGTGAGAGCATTGAGCAGTATAGTTGGATGGGTGTCTGCGACCATATTATTCAGAGGTTTAAGGAGACAAACAGAGACGATGTTTCAGCATCTTTTGAAGCAACAAAGAAGTGGCGATCAACGATGATGTCACCCGTGAGGTACAATGTGAACTATTAACAACAAGAAATCAAGAATATATGGTTAGTCATCAAATATGGAGACAGCACGATCTTTGGTGTTGAGGGAAAAGGATCGTACGTATATAATCTTCAAAACACCTGATATGAAGAACAAAGTTAGATTTACTTTGCCAATATGCACCAATTTATAACCTTGGTACAATACCTTTGCTTAATAACTTCTTCAGCATAACATTATAAAATGATAATGGAAAGTCTCCTTTGTGGTTTAGGTACGGGTGGCGATTGGTCTGCAGAGGGTGAAAGCGAAACATCAGGCATTAACTCAGTTGGTTTGCTCTCATTCGACACCTCACCGGGATTTGTGTGAGAAGCTTCCGAAACGTTGGAGTCAGAACAAGTTGAAACACTACAAGTATTAATTGAGGGATTGATCGCATTGGCTGCATTTGCGGCAGTGAGTAACGTGTTGTCTGCGGCAGAAGAAGTGACAAACACCGAAGGATTGGATAAGACGAGGATATTCTGTGGAGATTCGACGCTTGTGGTGATAAGAGATGGAGGTTCGGAAGATGGAGACAGCACAATCTTTGGTGCTGCAGTGTTTTCTTGACTTGTAGAAGTGCAATTGGTGGCTGTGGTGGAGAGAAGTTGTACAAATTGCTCCTTCATGGACACTTTGGCTTTTAACTCCAAGTTTTCCTTCTGCAATTCATCGATTTCCTTTTGTTTCCTGTCTACCTCTTTCAAAACCTCTCTAATCATGAAGTATACAAAGCGAAACTTTTCAAAGTCTTGCGTAGCTAAGAACCGTATGGTATTGAATAACGTGTCCGTGTTGCTCAGTTTACTGAGGCAGTAATTGTCCCAATCTTGCATCTCTTCGATTGAGAGATTTTCCCTCTGCTCACAATATTGGTTATTGATGATGGCATGGAGCCGTCTGAAGGTGTTCATTTGATCCTCTGTTATTTCGACTTGATCCCAAAACGATTCCATGATGATGATATTGTTGTTGACGATGATGAACAAGTGGAGGTTGGATTAGAGTGTGGTGTAAGGTGACAAATACAAAAATTCGTGTGAAAAGCGTTGGTTATTGTCAATGCAATTTGTTATTATCTCTTAAGAACGATTCACTATTTGCGGCGACAATAGAGAGAGTGCGTATAATAACAATCACACACAACATATTACAGCGTCACATTGATATTCGTTGTTCAATTTAAGAGTTTTCCCCAATTTCCATTTTTATCAATTGTCCAAAAGGGTCGAGGCGGACCAAAGTTCACGCTAGTTTAAATTAAAGAATGCATATATTGATGTTAATACATATTCGATTTGTCATTACGGGTAACTTTCTGAATTCCAAATGTATCCACAGCGACCTGCTGCAAACCACAACACATTCATTTAGCGAAAGTTTCTCTTCTTGGAACATTCGTATACTTGATGGAATTATTATTGTTCCAATCCAACGAATCTAACGATGCATTCTCTTTCAATCTCTGTGAGATTCCCAAGTCATCTTTGAAAGGTGGTACGTGTTTTATTTTATTGAAATAGATTCCTTGAAAGGGTCTGATTTGCTAATTTTCTTTTCTTCGTGACTGTGCAAAACGGACGGGAATATAATGTTGTTCGAATCATCAATTTAACTAATGAAGTCTCGTACAATTCCACTCAATCATTTACCAATTTAGATGACACTGTTTATGATATTTGTTGCACCTTATTAGCAAGATTCTTAATAACATGCGGGAGATCCCAATTTTCGTGGATCAGTGGCAGGCAAAATGATTCTATTTCCCTCTTCATCTTTTGTAACATGAACTACCTGACAACATCCAATGGTGTGACCATCAGGTAAGATTTGAACCTTTTCAAATACATGTCCCTTTTCTTGCAAAGTGCTTACGACTTGCTTGTTGAACCCTTCTTCAATTTTTACAACAGAAGAGCCTGGCTGAGCATGAACACGGGGAAGTTCCACCGCCAATGCTGGATTTGCTCCAAACTTATCAATCGAGAAGAACACCTCAATGATGGCACTAATAATAGTAGGACCTCCACTCGCTCCAACTACATATTTCACAGTCATATCTTTCTTATCGAGGAAAATAGTTGGAGACATGCTGCTCAAAGGTCTCTTTCCTGGTGCAATGGCATTAGCTACAGACGGTGGAAGGCCAAACTGGTTGGGTTTGTTTGGATCAACAGTAAAGTCGTTCATTTGATTATTAAACACCACACCTGTGGATAAACTAGCCACCTTACTACCAAAATTGTGGTTAACTGTGGTGGTCATTCCTACTGCATTGCCTTCATTGTCAACAATTGAAAAATGGGAAGTTCCCTTGTCTCTTATTGGCGCATAGGAGTCTGGAAAATAGTGTAACCAAGGAAAAGTTCTTGCTGGAGAAACACTTTCTGTTGAAATTTGTTCAGCATAGGTGTCACTTAAAAGCTGATCGATGATGTACTTGGTCACATTTTCTTTTGGTAAGAAGTTTACATCTCCCAATATAGAACGATGGCCGAAACCAAACTTCAAGGCCTCTAGAATGTAGTGATATCTTAGACCAATTGGTGCATTTTGGAAAGTGTTTGATAGATTTAAATTCTTCAAAATGCTCAAAATAAATCGAATGACAGGTCCAGAAGATGGTGGCGGTGGAAGAATGACCTTGTAATCTTCAAAATCTAACATCATTTCTTCCAAGGAAATGATAGAGTTGCTATCAGAGAAGGGCCGTAATGGCTTGTAATTTTTCAAATCATCCAATGTTATAATTCCGCCCTCTTGCTTAATTTCCTCCACAATTTTCTCTGCTATTGGTCCTTCGTAAAGCACATTAGGTCCTTGGTTGGCAATAAGTTCCAATGTATTAGCATATTCTGGTCTTTTGATTGTTTCCCCTTCTTTAAATACACGTAGAACTCCATTTGCATCTACGGTGGTAAATTGTTTCAATGTTGGATACTTGAGAATGTCATCTTGAGAAAGTCTCAAGGCCAATAGTGGTTCCACAGTCCATCCATTTCGTGCCATGCCAATCACATCTGTGAATAGATCCTTCCAAGGAAGTTTTCCGTAAGCCGAATGGGCCATGTAAAGTCCCTTAATCTCGCCGTAAACTGCAATGGCCTTTCCTCCAGTGACACTTTCTTCATTATTATTGACGTACATATCTTGTGAAGCGGCACTGGCAGCTGTTTCTCTGGCATCAATAAAATCAATAGTTTTAGTTTGGTTAAGGAAAATATTAATAAATCCACCTCCACCAACTCCACTTGCAAACGGCCTCGTCACACCCAAGCACAATGCAACAACCACTGCTGCATCAACTGCATTGCCTCCTTTTTCTTTAATTACCTTCAGTCCCATGTTCGAGCAAATAGAGCTGTCACTGGCGACAGCAGCATGTTTTCCAACGAGTTGTACTGGAGGGCTGCTTTTTGTTACTCTCATACCAAAATAAAGAGCTATACCAACTCCGAAAATACAAATGAATGCTAAAATCAAAATTGGGCAAGAAATATTGCAAATATGAAATATAAGTTTTTGTGTTTTTGTTCCCTTCACTTTGTAAATAGGCTGTTTCTCCAGAGTTGACAAGTCACTAGAGCTTGACACGTTGCTGTGATAACCTTGTCCTCCCACAGGATTAGAAAATCCCTTTTCCAAGTCTTGTCGTTCTTCCACAGTCCTTGGAGAAACCATCCTTCTCGTGAGCTTGGATTTTCCGTTTTGTCGGCTTGGATCCAATTCTTGATACATGGACGGTGATGAAACTTTTTCATCCTCTTCTAAACTCTTAAGACTTATCAGTGGTGTTCCTTCTGCCATTTGATTTATATATCAATAATTATAGTTGTTGTTGTTGTTGTATTCAAAACGTGTTGTTGCCTATCCGAGAGAGAGCAAGATTTTTCTCTACGATTGTAATAATTTAAAAACGTGTTGTTGTAGTTGTTGTTTGGGAATCATACAATTTAAAGAACTCTCCAAAAATTCAAAAGTTGTTTACGATCCAACTAGTGTCTTTCAAAAATTTGAGCACAATGTCTAGATAGCAATGAGTGTTGTTCGGTTCTATTCAATTCTTCTTCTGAAATTCTTCCGAGTGATACAGGTGTCAAGATGAATATTCATGAAGAGAGGAACGATTTCGGAATCTTTTTTTGATGATGAAACAGCAATGAGAAAACGAATCACAACATCCAAATCAAGCACATGATCATGTGCATCAAAAGGAATGAGAGGATTCATCATTCGTGATGAATTTCGCCAAAGTCTTCGACATTGGAATTCGGCACCTCTCTCACTCTCTCTCTCGAATGAGCCTCAAGAGAGAGCTCGGTAATGTAATGGCATTCCGAAAAATTGTTCATCAAAATTATTGGTGTCCAATGTTGAAGTCAATCGTTAGCCAGGCTAACTACACAGTGGGCTTATTATGGGCTAGAATTTGTCCAACGAAAGTCCTTTTCCCCAGAGAAATTGTTGGCTTGTCACCCAAAAGCTTCTTTCCGCATGCATAAGCGTATGGTGTTGAAAATAGTAAGATTCCAAGGTGAAGTGTGATGTTTTGTTTGGAGTGTTGAATCTCAATGTCGAATTGCCAATTTAATAATGCATGATGATGGTAGAGTTTTTCTATAAGTTGTTAAACCCACAGAAAACCCCTGGCACCTTCCTTTGTTACTCTGTCAATGATATTGTCGATTTGATGAAGCTCAAACAGCAACTTCCGGAGTCTATGCTCAATTCAGTACAGGAGAAATTATCTTCTTCAATCGAAACTACAATCGATTAATGTTTTGGGATAAAAGTAACACTTATTCATTGGGTTGAAAAGAAGGTATCATTACAGGTTTTGTGGACCTAATGATTCTCTCGAATGACCAGACAAGGTTGTATTTAATTGGACCCATGAGTTCAGAAGGAGGTTTTCGTTTGAAAGGAATTAGCTCAACAAAGATTGTCAGTTTAGATGTCTCTGCAATTCGTAACATGGTTGCTAATGATTTTAACTATATGCCTCCTTTTGAAGACGTGACTAGTTATTATAGTTTCGACACGGATTATGGTTTAAGAAGCCCGTTCTTTGTCTTATCAAATAATAACCTCTTAATGTCCATGAATTTCTATCCATTTTGGTTTCTTTATGATAATAAGTTAAAGAACTTTACAATAATGGTGAATGATGCAGTTCTTACCTCAAGACCTGCATGTCATCTAAAGCAAGCCATTGAAAGTAATACTTTGTGGGCAAAGTGCAATACTGGTGATAGTGTGGAATTTTGGAAATTCGATCTTTTTTTCCAAAGATTTGTAAAACTTCGTGTGGTGACCTATCCAGCCAACATTACCATTACAAATGGATACATTGGAAATAATAATTGGGTTCCAACTTCAAAATATATTTACTATGCAGCTTCTAGAGGTTTCAATGTTTGGGGACCAGAAACTCAATTCCTTAATAGGTGGACCATTAGTTATTACCCAGTGGTTGGTCCTTATACAATGGATGAACAACTTGTTGGCACTCGACTATTATCAAGGGTTGACAATAGAGATTACGTAGATCATGCCTCTCTCGCAGATTCAATGACTTCAATGACATTTGACAGGACCATTCAGAAAATAATGATTGTCATGAATTCAGACATGGTTTATCAAGTATTCGGCAAAAGAAACTATTTTGCAAATGACCTCTCCTACAGATATCAAGAAATAAGTCCAGTAGTTCACTTTGACGAAACCACTCGAACCTATGTTCCTGCCTACAATGGAATTGGCATCTCTCCCTCCACAACCTTCTCCTATGCCTATGGTATTTCATGGACATGTGTTTCCCAATACCTTTCTGCTTATAGAACTTGGGCTGGCAATCTAGCACTTTACAATCAGCAGCAGAGAAAATTTATGGCTGATCCATTATAAAGTTCTAATTTTGATTATGATTTTATTTCACAAAAGTCTCCATTTATTTCACAACTTGTTGGCACTTCACAAGGCAATTATTTCATTCTTGGATATTTCAGAACATTCATGGGAATGACCTTTCATTCCATTGGTTATTGGCAAAAAAGTTCGAGTGCCTCCTTGAACAAGTTTATTCCATTACAAGGAGGAATTACCAAATTGAAGACTACCTATGGTGTTAACAACTTTGATCCTGGAACTGGTAAAAAGATGTTACTCTCCTCCGATGAAAGATACTTGTGTGTGTTGGAAGATTTTGACATGGCTGGATCGATCCTTACCAAGAATTTAGCTATTTGGGATTTAACCAAACAAACTTGGATGAAAGCACACACAAGTTTTGATTCGGCAACGATTAGTGACATTGCCCTCGATGATCAATATTTATATGTGATTGGTAATATTCAAAGAGCTGGAGCCATCATGGTTAATAATATTGCAAGATATTCATTGAGTAACAATCAGTGGTATGCATTGAATAAGGGACTCGATTCAGCACCTTTAAATATTTACAATATGAATGGACGAATAATTGTGACAAGTGTCAAATCTGGAAGTGGTAAACAATTTCCAACTGGAATGGCTGTTTGGGATGGTCATTATTGGGATGTTTATAATGGAAACATTCCTGTCAACAACAGCATTTATCTTGTTCCTGGAATGCCAAACACAATAGAAACGTTTTATGGAGGAAATAGAGCCACAGAATTCAATACCATTTACAACAATAACATGTTTGTCAACTCGAGAGACAATGATGTGTTGACAGATAACACCATTCTAGCTGTTCAGATATCATCCATTCAGTCCACACCTGTTGATCCATCCATGTCCACACGAAACTCAACATCAGTCAATGCTGAAAATCAAGTTCAACCTCACTGGTGGATGGTTATCTTTTTCATTACAACCTGTTTGTTCATGAATCTATGGTAAATCCAAACATCCGTTTATGCCACAAACACTTTAAGAGAGAGAAGGTTCATTTAAAGTATTACCAAAAAAATTATATATATATATAAAACATCTTGTTCGATTACAGTAGTGAAAGTAGTTGAAAGATTCTTTTGTAAATATTATTATGATAGCAAATGTTTGTCCTTTGAAACCATTTCCAAAAAAAATGAATGAATTTCATCACACGACTACTACTGCTGCCACGGACTCAACAATAACCACCAAAGCCTCTCAGTCCGTCCATAAGTTATCTCCGAAGGCTTGTATGGGTTGTAGAAAAGCGCATAAAAGATGTTCTCGACAATTACCAACGTGTTCCCGATGTCAGAGCAAAGGCTTGGAATGTATCTATGAAGAGAGTAGTAATAACCATAATTATCAACAACCTTATTATTTAGCATCATCATCATTGGTGAGAACAAATTCAATTGGAAATAATAATAACAATGGCAATACCATCAATAATCATCCATATAGTTTTCATCGATCCAATGATAGGAATCTACTACAGGATAGCATAAAAAAGGTAAAATTAAATACTCTACAGACCTATTCGGAAATTATTTGCATGGGAACTCCTCTGTTTGAAATGAAACAACTTGAAGAAATGATGTTTTTAAGTTTAGATGAATTGTGTAATAATAGAAAAGACATTCTTTCTTTTTTATTGAGTATTCAAGCATTATGCGAGCAAAGATTTGGCTTTACCGATTTTTCTGAAAAATCGATTGTTAGAGCAAAACAAATTCTAAGTCATGTTTATGAAGATTGTGACAATCAATATGTGGCATGTACATTTTTAAATTTTGCACTCTATTTTGCTGGAGAAGGAAACAAACAAAAAGCAAGATATTATCTTTCATGTGTGGACAATTTTATTTCAGAGTTAAAAATTTATGCTAATGGTAGAAATTTACAAGAGGCCCTTAAAGAGAGACAACAAACGATGGGATCAGATGTTGTTTTAATTTTAAAGAATTTTCTAGTGTTTAAATATGTGACGGACCTCGTTGCTAGTCAAATGAACCCACTTCCTGATTCCAAAACGATTGAAGAAACATTTTCTCTACTTGTAGGTTTGTCACTACCTCAAGAATTCAGAAAAACTATGGCGAGTAACACTTTACAAGATCCTAATATGCTCGAGGATAGAATTAAGGGAATGGAGGCAATTTACAACTTAATTCACATTTCATGCAAACAAGAAGTGGCTTCAGACTTTATTCAATCTATTTATGATTTTGTACGTCAAGTAGTCATTGGTGGACTAAGAATTGCTTATATCGCCCTTGCCAAACCTGAAGTATCTACTGATGTCAATAAGTGGACGATTCTTCTCGAACAATCAGCGCTTCATTTGAGTGAACTGACACAAAGTGAACTTTTTCACTTTATTTCTCCACTTCTCACTCCGTTTTTCTTATTAGCATTCAATGCTAATCTAGAGGTTGCAAAATTAATAGAAAGAGGAGAACGAAGTAACAATTGTCCATTTCCAAACTTTGATGATATGACAAGAATTGAAGGTCTTCATGTCATGTATCCCAGACAATTGGCTCATTCAGTTGTTGATTATTTTCAGGTAGTGGAGAGAGATCTGAGAGCTCTTCGACTTCTCTCCACCAGATACAAATACGTCTCAGAGTTTGCTGACACTATTGAGACGTTTTTAAGAGAGAGAAGACAAACAAATTCACTTGCAGCAACCACGTTACACATGTGTCATGACTACTCTCCACCGGTCGATGTGAATGATTCCTCATCATCAAGGAAGTATTTCGGATTTTTATCCTCCTCCATGCAGCCATCCACGAATCCGATGCGACGAAGTGCAACATATTACACACAAATGAGAAGATTCATCTCGAGACTGAATTCGTCGTTTGATAAGGTTTGCCCTCAGAGCATCACCACCACCACAACTAACGAAACAATCACGGATGAAGACATGATTGAGGAATGTTTGCAATTCTTGCAGGATGACGATATTGAGTTGGATCCACTACTCTCCCAAATGCTGAATGGACAAGAATTCAGTGAATATTTCTGTGAGCAACAAGATGGCAAAGAGAAGATCTTGTAGTGGAATGATCGCACTGGTTGTAAATAAAACTCATTCCGATCTCATCTCTAAAAACAATTTGTCCTTCACCATCAAGAAAGTTTTTGATTTTAAATTTATTATAATTTAGTGATGTCAAAAAGAGATGATTAGCACTAGATTTGTCTTCAAAATTTTACAACTTTTCCACAGGTTGTTGTGTTGGAAGAAGTCCGTATTTTCTCTTCAATTCAATTCTATATTGGGAAAAGGTATCAGCTGGAGAGAAACGAGCAGGGTGTGCAGGACGGGTAGCCACTGGACTCTTCTCGCATGTGGTGTTCTTGTTGTCGCACACGTATTTGATGGTGTAACTCTCGCAGGCTTCGCAATATCTCAGTCTCATTTTTTTTTGAAGAACAAAAATTGTTTGAACTTCAGCTTCTTGTATTTGAAAACAAAACTGTTTTTTGGCTCGTTGAGTCAACATCGATATATATATTTCTTATTCGGTTGAAGCTCTTGAAAAAGTGGCAATGATCTTACAACCTTCTGGAAGCTTCTTGTGTTTGGTATCTCGATATATCTTATCCAAATCACATTTTTCAAGAGTGACGCTGTAGAGATCAGCATCTTGTTCTACAAAGTGAGTGTTAATCCAAAAGTGAAAGAATTTCACAAATTTGCCTCTCTTCTTCTTTTTTTACAACTATTTTAAAATCTCCATTCACTGGTACATTACATTTGAATTGGACCGATGAATCGGTAGTCTTATAGGTGATGCCATTTCTTTCTTTGCTCTTGTGGTCATACCTTACAAGAAAGAGACCACAAAAAATTTTCACAGAATTAGATCAAAACTTGTCAAACTCACTACTTTCTAATACTTACAATACGTTAAAATTGGAATCCAAAATCTCCATATTAATATAACCAGCTATTACTGGAGCCGGTGAAAGGGTAAGAGATTGTAATATTAAGGAAGGATTAGAATTAGGGAACAAAATATCAGAATCACTCAACTGAGCAAATATAGATATAAACGATAACGATGTTGGAATGGGAGGGTCTTTCTTTTCAGTCGTTGTCAATTCTGAAATGGTGCTTGTACTCTCATTGGCACGCGATAAACCACCTGAATGAGTCTTTTTTAAACTACTTGCAGCAACGCTGTCTTCGTTATTACTCTGTATACTGTCACTGCTTGTTGTCTCTACAATACCAATGGATCTCTTTGCCCTACTTGCATTTTCCAAACATGCTTTTTCTAAATAGTACACATATCTACCAAAAGTTATAATAAAAATGCTTTCAAATCGGTTTAGCATGTCACTTACCTTCTCTGACTTGGAATGGTCACACCTTTGTGATTCTTGGTTCTAGCTCTGGCATAATAATCAAGACATTCTTTGGCTGTAGGCAAAAATTGAGAATAATACAAGTAGCATGAAATACAAACACCCGTTCTTCCCTTTCCAGCTTTGCAATGGATAACTGCAACATTTCCAGGATCCTGACTCAGCCACTCATGAACGCTCTTACAGAAAGGGATTAAAATTTCAAACTTTGGAGCTTCGTGGTCATAAAACTGATACCTATCTTCTACTCTTCCATGAAAACACGACTTGTCGTAGGTTCTCTCTGCACACAAATTCCACAACTTGTATTTATCTTTGTGTCGAGTCTCTAGGAATCGTTGCACTTCTGACATTGGGTTACGGTAAATCTTCTCAAAATCAGGTGAAGGATAGCCCATTGCAATAATGTTAGGCGTTATATCTGTGTGAGTTGTATCGATTCAATAATCAACGTGGTTGTTGAGATCAACAGGTCATGTGACCGTCGCAAATAAAATTTCCGAAAATAGTAATCAAGTTGTCAACAAAATCATCATGAAGAGAGAACCACAGTCATCATCAACATGTTGTTTCATTTGATACGACGATTATTAATATACTCTCTTGTGCCATCTCATTGAGTGTACTTACAAGCTAAATCAAGATCAAATCCGTTCTCTGGATCTTCATATCTCTTTTTCTTTTTAGAAACCAATCTTCGTAGAATTTTCATCTTGTTCTTCTTGGAGTGGTAGTAGTAGTGGAATCAGTAATGATGATCAATTGGAATTGGTGTAACGTGTACTTTAAAAGGCTTTTTCAGTAATAACGGATACAAAGAAAATAAATATATGGAACAAGTCTGAATAAATTAATGAGAAGTGATGATATGGTGGTGATGTATTCTTTCCTAGTGTAAGAGCAAATAGGAAGAGGCTCTTTCCGGAAGTGGTGTGTGGTGGTTGATAATGGTGGTGGTTGGTGTTATTGTGATGATAAATCTCCCGAGATCAGCAATGATGATTCACTGTACTCTGGACACGAGCAGCAGCAAGAACAACAACAACAACCGAATTCTCTCTTCTTTCTCCTCGAGTGGTGTTAGAAAGAAGAATCAAAAGGAAAAAACCTCACACAATGAAGGAGCGGCAGAAGTCGAGAGCGAACAATACTGTGATGGCGGCGTTGAAAACGTTACACCTCTCTCGTCGACTTTTTTTCGGTGATGGATCTCTCCGCAATATGTCATTCTTCTCTCAATCTCGAGAAGAAAAAAGACTGAATTTGCCAAGATTTTGCTTTTAAAAGAATATGGAAGCAGTTTTCCGAATTTCATTGGCTCATAGCCAAACTCGAGTATGACAAGGGGCAGTAATTCGGTACGACGTCGATGTGTCACTTTGAGTTGTTTTTATCTTTTAACATCTTGTTATTGCTTCATGGATTCTAAAATTGCTTTCTGCAATTCCCATTCCTCGTCAGTCATGCTCATATCACGTAGAAGTTCTTCTTGCTTTTCCAACTCTTTTTTATGTCGCAATTTCTTCTCTTCGAGTTCTATGATTTGGCTGAGCATGCTTTGTCCTGATTTAATGGAGCTACTTTTTGCGGCTACTGTTGACTTGGGACGAGGGCATCCAAATTCGCCAGAAATCATAAGATCATCTCTGACTACAGAAAACACAGATTGAAGTCTACTGTCACACAAAACACTTGTGCCAATAATATCTTGTTTGATGGACTCTTCAAAGAATTGTTTCACTGGCTTTTCTAAAAAGTTTGATAACTTTTCTGTCGCGTTTTCCAATTGTTCAATGTTGTCTTCTAAAACATTCTTTGCACTTGTTCTGATTTTATCAGTCACCAATGGTTTACATCCTTGTAATATTTCAGCGTTAGCATTGGATGTAGGATCAAACATGTAATAACTGAAGACATAGGAAAATTGAAGTCCCTTTCTGCAATTGAATAATGTTAACATGGCCTGCTCGACCCATTGAACCTCAATCCATGCTGAATTTGGTCTCAATGAGAACATTTCTCTCTGAATACATGTTTGTGAGTTTTAAAGACGTGGCTAAAAAGAACTTACCATTTTCTCCTTAATAGTGTCTCTTGTTTTAGTCTCTCTGTTTCTAGAGTCCTCATGTGCTTTATATCTATTGTAATAGTGCAGATATCTTTCGAGGGATTGTCTAGCATGTTCTTTGTTGGAATCTTCCTCAAATTTACCGCAAGAATGGCTGTAGGTTTTATGATCGAAGTCCTTTCTGCAAACCCAACACCAATGATGTTGACATTTCTGACAGTGCATGTGGTTACATCCTTAATATGTTAAAATCCATGGATTCCATAAGATGATCTATTTGTACACTTGATACATCATTACTTACCTCCATTTTTCTCGATTGGAGTACCACATTTTGGGCAGTCCTTTGTGTTGCAATTCAACCAGTTAAAAGTCTCACTATCATCCTTACACTTCTTTTGCCAAGCTGTGAGCATGTTGCAAGTTGCTGGCGAGTGGGGATATTTTGTGCATGCAAAGCAAAAGATTTGCCCGCAAGTACATTCAATTTCGAGCGGAGTTGTGTGCGGTACATTAACTCTTACACATCTGCCACAGCATGGAGTAGATGGACACCACTAATAATGTCAAATGGTTATTTTCGAGAAGTTTTGTTGACACAAACTCACATACCTTTACAGATTTGTTATCTTCGACATATGATTCAATGAACTTTCTTTCGAATTTTTGCTTCTTCTCACCAGAAACAAATTTAGAAATAATGTCGTCGTCAATAATGCTGTTACATCCAACTTCTGGACAAAAGATTTGTTGCTTGCCTAATTTGATTGTATGAATCTATTGTATTGTCAGGTTGAGTCAAATTCACATACCTTCATTGATCTTACTTTCTATATGACTTTTCCAGCAATTATCACAAAAAGCGTGAGAACATGCAGGTAATTTTGTACAATTAGCTGCAGGGACATCATCATAGCAGAGTGGGCATTCAAATTCATCACCCTCTACAGTCATACATGAAGCATCTTGAATGTCATTTTCACTCAAGCCTACATATTTCAATACTCCTTCTTTTCCTCTTTCGAAAAATGTGTTTAAAAGCTAAAATCATTATTGCTTAGCCTGATATTGTTTCTTGCGCGTCACAACTCACCTTCTCAGAATTCCCTTTTGAAATTGCACATATAAAATCAATTAGATCAAAAACAAAAGAAAATACCTACACTCAAATTTTCTTAATAAAACCTTTGCAGAAGCATCTGTAACGCCCATAATACCGACAATATTTTCAATTTCTGTTCTTTGTTCTTTAATGATCTCATCCAACGTCAATATTTGATACTCGGCTTCCTTGTGTTCTTCTTCTCTGAGTCTTGTGGTATTTTCAAATCCATCATCACCATCTTCATCCTCGATCATGAATGTTTCATCTTCCGTGTACCCAAAAGATTCAGCAGTACCTAAATAATCGTTCGGTTATACATTATCAAACAACAAATAGATGATCAAGGCCGAAATAACACGAAGATCATTATTTGATGAACATTCATTATCATATATTGTTAAAATCATGACCAATCCATACGGATATTATTGGTTGTTGATGATAATTTCGCAACCTTGTCATCAATTGCTCTGACATACCTGGCGTAAATTCTTCTTCCGACATTTGGCAAAGAAAGTCTTTATCGCATAGGCTAATTTTTTTCAAGTTACAACTTCTGGTTGGTTCAGGAATCTACAACAACAATATACCTCATAGGTGGTCAAGTCAGCTTGTTGGGTTTAGGACAACAGCTTGTTCAACGGTGTTCTCTTCTAGGACCTCTACTCACTCTCTTGTAATCTATATATCTTTTGTTTTGAACAGAAGCAACAACACGTGGCACAACACGAAGTTGAAAGAAGAGGTGATGAGTGAGAGAAAAAAATTTTCGGAGATCCAATTATTCTCGTCATCATCAGAAATGGAACAATATATTGATTTCAGCGACAAGAATTTACTTTACGTGGCTGGAGTAACTATCCTGGCTCCAATCATTTGGAATGTTTTGGCCCGTATTGAATATCATACCCGTTTACTTACCAAACTCGCTTGTGGTAATCCACAACTAGGATGTTACATGTTGGCTGTTTATATTTTCAGCTTTTCCTTGTTTAGAGATTATTTGTTTGATAGAGCACTCGCTACTCAACCTGTCGTGTTGAAGGAACAATACGGAACTGAGCTCATGTATGTGGGTTATACTTTGCAAGGAATTGCTGCCTTGTTGGTTTTAGGAGCCTATTATCAATTGGGAATTACTGGAACTTATCTCGGTGGTATGTTTGTTTGATACTATTAAATGTTTTATGATGACGAAAATGATTGAATAATTATGATGATCGATATTTTGTTACCATGATAAATTCAATAATGATATATATTTTGATGATGACAACACTTCAATAATTTTGTTGCAATGATTTGTGTGTGGATAATGATGATGATAAATACATTCACTCTGTGTATACATTCACTCTGTGTGATACTTCATAACTAAATGATTGAATCATGATTGCATTCATTTCTCACACCTTTCTTTCGGAAAATGGTTCTTTCAAATAATTGGTTATGGCTTGTGATTTATCTGGCACAATAGACTACTTTGGTATTCTCATGGAAGAAAGAATTACCTCTTTCCCATTCAACATTACTGACAACCCAATGTACAATGGTTCTACTTTGTGGTTCATTGGCCACTCCCTTGTCAAGTGCTCACCAGCTGGTTTGTTGTTGAGTTTGGAGATTTTCATCATGTACAAGATTGCTTTAATGTTTGAGGAACCTTTCACTGCCATGATTTATGCTAAGAGAGATGAGGAGAGAAAATCTGGTAAATCATCATCATCTCCAACTACACCATCAAAGAGAAAGAGCAAGAAGTTGGATTAAGTATTTTGACTGTTATGAATCAATAAATTATTGACCCATTATTTGCTTTCAACGACACACATACTAAGGAAAAATCTTTATATTAAAATTAGGGAGTGTTTTCGTCATCATCGTCCTCTTCTGGTTGTACATTTAGGAGTTGTCTAGCGCATTGGTCTGCAGTCAATCTGCTTTGACCAATGTTGAGCATGTCAATGATGAGATTGGCCAAATTTCGGTTATGGTAAATTCTGCCCACTTTGTTTCGAATGTATTCCTTCCAATAAGAGAGCTCTTCGTCTGAAAAGTTTTGCTGTTGTTGAAGTGTCTTGATGAGTTGGTAGGTGTGTGAAAATTGGAGTGAATTCTTTTCTAGATCTTGTGAAAGAGGATCTTCTGAACTCATTTCCATCGTGAGTGACATGATTTGAAACATGACAACACCCAGTGCATAAATATCAAGCAACTTCCATCCATTCATTTCATTCTGATTGGGTCTAACATTCATGGTGTTAGTTGGTTGAGTATTTCCAAAGAGTGATTTAATTTCATGATCCACATTGTAAGAAAATAAATCTTGTGCATCTTCTTCTTGCTTTGGTTTTGAAACGAGGTTAGCAACTTCCAACAAGGAGGATTCTGCTTGTTTGAAAAATGTATTGAGATAGAGATTCATGGTGTGAATGTGAATTCCAACATATCCCAAAAAAACATTTTCCAATGTTTCATCCAGAAATATATTCTCCAAAGAAATGCATCCATACATCTGATAAATGTGAGTGTTCATTGAAAGGTAGAAGCAACAATTAAAATAAAGCATGATAAGGATTAATTACATTTTTTCAAAAGTAGAGTCAATACCTACAGTCGTGTTTAAAGTGTTATGAAGATAGGAGAGTGCATCCAATAGTTGTGAGAAATATTTCAAAATGGTTTGACTTTTCAGGAATTTTTGTTTTTCCAATCTTGTTTTGACCAATCTTAATAAATTTCCTTGTGGATAAAATGGTGTCACAAAACAACATGATGTTTTGGTCATGTAGGTATCTAAAATTGGGATTAAGTTTTTGTGAGAATACATGTTAAATTGTGACATAAAGTACATGAGAAAGGAGGATGGCTGTTCGAAAATCAAATTTGGAAATGATTAGAATTTACATTTAAAATAAATCCAAAAACATACATTTTCTGCTTTTCTACAATCAACCTCAATGACTAAATGACAAAAAATCATCAATGAGTTCATAAAGTTAGAAATAAATCTCAAATTCTCTTGTACTTACTGGTTTTGTATTCTCCCATTTTAAAATCTCTAGCTTGAAAGACTATTTAGTGCATTTGTATCATTATTGTTGTATATATATAGCCAGGTCCATCACAATAATCATTTGTGACAGAAATATTACATGCATGTCATATTTAAATAAATATTGCATAATTAATATATTTTCAAAAACATGATCGCACCATCATAATTCTCACCTACACTTTACAAAAGAGGGCCATAAATAAGAATTTGTGGATCCGACACCCGAGGCATTAAAGTTCTGAATTTCTGCAATTTTTTGATAACGATCTCTCCGGAAGGAAGCCTCTTGGAAACTTGGCATCGTCATCATCATGTAAGAATTATTTTCAAAATTATTCGCAGGTATTGCTTGTAATGAGTGATCATTGAAAGGAGTGCCATGTTCCATCTTTTCGGGATTGACTAGTCCCTTTTCTACTCTTCGTTTGGAGAGATCAAAGGATGGAACGTTGAAGGAGGAGAGCGTTGGTGTGTTTAGGATCGTGGGTCTTTGCATTTTTTCGATTTATTTGGATGGCATTTGATGGGTGGAGTCAAGCAAGCATCAAACCTTATTTACTCGAATCTCATCTCAATTTTATTTGAAATACGTTTAGCCTCCCTTTGGTTTCACAAGGAATTTCAATGCCAAGTAAGCAACCACCTTGTAAACAAATGTCAGAGCAAAACAAAAACCAACATTGATCCACACGTTTGAAAGTGGACCATTCATTTCCAAATTCTCAATAACAGCTGCACCATTTGGGAAAGGACAAGCTCCACTGGGTGGACATATAAATTTGGCTCCTTGGAATTCATTAAGGATCAGTGCTTCAAAGCCAAAGTGGAACAAAGAGGTCCAATAAATCCATGTCAACCAAATTGGAAGATTGTTAACATTACGATAGAAACCACCGAAAAGCATGAGCACAGTATTTACAAGAGGGACAATAGCCATAGCAACTCCAAAGTTAGGGAGGATGGAACCAATCGCTTGACCCAAAGATTGACCTGTAATGGTAATGACTGCTAATAAAAACATAAACATGAAAAATCGTTCCACTGTTCCATTCAATCCACACATCCAATAGGAAATGCTTCCAAACAACAGAGGAAAGAAGAGTAGAGTTGGAAGTTCAGCAACGTTACGGGCCAAGAAATAGCTGCTCACTTTGTACATTTTCGCTCCTCGTTCTCTGAGGAAAACAGGCTTGTCATCATACATTAAGGTAACTGAGGCCATGGCAGAGCTCAAAAATTGATTAGTACAAATAAAGAACAGAACACCTATTCTATCTGTGACGTTAGTTTGAGAGAATCCAAGCTGAAGGAAAATGAGACCAATTAAAAGAGCCATGACCAAATTTTGGAATAGCTTGGCCATAGTCACCTTTCTATCTCTGATAATGTTAATGAGGGCTCTCATGGTCAGCACTCCAAATTGAGCAAGCCAACTGGAGTTATATGAAGAAAATCGTTTCAAGTCTTGATCAAGCTTGGCTGATGGTGGAATTTCAATGGTAGGATGAGTCTTGGAATAGTAATTTAACACTCCTTCAATTCTTTCGTCTTGTCTCTTTTTCTTTTCAATGTTTTCACCTGTAATTGCTGCATTCTCAGTTACGACGTCCATAAGGTAGTCAGCTGGGTTGTATCCTGTTGGGCAAGTATGCCCAATTCTATCAAAATATTCAACAGCCTTATTGGCATCTCCAAAGTAAGCAACTCGGCCTCGAGAAAGAAGTAAAAGTTTGTCGAAAATGTTAAAAATGTTTGAGGAAGGCTGGTGAATTGTAAGAATGACAGTTCGGCCATGTTTCGCCAATTTTGAGATGGTTTTCATGACGTTATAGCTGGTTTTGCTGTCTAGGCCTGTAGTTGGTTCGTCCAAAAACAAAACAGATGGTTCTGTAAGTAATTCAATTCCGATACATAATCTCTTTCTTTCTCCTCCTGAAATGCCTTTTACGATACCAGAAATACCGACCTTAGTATCGGCTGACTTTGACAAGCCCAAGTCTTCAATAATGGCATCAACTCTTCTCATTCTTTCTGACATTGGAATTTTGCTGTCAAGACGCAACATGGCTGCATATCGCAAAGTTTCTCTCACTGTTAGGTTGCCCATGAGTACGTCGTCTTGTTGCACGAATGCTGAAAGGGCTCGGAATGCTTTTCCAGCCTTTTGACCGTTGGCAATAATATCACCTCCTGAAGGCTTGACTCTTTGTGACAGAATATTTACTACACAAAAGTTATCATTCCATAAATGAATACTTGGTGAATCAATACTTACATAAAGACTAGCGATTATTAGCATTCGGTATAATTGTTGCAAATTAAAATACTTACTGTTTTACCAGCACCGCTAGGACCCATGATGGCCAACACTTGACCAGGAGCAACATAACCAGTTATCGGATGCAAAATTTGCTTATCAACTTTCTTAAACATATTCTTCAATGTAAATCCAAGTCTTTCTTTTGGTTTCATGATTTGTGATGGTGGAGATGGCTTCACTTTCACCTTAAATTCCAAATTATGCCACTCCAATTGAATAGGAGGAGACCTTCGAATGAATTTTGTTTCATCATCGGAATGATCATTTAAGTGAACAGGTACTACAACACTTGAATTATTTTGCTTTTGTTGAGAGCCATTAGAAGGAATATCTGAATCCAAATTAAATTCGGATGGGACTGATGATACCTCAGGTAAATGAGGTATTAAATTTGGCAATTCAACTTCCGTCATGTTAGTAGTATAAGGGAATAAAGAACGTTATAAGGAATTGCTGTTGAATGAGCTCGGGATGAAAATATTTAATAGGGCACTCGATATTCTTCTTGTTGAAATCTCCTAGGTGTACCAGAGAGAAGAGTTCAAGAGATGTTTCAGACCGTTGTTGATGCGCTCACTACTGCGAACGGGTATTGTTGTTTTTATTTGTTTTGCGAATTTTGAAAAAGCGCACAGTTTTAAAATTGTACTTCAAACAAACCACACGGTGTGTGCATGGCCATTGCGTAAATGTGCGACATGGTTAGAACCAACGTCCATTAAGCGCTCCAATTGAATGCGTCGAAGGATTTCTTTGTTTTTGATGCTGTAGGTGGCCCTCGAAGAGAGAAAGCAAAGGGAACAGAAGCGCGTGTGTCTATTATTGGTGTGCAACTCGCTGATGACCTTACGAAGCGCATAAATAGAAATCCTGCGCTTGATCGAATGTGTGCGTCTGACCTCTCCTCAGAATAAAATGTGAGCCAATGAGAGTTGAACATCGTCGAGGGGTGGATTGATAATGAAAATGAATTTGGTTTTGAGACGGACTTTATGGTTCCAATTCACTCCAAGAAATGTCCAAAAGTTGCATTCCGCTGCCCATTCATGTTGTAAATGATTGATTGTTGGGAGATACACCTTATTTGAAGGATTGAATATTCTAATTGTAAAAATTTACATGACATTTACAATTTATTGAAAGTTTAAAGAAAAAATGTCTTCATTACTGTTCATGAAGGAAAAGTCGAACAATTCCTCTCCAACAACATGAGGTGTATTAGGGTTGACACCAACAACAAAAGGAGGGTTTTGTGGAGACTCCATGTTGTTGCCGCTACTATTACTACAATACAGGAATGGTAATTGTTGTTGGTTGCTCGAGCTGTGCATGGATGACAAAAAATCCTCTCCCCACAATGTATTATGAAGGGCATCTTGTTCCAATGAAACAAAAGTAGGAGGATTGGTCCAAGAACTCAAAAACTCAAAATTGTTTCCAATCGTTAATTGAATATTGGAAGGAGATTGTGGAGTGAAAGACATAATTGGAGGCTGTCTTGTTGTGTGTGGTGAGGTGTCGTCGAGGTTTGTAAGTGGTCCATTCTCAAAGGAAGGAATGAAAGAAGACATCTCCTGCTCCTCGTCGTTGTTGGCATGAGAGAATGACGACATGTTTGGTGAGACATCTGCTCCATGATGTTGAGATGCAATGTCATCACTGGTAGAGTTGTTGTCGTCACTATTCTCAATGAATTGAGAATGGTCTTGGTTAGAATTGTTGTTGGTGGTGAACCCATCCACTTGAAGATAGGTTGAGAAATAATCTCGAATGCGATTTTTGTTGAAATCGAATACAGGCATCTCAATACCAAGCTCATCAAGAAGTGGCTTTACCTTCTTCTTCACTTGAGATGGAGTTGATCTGAACATGCATGCAATGTAAGGATACGAAAGAATAGTTTCCTTGCCATCTTTGGTTTTCAACAGCTGTTGCAGCAATTTAGGTTCATCCAACCATTTGTGGTCCAGCGTAGGCACAAGATCCTCTTCGGTTTGAATCAAGAGAGCATGTTGATGGTTCAGAATTCCCATACGATTCAAGTGATGTCTAAAAACCTGATCGTTTTTCAGGTCGATTCCAAAGGTCCTTCTTATTTGACGAAGGAACTCTTTTTGATCACAATGAGAGGTTTTGATGTGATTTTGAACAAAGTGCATCACAGATTGCCAAGTGGGCAAATATTGCTTGAGAGGAGAGGAGGCATGATTGTCCTTGTTTGATCTGGAGCATCTGGAACGAGTAGTAGTGGATGATTTGTTATTGATGAAGGTGTGAGCCGTTGTTTGATTAGAGGAAGTTGAAATATTATTGCCATCATCACAATTATTATTAGATGAAGAATTCTTCTTTTTTCTTTTTAGAGGAGGAGGAAGGTGAGACCTTTCTCTTGTTATTGGATGAGGATGAAGCATGTACACATGTATAGCTTGAAGAGGAGGATGCAGAGCACGAGGATGTACTGACCATGCTGTACGCTTCATTGTCTTGAAGCATGGAGTGTCGAGTTGACATCATCGAGTAGGTGGAAGGATTTGATGACGAGTGAGTGAAGGAAGAGGATGGAGAAAATGGGTTAGGAATATGAGTGGGATTCACAATATGGAAGGCAGGAAGGCACCACTCTTGGGATGGAACGGCTTGTGCTGGCTTTTTGGAGCTGTTGGATCTACGAGGCATGGTAGAGAGATTGTTGTGGTATTGTTTTGTTGTTTGGTGTGAAGTTTTTTGTTTGATTGTGTTGGTGGAACAGAAATATGAGATGGGAAGTCTGTTTTCCCTGGTGGTGTCAACCAACAACAACAACAGCTGTGGACTCTGTCAACAACACGGCAAAAACTTTTGAAGCTGTCAATGTCAACATGTTGCTTGTCGCATTCGAGCATACCAAATAGGCGGAAGAGAATATATTGGTAGGTGGGCAAGCACACTTTTCCTATGTTTGTAAACGTTAGATTTTCGACTTTCCTTTCAATGTATAGTCTTTACTTTTTGATCATAAAAAAGACGCAGAAACGGGCAATCCGAGTGTTGACAACCTTCCTTGGAATTAGTTGTTGTGTTTGTTGACGAACGTTCACACGAGATGGTTTACTTGTTTTGCTTTTGCAAACCTATCATGTGTTTTCTGTTCAAAAATGAGTCTTGACTTTTTTAATGTTGTTGTTTCTTCTTCTTCGAAATTCAACGAATAGGAAGTAGTGCCATATAGTGATGATGAGAACGATGGAATGTCTAATGTTATGATACACCCAAATTTGAATTGACGAATCAAAAAATGTTTCAAAAGCCTCACCATCAGCACCCACAAGGCTCGGAACATGGAGTTGAGCTCTTTTCCGAAGCAGAGCGATTTCATGAGAAGGAGGAGGACGATGAGGATGCATCATCGGATGGTAGTGGGAAGAGCAACACACATGTGTGTTCTGGACCAAAAGTAAAGATGGAATTTAATTATTTGAATGTTCAGTCATCGATTCCGTTAGATGGAGAATGTTGCTCCTTTTTGTGTGAGCAATTCTTGCATCATGTATTATTTATACGACAACAAATTCCTTGGTACGTATCAAGCCTCTACTTGGATTATTGAAATTTTGATTTCATCGGAAATTAATAATCGTGATGATTATTAATGATGGAATGATGAAATTCAATTTGGGGGTAGCCTTTTTCCAATATTGGAATCTAAAGTGAACAATATTTATCAAAACAAAGAGGAGAGAAAAAGAATTTCTTCAAAAGATAAGAAACTAGTTAAAATTTATGAAGTGATTACAGGAATAATTGATAATATTATTTCAATTTTGCAACAAGATCCAGAAAATAATATTTTTGCCTTTGTTTTAGGAAATGCCATGACAAACCCAAAAGAAGTGTACATTATCAAATTCAATAACTCAGCAACGTGTCACATGAATTATTCGGATCCTAAAAAGCATGTACATATGGTGAATCTCTCAAAGAAAGTAATTAGGAATATTATTGGAGGATGTTTTGACATTTTCATGTCTGATTGCAGTAAGTATGCCTTGTTGCAAGACCAGCTCAACATGTGCAATTTCCTCTAAGAACCATTACCATTATACTTTCTTGCTCGATTGAATTCAAATTTTGGTAAAGAAAACGAAAACAGTGACGAAATGAATGAGCGTGAATATTCGCCAAATCATGCAAGTTATATTTCTAAGCCAAATTTCAAATTCGGGCTAAAGGTACCTTCTAACTTTAGAAAATCCTTTAGACAGCACAAAAAAGAAGGTATTCAAACTATTGATATGAAAGTCTCAAAGTTATTCATTTTGGAACTAGGTGACCATGAAATGAATAGCATGGAAATTTCTCAGTCGAAACAACAAATTGCAAATTTTCTCAAATTTAACATGACGTTTCAAACCAGCAATCTATCAATGGAATCACCTCAAAAAGTAGAAGACTCTGAAGATGACCACTGCTGCTGGTTTCTTTTCAAATAAAGCAAAAAGGTCACAAACATCAGTTTCAAAAAAGTGGAAATTTCTCGCGCCAAAAATTTTTGCGCGTCGTTTTCACCATAAAAAAATATTCACAAGCCAATCCGTGATCATATTCACTTTTTTCGAAAAAAGCCTCTCATCTTCATCGGCATGAATCTTCTTTAATCCGAAAAATAATAGTGAGAAAAATAATTTATTCTATTCAATAATACACACAAATGAGAACATTTAAAAAGAAAAATCCTGTTCTTGTGAAAGTGGAGAGCTCTCCCAATTCAAAAAAAGTTTCTCTTTTCAGTGATATCAACAGCGATGATGAGAAAAAAAGCAAAAATCGGAGGAAGGCAAATTCAAATGATTTATTTTCGGAAAATGTTTTTGATGAAACCTTAGAAGCATCCACAAAACGAAAACGACATAGTTTAGATTCTGTTGCTAAAAAGTCAACTTCATCTTCAGGAAGTCAATCACCAATTTTCAAAACTCCAACAAAGAAATCGCAAACGAAAAGTGCTTCTGTAACTCCAACAAAAACTTCAAAATCTCCCAAGACGCCAGGATCTTCAGGAAAGAAAAAACTATCTGTGGAAGATAACTTTTTTGATGATGATTTATTTGACGACGTTTTTGGTTTTTCATCTTCAGAGGATGAAGATGGAGACAAAACACTAAAATCTGCAAAAAAGCCAAAGCGTGCTTCAACGTCAAGCGCATCACCAAGGCTTGACAGTAAAGAAAAAACCGTAAAAGAAAGCATTTTAAATTATTTGGAGGGATTGAAATCATCTCATGTGGATACACAACACTCATGTGCTAGCTCATTAGCTAAAATGTTTTCTGAACAGTGCGACGACTTGGGAATATTTCTTCGTGCGTAAGTAATATTTAGAGCCACACCTAAAGAAGAATCATTATGTTCAAAATACTAATAATTAGCCACTCCCTTGTAAAAAAAGTGGTTGACACGTTGTGTTTGGTTGTTGACTTTGGGACACAAAAGTTACTATCCCTGACAGCAGCACAAATTATTGGCATATTACTGAAAGATCCCTTGAATGCAGAGTACATCACTGAAAACTCGTTTAAAATATTGCATGAAATTATTAAGCAACACCACGTTCTCAAATGGCAACAAGTTTCACATTTAGAATCAATCAAACGAACAAAACGCACTCGAATTGCTGCTCTTAAAGCAGGTTCCCCAAGCAAAGCTCAAAAACAACAATATGAAGAAGAGGACGAGAATATGCAAGCTTTTGAAAAGACTACTATCTCATTGGCTCTTTCAGCTATGGTTAATATTGTAAATTATGAACATCATTGTTTTGATCTCAAATATCATCAAGCTTCTAACAAGGAGGAATTTTTGGAAAAGAATAGACCTAACTTATTGTTTATCAAAACGAATAGTGTGGAGACTGTTGAACGACTTGTACCATGCTTTCTAGCCCTAATAGAAAAAGATAGAGATGATACTCTTGTTGGTGATTTGTGTAATTGCATCAAAATGCTTGAAAAGAATGGCATTGTCACCAAATATTCCACTGATGCAAGCAAAAATGCAGAGGCATGGAATTATTTCCTTCCTGCTCTGATTCGAGTTTTGAATTGTCTCACACCTGTCAGTAAGTAGTGTTTAGTTGCATGATGAAATTTTAATTTTGCAATTCATCTCTAGATAAGCCATCGTTGAGTGAGTTGAAAGATGGACATCCAGTTGTAGAATGTGCGCTCGTTACTTTGCGATTTCTAACAAATATTAGCAATGGAAACGAACAAGTTTGTCAAAGAATTGCTGAAGAAAATGGTTTGTCAGGAATTTGTGCCGTATTGGCCTCAAGTTATACTCAACATTTCGACGTCATTACTATGTGTTTAGCTTTATTATCAAACATGACAGATAAAAGCTGGAATAATAGAGAACTTGTTAGAAACTTTAGTAAGTATGAACAAAGAGTTATCTCTTGATATCAACAATAATAGAACTCGAATTTAGAGGAAAATCCAAAAAACTAATGAACTTTTTGATCGAGTTATTTATTGAGTATTACTCAAAGCAAGATTACAACGATGACAACAATCAAGATACTGAAAATTGTGTCACAGTTTCTGATCAAGACTCGCAAAACACTCCTGCTGTAGAGATTGTTGAAAAGGTCAACACAGAAAAAAAAGAAAAGGAAAATCAAGGACTATCAGCAAGGAGTAACCTAAAACGTACGGAAGACAATATCATTACGTCCTATTTAGCAATATTGCTTGGCTGTCTTTGTAAGGAGCATGAAGAAAACAAAGAGTATATTATGAAGGAACTTCCTGAAAAATCGTTTATTTCACTCATTATTGCCCTGAAAGCATTTGTGCTTTATCAATCAAATGCATCACTATTGACCAAAGATACCCTTGATTCGATCAAATGTCTTTTGACAGAGTTAGGAGACAAGAATAATTCACAAAATTCCGATCACAACAAAGAGATTGAATAAACAAGTACTGTAGGCTGTCATGCATTCAAGATCCACCACTAAGAAACATTCGTTGATTTTCCAATAATCATACAAAAGCACAACAGTTTAATGTTAGTTGACTTTCACACACTATAATTTTCTAGCAAGATAAATCTTGCTTCCGTACAATTCAAACTTTCCAAATGTTTCGCTTGCTTGGAAGTTAGACAGAATTTTGGATTTTCCTGTCTACTTTCTCTAATTTGTGCAATAATTACAGAAAATAATGATGTACGAACGAGATCAGAACTGTTGGCTTTCAGAGATGTAACTAATTGTTCCAAATCAGCTACTTTACACAAGCTCTCTATAGCTTCTTGTCGAACGTCTGCATTTTCATCTTCAAGCATATCTTTGAGATATCGAACCACAGTCTTGTTGGCCTTATCTGAAATTATTCCAAACACTTGAGCAACTGCCTTCCTCAAAAACATGTCTCTCTCAGTGGCGAGTGCTGTCAATCGTGTAATCATATCCTTATCACCTTTCTTTGCTAATTTTCCAAGCACTTTCACACATTGCCACTTGAAAAGATGTGAATATTTCGAAGGACAAACATCCATCAAATTCAACAACTTGGAAATGTACTTTTCACAGAATTTGTCATCACGATACATTGGCAAAATATTTTCAAGGGCCAACACGGCTCTCGCTTTCAATTTCCACAATTCCTTCTCTTGCATGTGATTATCCTTTTCTAAATCCAAATATTTTGAAATAATTTCAATCATGAAGAGATCATCTTTAGGTGCAACATTTCCCATCGCCACGAAAATTTCACCCAACATGAAAGCATTTGAACTATTCGAATCTAACAATTCCAAAAGAATGTTACAAGCTTGATTATTATCGGTGTGTGCAAAAACAACTCCAATCACATAAATGGCAGTAATAATTTCCATAGATTTGTCTTCAGTCATGATATTCTTCAAAAGATCTCCCTTAATCTTTTCAAAAACAAAAGAAATCACTTCTTCATCGTTGTGAGTAATGAAGGAAGACATTGTGAGTACTGCATATTTTCTGACATCTAAATCGACAGTTACTGCCAATGTGAAAAGCGTATCAATCAGATCGAACATGAGTTTTTTAAGGGTTTGATCTTTGTGTAAATGTTCGGTGAGTGATTTGAGTGAAGAGGATATTCGTTTGTCCTTTTTCGATTGTGATGAAGTGATGGTGGTAGTATTGAGATATTCTCTTCCAAGAAGTAGCACTTGTAATAATTCCATAATTTTCTGGGCAAGTTCAACAAATCCAGATTCATATTCTTCGTATTCATCTTTGAGAGATTTGTCAGGTCGATAGGCAATGTGATCTTTCAGTAATTTCATGGCTACTGTTAAAATTGGAATGTCTCTCTTTTCACACATCATTTTCAAAGAGTCAACAACTACAGCAAGTGTATCTGTTGATTTTTCTTTGGAAAGGATTTGGACAAGCAATTTGATGCTTTGCATGTCACCAACATTAGATATTCTTCCTAGAGCAGTTATTAAACCGTGTCGAATTAACTTATTTTGAGCTTGTTTGATATTTGAACGAATTTGTGACAGAATCATTTCATCTGCTTTCACACAAATGTTCACCAAGCTGTCAATCATCTTATCCATATATCTTCCTTCTTTGATGGTTTCTGAAAGTAAAATTTCCATAAATTTGTTGATAAATTTAGAATCTCCTTTTTTAGAGAGTAAGGAAAGAACATAACAAGCTCGCACTTGAACTTCAATGGGTGGTTTTGTGATCAATGCCCATAACTTTTTGGTAATTCTTGAGTCATCCTTCTCAGCAATCGCTAACAGTACAATCACTGATTGTTCACCAATTTTCCATTGTTTATCCGAGAGAGATTCAATGAGACGTTTTGCTACTCTGTATTTAAATTCCTTTTCGTCCTTCATTTGTTGAAAGATGTCAAGTAAGCTCGAAGCTGCTTGTTTGGTTTTGTCCTTATTCTTTGTTAAAACTTTTAACAGATAACTAACGACATTGGTGAGATCATTTTCATAGAGAGCCACACGTTTTGTGGTCATTTCTCGAAGGAGAGGAGAATCATGAATGAGACCTTCCATAATCATGGTCTTGAGTTTCTTTTGTGTGGTAATATTCTTCTCAATTTCACTAAATTGATCTCTCTCCTCGATTGGTCTCTCACTTCGAATCATTTGAAGTAACAAGTTGTCAATGGCTGAACTCTTTTTAAAGTTCTCATAAAGGAATGTAATAAATTCTGAAAAGTCACTCGATGACATGGATCCAGCACACAACAAAAAGGTCTCTCTATACCATGGGTCAACAATTAACTTTTTCGTTTCAGAAGAAAACACAATAGGTGATCCTTCTTTCTTTCGACCAAAAAGACCTTTCTTTTGTTCACGAATGGTAGACACTCGTTTTGGATCACTCCACACTTTGGCAACCAAATATTCTTGAAAAGAGAGATGAGCAAATGAGTAGTGACTTCCTAAACGAATAATGAGAGGAAATTGACCATCATCAATATCCGATTGAAAGACTTTCCACGTATCGAATACATTTTTAGAAGAATCTGTGACATTGTTTCCTAGATTTCCAGTCTGCCCACTTTCTTCATTATTCACCACGTCATGAAGATGTTTTTCAATAAAAGCAGATGTGAAATATCGTTTTGTGTGTTCGTGGAGAATACTCGCCACAGCGTATAACATTTCAAAAATGTCTCTTCGTTCTTGTTTTGTGGTTTGAGGTCTCACCTTATCAATGTAGACAGAAATCATCGTTTCACACGCATGTTCGTACAGTACACTTCGAATATCTGGTAAATCTTTGTTTTGTTTAAACTCTTGAATCATTAAACTGAGTAAAAGTGGAATCTTGGCAAGTTCCTTATACTTTTGTAGAGCTTGGAAAAATCGTGGATCTTTGATGCCTCTTCTCATGGCAATTTGTTTTTGTGCATGATGACTCAATGGTTTAATTCGAGCCAATTTGAAGCTTTCAAAGAGAACATTTGCTTCTTCCTGCTCAAAACCACTCACTCGACTAGTTGTGATAATTCCACCCAATTCTCTAAAATTCATTTTACAAATGAGCTTTTCAAGTTTAGATCTGTGATCTCCACCCTCATCCAAACCATCTAACAATAAGAGCAATCTTCCACATTGCCACACATTTAGCAAAAATCGTTCAACATTACTTGGATATTTGAGTCCCTTGTTGAATGTATCAGCCGATGCTCGAATGCACTTAATTTTAAAAGGAATTTTGTCATCTTCGAAGGAAATATTGGCAAGTGGCACCAATAGTGGAATTAAATCATTTGCATTCGAGTCTGAAGTATTTTTTGCTGCTTTCTGAGCTGCCTTGTAACACAATAGTTTCATCATGCAAGTTTTACCACTCGCTGCACTTCCTAGAATGAGATACTTGAGAGGTCTTTCAGTGGCATTACTCAAGAAATCGACTGCATCTTCGTAGTATCTGTTTTTAGATCCTGGCTTTTCGATTTTGATCTTTTTGGTTGCATCGTCATCGGAAGCTTCAGATTCTGTTTTTAACAGATCATTCCACTCATTGCTTTCAATGAGTTCGAGAGGAGCCATGTGTTGGTCAATTTGTAATGGCTCTTGTGAAATTGGGTCAATAAATACCTTGTCACAATTCAAAATTGTCTCTAAATATCGACTTTGAGCCTTCATGAATGACTCTGTGTCCATCAATGTGTCATCAATGTTCACTTCTGTTTCATCTCCAACTTCATACGCAGTGAGACCAATCACATAGTCAGGATTGAAAGGAAATCCTGCTTGTTTGGTCAGCTCATTGAGAGCACTAATGGATACCCAATCAAAATGTTTGTTGCAAATGGCAGTTTTTAGACCTCGTAGGAAATCTGTGAGTGAAATTCCAGAATAACTGATTGAGGAGGAACCATTCTCTGGTTCTGATGACGTGTTATTTCCGTTCAAATCTTTGACTTCTTTAGCTTTCTTTTCTTGTGTATTAAGTTGTTGAATTAAATTAATATAGGCCTCTCTAAAATCTAACCAATTTGTTTTGTTTTCCCAACCATGCCTTTTCCAAAACTCTCTTGCCTTTTCGTTGATAATTCTTTCAACAGCAGGAGCGAGATCAGAGGATGAAGATTGTGACGAGGTGTCGTCTTCTAGGTTAGGATCAAGAAAATTACCATCGGTAATGGCAGGTTTCACTTTTTTCAAGAGTGTGACATTTGGTGGTGGTTGACCATTATTCTTTTCACATTCTTCTAAAAATTGCAGAATTTCAGAAGCAGTCGGCCTATCAGTAGGATCTAGAGTTAAACATGCGGATGTCACTTCCTCCACAGTTTTGGGAGCTTTATACTTTCTACATAATTTGGAAACATATTCTGGATCTTTTTTAATTTCATGTCTAAAATCAGGAATTTGAGATTCATCTAAAAACGCAAACATTCTTAATATACAAACTCCAAGAGACCATATATCTGTTCCTGCATCATATTTCTTGGAGCTAAACAGCTCAGGAGACATGTATTGTAAAGTTCCAACAAAACTTTGAGCCATATTATCTTTCATTTCTTTTGTAAATCCAAAATCACTTAATTTGAGCGTCCATTCGGTGTAATTTTCATGAATATTCAGTGTTGTTGATGATGTTGATGAGGATGTTGAAGTATTGGTGGAAGAGGAGGTGGAAGAGGCAGAGGATGATTTGAATAATAAATTGGCAGGTTTTAACTGTTCAAAAGTGATGATCAAGTTGTCAAATGATGAGAGTGATAGGTTAATGCAGACAGAAGAAATTATGATTCATTAAATGCGTGCGCGAGTGTGAGTGTGAAATGAATTTGAGTACAATACAACCATTACTTGAACCATTGTCACAAAGACGACTTCAACTACTTACGTCTCTATGAACAATGTGTTGTTTGTGAATATATGCCAACACACTCACACATTGTTTGATCGTTGACAATATAAATGGAAATGGTAAGTGTTTATCAGCAGCTTCATCTCCGCCTTGACTGTTCGAAGAAGGTGAAGTGCATTGCTTCAAGTGTTTCTGTATAATTTCTTCCAAACTTCCCTTGTCACTGTTGTTGAAGGATTTTGATGACAAACATCAACAATTTGAGATTTCGTAGTAGTCAGTCAATGAATGATTTATCACACAGAAAGAGTTGTGTTGGTCAATGTTCATTATTTCCATGATCAGAGTTATCAAAGAAACGATAATCATGTTCAGCATTATCAAATGTTGCGTGATTCATTAATATGATGTATTTGTCATATCGTGACACAAACACTAATTCACACTACTATGAAAGTCACAATCATTACTTACCAATATTCCATTAACATGAACAATTTTAATTCCTCTCCATAAAAGGCGTCCTGAGATCTCTCTTCAAAATGATCATAATATCGCACTATGTTGGAATGCTCATGAAATTTCTTCACCAATTCCACCTCTCGTTTAATCTTTTCAAAATTGGATTCTTCAAAAACAGTGATCATTTTGATGGCATAGAGTTGATGAGTGGACTTTTCTTCGACTGTTGTGTTTCATATGAAGAATTGTTGTTGTAACAATGGATTTGTCATTCATTGGAGATATTGAATAGCAAAAGTCGATGAAAGAATGTGGGAAAACGTGATAAAATAAATACCACATCAAAATTGGAAATGACAATTCCAACAAGAATGTTGTTATTCTAGTTATATATCGTTTTGAAATAATTGACTACAACATACCGAGATAGACAAGTCCTTCAGCTCCACCACCTAATTTCTTTTTGGGTGCATATCGATCCATTGTTTTTGTTATGATTTGTTTTTAAATTGGTTCTTGTTGATGATGATGAAAACTAGAAAAGGATCGATCAATGATAGATTTTAAAAAAGACAATAATGATGATTTTCAATACTACAATTTGGAGGGTGATGATTTTCTTCCTTGTTGTTGTGTTGATGGTAGTGGTGATGGTTGGAATGGATAACGGAAAGCAACAAGGTGAATGTAGGAAGGAATTTGTGGTTTGATGGATTCAAAGAGAATGTGTTGCGGAAGGACTGAAGGGTGGTGGGTTGAATCAAGATGATGATTCTCGTTGTGTTGCCTTTTACTGTTGTTGTTGCCACACGGTGAAGAAGGGAATTGACAGGTGGCAGGTGCGGCAGAGCTCTGCTCCTCTTTGTATTTTATTTTCAGGCTTGTCAGATTGACCGTACAAACGAACACTTGCTGATAATTGGACAACAAATTCTCAAAATGATTAGTATCTTCATTCAGCGTCATTTCCAGTCTGAGAGCGTCTCTCTTTTTATAGGAAGAGGTGGTTTTAATTGGCTGTTGGCGAAATATTTCACACAACAACAAGAAGGATTATTGTTGGGAGAGGCTCGTTACTTGGTTACTTGGTGCTCTCCATTCGAGGTAGTGCTGTCTTCATTTCCTCGAAAGCAATCCAAGAGGAGAGAAGAAAATTGTTCTGGGGAGAGAAGTGATTGGATCAACTCAGTTTTTTGACTCTGTTCCAAAGTGGTGTTTTCATTCAGATAATTCAAGAGCTGTTGATAGAGAGAGTTGAGCTGTTCAGTGATGGGCTCAGAAAGTTTGTTTGATGTTTTCTCTTCTCGTAAATAGAGAGTCATCAACTGGCTTGAATAGGAGAGTTTGGTTTTAAGATCGACATTCATTTCTTGTCGAATGTTTTGAATTTCTTTGATGATGACTTCATTCGATTCTTGAGTATCTTTGTTGATATTATGCTTTTTGATAAAGGTCATACATGAGTCAGCCACTTGCTTCACAGTGTTGAGAATAAAGTTTTCACAAGCCAATTTGAGTTGTTTCTCCAAATCTTTTTTGGAATCAAAACTACTCACGACAAGTCGTGGTCTTGTCTGACTAAGGAGGTCAAAGATTAAGCTTGTAACGCTAAAACTAGCTTGTCCTTTCAAAAATCTGGAAATTCCTTCAAAGAGATGGGAAAAATCAAGACTTGTCTCAGTTTTGGTAAAGCTCACGTTAAAGTAGCTCAGTTCATGTAAAAGAGTCAATAGATGGCTGATGAGGAAAAGTGAACCATTCATCACATCTGTTTTCTCAGAAATTTTCTTACTTGCGTCAATGAATGAGAGAGCACAAGCAGAGACAGCCTCCTGAGCAAGGCCCTCAAATACCTCCACATCCAAAACTTTGTACAGTTTGCTGAGGAGACTTAACGTCCATCCCAGAGTCGTATAATAAATTCCAAATTGTTTGCGAGACGGTTTTTCCGGAGAGACACCTTCTTCTGGAGAGAGTTTCAGCTTATTCGGATAATCTAAATCTTCAGGTGTAGGTTGATATTTGGTGACTTCATTGGCGATGAAGAATGAGGTACGATAAATCAATCGTTCTTGAATGTCTTGAACCATGAGATGCACTACCGCTTCAAAATAGGGCACTGTCTTTTTTGTTTTGATACCTTCCTGTAGAATATCATTTCTCAGCACCTCAATCAATGAACATAACGTATCAATTCTATTTTCCTTAATAGCCATTTCTCGAACAGTATCATACAAAATGTTTGTGAAGGTACCCATGAAATTGGAAAATCTATGAGAGAGTCTTCGCTCATCTTTACAATTTGTGAAAAAGTGATGGAATAGATGTGTTTCTTGAGCACAAATCTGAATCATGTATTCACAGGCGGATCGAGCAAAATCAATTTTGGCTTGCTTGTCCTCTGTTTTCATGAAATTGTTTTTCAAAAATGCAATATGTTTTGCCACTGTCATGTACAATAGATTTCCTCTTTGATTAAGGTATGCTTCAAAACAATCCATCAAAAATACAGAAGATTCTCGTCTTGAACCTCTTAACTCTAATTCGATTAATCAAAGGCCTAAGACTTTCTATGGAGACCTTAAAATCAATAAAAAGAAGCGAAAACTCTTGAAGCTCGTCACTTGCTGAAACAGATTTCAATTTTGTGAATAGATTCTCAACAGAGGATTTGATTTTTAAAATTATATGATCTCTAACATGCGCTAAAGATTTAGAAAGTAAATATTTGTGTTTGGTAAGATAGGTTTTTGCTTCCTTGTAATCCAAGTTGTTGCTAAGAAAATTGATAGATTCCTCAAGCTTTCCTAAAGTTTTGATAAAAGCATCGCTGCCTACGTCCAGATAGCCACTTGATGAAAGTTGTTGATTCAAATAATCCGTATCATCGAAATGTTTCAATCGATTTCCCAACTCCATGCTACACTTTTCTAATTGTTCTGTTTCTTTAACCAAAGTTTCACAGTCGTGATGTAATCGGCTTGTTTTTGAACAAACCAAGTTGTACTGTTCTTGCAAATCATCGGAAATGGCCAATGTGTTGTTACTCTTTACAATCAGAGAATGACTCAACTCTTGGTAATGTTTCAATTTTGACAAGTAATTTTCGTAGGGATAATCAATTTGTTGGTCATCATCATCGTGTTCCAGAAAATCTCCATCCCACATAATTAATCCTGTTCCTTCATTTTGATCATCATCACGCTCAGCATCATCGGAAATATCAATTTGTTCAGCGCCATATGACGTATCTTCTTCTTTTGATTTTCTAATAATTTCCAACAACTTTTCCTCACTCTCCAAAAGAACAGTGCTCTTCTCCCATTCATCAATAATACATAGAATGGTCGTCGTGGATTGAGCCTGACTTGAAGACATTTTTTTGCTCAGTTCTTACTGTTCATCTTTCATATTATTTGATGTTTTGAATAATTAATTGATATTTACAAGTTTTATTAAATTTAAGAGAAAGAAAAACATATCGGAATGATGGTGGTCATTATTCCACTCACTCACTGAAAAAGAGACCTATCGATGATGCAGCAATGCAAAATAATATAAAAGCATAGGTTTTTTGCTGTGTTGATTCCAGATTTTTCTTGTTCTCTTCTGGATTATTTCCTTTGGTGTAGAGTCGACTCAGTTTTGTATCTACAAGCGGTCCGAACAGAGGTCTCATGTCTTGTTGTGGTGATGATCAATCTAAACACTCAGCTCTTCTATTTTTTAACGCGCTGATGATTTTACTATTTGATGAATGTTTACACAAACTTTGTGTGACAACTTTTGAACAAGTTTTTATTGATGATGACAAAGATAACAAATAAGATTGATCAAAGATGATGAGTAACTGATTGATTGGCGAAATGTACAAACTATGAACAAAAGGTGGTTGGTGGTTCATATTCACAGGGAAACGTTAAATAATGAATGAATGACATTGAATAAGTATTACAACGCACACACTGGTGATACGTGAAGTAGAATGATACAGTGAGAGATTCCTTTGATGATGGTGATCGATTAATTCATCAGGGAAAGCGTTCCAAAAGGAAGTTTGGGCTGAGGAGACTTTATGGAGGCATCACCAGCGGTGGCGGTGGATGGAAGAGACTTCTTCTCCATCATAAAGTTGTTGTTATTGTTGTTGTTATAAAAGACTGGTCTGTTTTCATCTTGCGGTTGCACTCCATAGAGACCTGTCGTAAAAGTAGTCGTTAAGGATGATGAAAGGTTATTAAAAACACCATCGTTAAAACCTAGAGGATATTTGGAGGAAGAGGAGGTGGTGGCAATGGTGCCGTTAGAAAGCTTCGGAGAGGAAGAGGTGGTACAAGATCTTTTGAGGATTCTTGCGTGATGCTGTTTGTGTTTGTGGCTGCTAAGAGGAGAGCAGTTGCTATTGTTGTGAATAGGAGTACTGGCTGGAGTCTGAGTGGAGTTTGAGGAGGAAGTTACGCGATCTCTTGTCGTCATCATCAAGTGATTCATCTTGTTGTGGTTCACGAGTGAGGATGATTCTGTCATCGCACCATCCATTATTGTTGTTGTTGGGGTTGGTGATGATGACGAAAAGGCTTGTGTTTCGGTAGGCTTGGAGTTATTTACAACAACAACAACAACGGCAGCATCAGGTGGTGAGGATGGTTTTGCACTGTTCGTATCAATGCTTTTTGGGGATGCAGATTTGTTGAGAGTGGAAGTGGTGGTGCTGGTGGTACTCGACGTCGAGGTTGGAGTGTTTCCATCATCACCACCAACAGCAGCAGCAACATGATTCATAGCCATAGTTTGGGCGATTGTTCCAACGGTGGAAGCAGAATGCATGATCGTGCCTACAACACCATTGCCAACAAGATCGCTACAACCATGACCATGTTGCGCAACAGCAGAAGAACGAGAGAGGGAAGGAGTGGCACCAGTGTTGTTGTGGTGATGGTGATGGTGGTGATGGTGGTGATGGTTCTTGTTGGAGTAGGGAGTTGGATTGTTCAACTGGTATGGCCTAAACTCAAAAACACCCAACGGTTTTCCTCCACCACGAACAACTGCTGCTGCTGTTGCGGAAGAGGTCATGGGTGTTGATGAGAAGGGAGTTGAAGAGAGTTCCTTTGGCATTTCTTTTTGACTTTTCGATCAAATAAGTGCAAAGAGCGGGCGTCGTGTAACGGCTGGATTTTAAAATTAGCCAAATGCACTCGCAATCTGATTGCAGAGGTGGTGGCTACCAGGAAATGCAGCGAGCGAACGGAGATAAATGAGACCCAATCACGGGAAGCCTTTCGACAATTTTATTTCAAATTGAAGTTGTTGTGAAAACAAGTGATAGTTCTTTTTTAGAAAAGATTGATCGCTGAGCTGGCATCTGAAAATTTTGTAAATATTGACGAGTGGTGCTGATTTTGCTGTCACATTGAAAGCAAATAGTATCTACAGCTTCGTGACACAAGGTAAATTTGTCAAACCAGTTGGAAAGCTGTCGACATACACTGGAAAGATGGGAAAGATCCATATCAAAGTGGTTGATGTTGATACTTTGAGAGGGATTATATTGGGAGGTAGGTACAGACCTATTAACACACAGTGGTGACTTCTTATACGTAATTGGATTTTGGATAACAAGTCGACACCAAAGTTATACAATGGTTGATGCACTTGTTCACCAATGTTGAATCAATCAAAATCTTGTAAAGAGAGTGGTACATCGATTCTGATGAACATGAAGATGCAGTGATTATTTAGCAGATGTATCCATATCTATCTGCCAAATATTGTACAATGGACAACAAATTGGTTGTAACTGTCTTTTGACATGTTTGATCATTTCCTTCCAAGCTTTTCTCCACAACATACGAGTATTGAATGCCTTGCAATTTTTGAAGGAATTCCATTGAAATTTGAGAAATATTTCTTACAATAAACCAAACAAGCTTGGGTTTGTGAAAATGTGACAATCGCTCTTTGTAAACGTCATTAAGATCTAATGATGAATTTGAGTTAATAATCTTCATAACATATTCCAGCTTTCGAATAACGTTGTCGAAGGTAATAGGTCCCTGTAATTCAATGAAGTAATTGAGTTCTTCTCCACTAAAATTTTCATAAATGAAAGATAGGTTGCCGCATGATAGAATAAATAGTTCTGCCGCACTAAATGCTTCAATCGATCCATTTTCAATAGCAAAATCAAGAATCTCTAGAGCATTCTCCATGGTTGTCTGCTGGCCAACCAAGTATTCACAAAGTTGACACAGTTCGATAGTACCTAAATGATCAGCCGCTTTGTATAAGTTAAAGACACCGCCCAGCGAATACGACTCTTCAGAAATAGATTGATCCTCGCTTTTGTCAATGGATTTCAACTCAGAGTTTCCAGATCTCTCCGTCGTAGAGATTTCTACACCGATAATTTTTGCGTCAGCCTCATTTGTGTAACTTTTTTCATGAATTGGGCTTTCACAATCTTCCTCCATCTCATCGTCAATAGCGTCATCTTCGAGTTCATGTTGTTCGCTGATCATTTCAAAGGGGCAACTTGGTTTTTCTAAAAAGTTGTGATAAATGTAGAATGTAAAGCTTTTCATTGACTTTTCGTCTGCAAAAATCGCAGACACATCATATTCTTCCAATGAATTTTCATTTTCGAATATCTTTCTGAAAAATTCAGATCTCGAAGCTAAAGAAAGTGTCACAAATGATTCTCCCGATAAACGGTGTCAATAATTATTAACATACCTAACACATATTTATGCAAGGAGCACTCAAGTTTGTTTTCATCCTTTAAAATATAAATTTTGAAATCTTTAGATTCCTCATCTTGAAAAAGTTTGTGCAATGTGTAACACGTGTTTTTCGGATCATAGCGATCTAATTTGAACTCCTTATCTTTACCGAGTTGTGATGAGGACCAGTTTTCATCTTCCTCGATCGTCAATGGAAAATAATCATCAATTTGTGTGATCAAGAAATAGAATTTGCCATTGTTCAAATAATCATCATGTCTGTAGTGTTCATCATCACCACTCTCAGGAATATAACCTCTATATACATATTCCATCCACTCAAAGATTAAATCAAATTCAAATGGTGGATGTCTGATTGGAAGCTCTTCCTCAATTTTGGCAATATCGAGTCCTTGTTTTCTCTTTTCATGTGTGTCAAAATATCGACTATACAATGAAGGACACCGACACTTTACGATCGGTGTATAAATTCCTAGTTTTCTGCCATCGCCAGAGCAAATAAAACTGTCACAATAATATGCTTTAGGTTGATTTTCCTTAATTTCATCCAAGAAGAAGGCAATATAATCTGCCATTTTGCCATTGTTGGCATGCTTATCGTAGATAGTAATAGGCGTAGGATCCTCCATCTCATCATCATGGAAATATTGCAAAGTGGATTGTAGTAACGTATCCTCAAACTCGATCAGTTCGAGTTTAGCTGGAGGATATTCTGGTTTAGTTGAATACTTTCGAAACAATGTTAGGTATGAACATCTATCAAATATTGTCCACCTACCTCGAGTGGAATGGTACATTCTTTATATCGTGGTCTGTCATTGATAACATAGTCGTGCGACATGGGAGCATGAACAGTTTTCCAAATAGTCTTCGAAGCACTCAAAACATCTTCCATAGTCACAACGTCATCAGTTTTTGTAGCAATTAAGTACTCAATATGTCTAGAAATAAATTCTTTCAGAGAAAAAAAGCCCTCCATGATGGCCCCCTCGTGCTCAGATTTCACTCCAGCTCGTCTCATTAATCGGAGCATGTCAGGAACCAATGAATTGCTTTCAGGAGCTTGATGGTTTGGTTGTAATCTATTCAAATTGTCAGGGAGAGTTTGAAAATCAGGTCATTACTTACGTGGGCTCAAATACGTGAGATACACTTTGAAGCATATCTTCAGCATTGTAATCATCCTCAATGTAAAATGTAACTGTAGTCACTCATTGTAACAGGAAGTTCACATACAAAGGAACACCTTACCTCTTTCTTGTTCAACCAAAGGCTCCTTGATCATTTCATCGCCATCTAAATATTCTGATGAAAGAAACTCGTGTGTTGATGTCAAACTTATTGGTACAGGGTTGCTAATGCTCTTGTTAAATGAGCAAAGCTCAATATACTTGGACTGTGGCATATTGTTATGCCACATGGGATGATTATACTTATTAAAGCCAGTAATTTCCTCAACGTCGCAATCAGAAGACGAACAAGTGGAATAGTGATCCGAAACATCATCTGCATTTTCTACTGTCTCTTCAGTGTTTTCAGTGGACTCGCTTGTGGTATGAGAAGGGTCATGCAAGCAATTAGTTTCTCCATCACCGTCTTCATGGTCTTCGTCAGTTTCTTCGTACTCACTTACTGAAGTTTCTTCTGATAGCTGACTGTCTGCACATTGGAGTTGAATATCTTGTTTAACATCTTCATCTGTTCCTACAATAAATGCCTGCTGTTCGTCGTCCATTTGAAAATAATTGCAGTTTCTGTCGTCAATAAAAGCATCAATTACCATTCTAATAAGAGGTCTACTCATGATGCCGAATGCGGAGGAAACAGTTCTATTTCTCAAGTATACAAGCTCTGTGTTAATGCATTTCAAAAGCAAGAGAGAAGTCGCCAAGCGAATTCTGGAAACTTCCAAAGTTTGATGTTCTTGAGGAACAGTGTTTCGTTCAAACATGGTCATAACCCTCTTCAATAAATAAGCAAATGGGTTGTCCGTGCTCTTCAAGTCAATCAATGGAATTTCAATGTATTTGGCATCTTGTTCGTCAGGCAACATCTCATCAAATAAATATGTGCAATGAATACAACTGTCTTGGTCGTTCTCATTCGAGCTTTCTGTGAAAACAAACTTGTTGGACTCGCTGTTGAATCGTATGGGGAAGTTTCCTTTTGGAGTGTAGCTTAATTCAGGCACAACTTCACATCGAGAGCTCTCAACTTCATTCTCATCTAGTTCATCTTCATTAAGTTGTAAAGTTCCTCCGTCCTGAAGGAGATAGGTTTCATCGATATTCAAAGCAAGCATATCCGTTCCAGATACTCTGTCGAATTCTTCATACAAATCTTGTACTTCGTCGTTTTTGGTATGCTCTGAGGGGATTTCATTGTTTGCCTCTACCAAATTCAATTCATTCTGCTTGGAAACAACTTTTGGAAGCACATATTTGAGCCAATGCTTCAAAATATCGCTATCACTCATTTGCGAACTACGAGTTGTGTCTCCCAACAACAATTCAACTTGGTATTTGTTGTCTTCTTCCCTTGTTAACTCTTCTTGATTCTTTTCCAATAAATCGCGAATAAATTGAACTGAATGGACTTGGCATTTGATAACTGTTTGTTCGAGCATGAACAAGGATAAGCTTTCAATTTCTTCTCTGTTTTTGATCAGGTCATTAAGAAGCTCCTCATGAGGAAGGGCCGTAGAGGAACCATTTTGAAAGTTCTGTTCCATCAATAAATCCTTGAAAACTTGCTTGGCTTTCTTTACGTGCCATTGTTTCAAAACCTCTCCGACAGAGGCAGTTTCGGGCAAGGGCTCTTCAAAGACTTGATTTTCAAATTTCATCTTCTTTCTCAAGAAGAGCTCATCAGAATCATCGTTGTTGGCCGATTTTGAATACTCCACAACCTCTTCTTCATCATTCGATGTCGGAGGCTCTTTTCTCTTCTTTTCAATCCCGCTGCTACTGGACACACAAAGGGAACCTGTTGAGGCCTCACTTTTGCCGTTTTCGAGCATTTTTTTCTCGTTTTTTCTTGTGTGAATAAGAAATTGTAAAAGTGGTCCGATTGTTGTGAGTGATGAAGAATTTCTCTAGTTTCAACCTATCAACTTGTTATGATGAAACAAGAATTACACACGATCTGACACCTTTTTGTCATCAAATGTCGAATGTCAACCAATCGCCTTCATCATCACTCAAAAAAAATCTCTGTAGTGGCATTCCTTGGTGTTTTTGTTTCAAATCCGATTATCAGGTTGGATCATAATCATCAACATCAACACGCCGTCCACTCACTCTCCTTCAATAATTTCTTTTGTACAATTTTTGAAAAGAAAACACCTGTCATCATCATCCTCTTTCATACAACAATTAATCACCTGAACAACAACAACAAATGAGAAAACTGAGTGAAACCAATTGGGAGGAAACTCAAACTCGTGCCTTCACAAAATGGATGAATTCTCATCTCAAAAAGAGAAACATGAAAGTAGAGGATCTCATCACTGAAATTGGAACTGGTGTTCCTCTCTTTGTGTTGTATCAAGAGATCAGTGGTGAGAAATTAGGTAAAATGTATGAGAATCCACAAAGTAAATTTCACAAAATTGCCAATTTAAACATGGTGATTGATCGGATTAATCAGGTGGTTGAATCGATGGGAATTAAACTTCAATTCTCTGCTGAACAGATATTTAATGGAGAGAAGAGACAAGTATTGGGTTTGATTTGGACTTTGATTTTGAGATTTCAAATTAACAAATCTGCTTTGGAAATTGGTAAGTTCGAGTCTTTTCAACATTCTCGGTACATGTATGCCATTGTCAATAATGTGTTTGTGGTTGTTCATCATGTGTGAAAATCATCATATCATTACACTTGACGTTTCATTCAACATCAATGATCTATACTTTCATGTGAACACACAATAGAAACACCAAAACCAACACCTAAAGAAGTCGAACCAGTCAAAGTTGAGACCACCCAAGAACAAGCCGTTGTCACAACTGTACAAGAACCTGTCAAACAAAATATTCCAACGAAACAACAAAAACCTGCCAAAGCCAATGCTGGTGACAGTGCAAAACAAGAATTACTGAGATGGGTTCAAGAAAAATTAAAACCTTATGAAAGTGAATTTGTTGTGAAAGATTTTACGCACAGTTGGCAAGATGGTAAAGCTTTAAGCTCTTTAATTAGCACTTTGAAACCAAAAGCTCTGAAATATAAGAAAATAGATTTTGTAAATACACCACCTTTGGAAATTAACACAAATGCCATTCGTATTGCTGAAGAAGAAATGGATATTCCTGAAATTATTGATCCAGAAGATATCACTGATACTCCTGAAGAACTTTCTCTCATGACTTATATTTCCTATTTCAGAGATTATGACAATCTTCATCCTGAATCTGCTCAAGAAGTTGACGAAGAAGAAGAACCAGTGGTGGAGGTGGAGGAACCAACTCCAGTCGCAGTAATTGAAGAGCCAATCCTTGAGGATATTATTCGACCTGAAATTGATCCTGCAAAATGTATTGCAGAGGGTCCTGCATTCGATGCTAGTCATCCACCTACTCAGGGATCGAGAACGTATTTCACAATTACCACTTTTGATGAAGAAGGAAATCGTTACATTCCAAAAAGTGTTGACGATGATGAAAATCAAGTCATTGTGAATTTATTTAGTCCACACATGTCTGAGGATGAATCCATTCCAGAACCTGATATTAAAAACAATGGAGATGGAACTTATGAAGTTTCATTCATCGTTCCTGTGGGTGTAAAAGATATGAAAGCTCTCATTGTGATCAATGGTGGAAGTATTCAAAATTCACCTCATGACATTCCAAATGCTACTGTTTTTGATCCATCCAAATCAGTGATTTCTGGACCTGGAGTGGAACCTTATGAACTTTTTGTGGAAGAGCCTACTCATTTCACTATTCAATGCAAAGACAGTAATGGAAATAATATTCCACAAAAAGGATTGCAATTTGACATTGCCTTAATAGATAGCAGTACTGGAAAGAAGGCTCCCATCGATGTGACAGAGGTGACTGATCATGGTGATGGAACTTATACTGTTCATTATACACCAAAGTGTCCTGGTGGAAGTTATGAACTTTCTGTTCAAACGACCAATGAAGATGGAGCATTCGTTCCTGTTGGAAATTCACCCTTTGATGTCACATTTGAACAGAAAGTGTGTCCAACCATGTGTACTGCTCGTGGCAATGGAATTTTACCTTTTGGCTTGAAGACTGGAGTTTTGACCAAGTTTGATATTGAAATTAGAGATAAGGCAGGAAATATTATTCCATTTGTTACGGATGTAGAAATCACTATGGATTTGGTATTGAATGATGAAACGATTGAACCAGAAGATTATTCAGTGAAAATTGAAAACAATCAAAATGGTACTTTCACAGTTTCCTATAGACCAAAGAGAGCTGGAGTTCATTATGTCCTTGTCAAATGCAACGATGAAAATATTAGTCAGAATCCATTCAAAGTTGACATTACAAACATTCCAAGTGCTCCAAATTCCAAACTCAAATTTGTATCTGTGAAAAATTTACCAAATTTAGTAGAAACAGAAATGGATTTGAATGTTTTAGATTCATTAGGAAAGAGGGCCGCAAGCAAGAATTGCAAATTAACAGCTCTCGTTGAAGATGAAGACGGCAATTTGATACCAGCAATGATCGTACAAACCAAAGATGACAAATTGAAAGTCGTCTTTCAACCAAAAGGAAAAGCCACTTCTCTTCAAAAGTTTAAAACTCAAATTCTTATGGATGGTGTTCCAGTTGGAGAATCTGTCACAGTGGAACACAAACCAACACTCGCTCCAAAATTATGCAAAGTATTTGGACCTGGTTTGAATGGAGCTGATCTTTTGAATAAGGACACTGTTCCTGCCATGTTAAAAATCAAAGCTTTGAACACGGCCGATCAACCATTTGTTCAAAATAATTTACAACCTTTGAAGGCATCTGCTAAAAAGTTGAAACGTCTCGCCAAGACCATTTTCAAAGAACCTGAATATTTCAAAGATTTATTGAATCCAATCTTTGACCATCAATTTAGTGACGATCAAGTGGTTGATTCGATTGATTTAACAAAATCGGTCGATTTGGATGAAGTGAGACCACAACTTGAAAAACACGTCAAAAAACAACCCTTCCGTGTGGTAGTGAAAAATGAAAAAGACGACACTGAAGAACCCACACTTGTATTTCACACAGCACCTTCTGAATATACTGTATTCTATCATCCAACCAAAGCAGGACCAATTTCAATTTTAATTCTTGACAAGACGTCGCAACAACAACTTCCTGTACATGTTGCTGAATCTCCTTATCACACCTTTGTCACAGAAGGTATTGATCCAATGAAATGTCAATTGAAAGGACCAGGTCTACTTAAAGCTTACAAAAATAGACCCACTTTTATTACTTTATTGCCAAGAGATATTCATGATCATCCATGTGGTGTGGGTGGACATGAATTTAGTGTCATGTTATGTGATGAAAGTCAGAATCCAATTCCTTCACCACTCACTATTGTGGATCTTGGAAATGGAAATTATGATGTGAAATTTATTCCACCTAAAGCAGGAAAGCATTTTATTTCTGTGAAATGTGACGGACAAGAAATTAAGGATTCTCCAATTCCAATCTTTGTAAGAGATGATCAATATGCTCCAGATCCAAAGTATTGTCAAGTTTACAAAAATCCTGAAAAGATAAAGACAACCAAACCACGTCACTTCTTTGTTCAAATGAAAGATAAGAACAACGAACCCATCAAATCTGGAGGAGATCCTCTTAAGGCAGTTCTTAAAACCCATGATGGAAAATTTGTTGAAAATCTACCAGTTTATGATCCAAATACTGGAAAATATAAGGTTGACCTTTCTCCAAAACGACCTGGAAAGTATGTGGTGGTTTGTTCACTTGGAGATGAAGATGATGGTGGTGAACAAATTTCTGGATCTCCATTCAATTTGACAGTAACTCCTGGATTTGCTCCATTAAACTCTGAAATTGGAGAATGGGAGTATGACATTTACACTGCTCAAGAAAATGAAGTTGAGGATTTAATGGTGAAAGTTAAAACTCCATCTGGCAAAACAATTTATCCAACCATTACCAAGTATCCAAAATCAACAGCAGAAGATGAGAGTAATCGACCTCAGGAAGATGAAGCTGCTGTGGATGATGAATTTTCTAAGGGTGATCGATTCAAGTTGAGTATTCAGACAAAGGATGTTGAAAAGGGTGACTACTTGATTTATGCCACTATTTGTGGATATCCTGTCAGAGGATCTCCTTTCAAACAGACCTTTGACGTCAAAGTATTGTCTCAATAAATGATGACAGGCGTCCCTAGTTGCTTGGATTGTTGTGTGAGAAATCTCTTTAATTTACAGGAGTTTTTGTGATTGATTGATCATTTCAACTCAAATAAAGCCCAATCAGCCCTTGGTTGCAGTGATTTGTTATCCTTGCCTTTCCGACAACAGAAATGTCCTGCAAATAATTCAGCCTGTTTCTCAATTCCATTGTCATCGATGGTGACAGGAACATTCACGTAACCTCGAGTGACATCGTTTTCGTCAATTACAAACCAATCATCTGATTCGTCATTCCCCAACCATTTGCCCTTTTCTGAGAACACATTGAAAACAGTGATCCAACCGCTTAGGCAACGAGGTCCACTTCCTCCTCCAATTCGGTTAACAATTCGATTCCACCAAGCACAATCCACATTTCCCTTAGAAGTCTCTACAAGTTTATCCAAAACTGGAAATAGTTTTTGTGTCCACATGTACATGCACCCATCAACATTAAACTCAAGCAATGTGTTGGCTCTTTCACGAATTTTCACCCAATCCTCAACCTCACCTAACAACGTCACACTTGGTAAATTACAACAGAGATTGAATCTATAATCAAAATAACTCTTGGTTGTGGACATTAGCACAATTGAACTAACCATTCGATCAAGAGGAGTAGTTGTGGAGAAATCATTCATAATCCAATCTCGAATAGAGGGATCTTTGATATTTTTGGATATTTGAGTGGTCATCTCTTGGCACAAACCCTCATAGTCTGCACTTTTAATGTTACCACCTCCATTGACAGTTAATTGTTTCTTTCCCTCAAACGAAACAAATTTTTCTCGAAGCTCTTCAGCATGTCCATTTACGTAATTTGCAAATTGAGTGCCAATGCTGATCCATACATCATCAGGCCGTATGACTAAGTGATGATGCAACGAATAACATTTCAAAGCACTCAAAACAAAAGCATTACTTCCGACATAGACAAGGTCCGTATCGGAACTTTGGAGATCTGATGGGTCCACATTAGGAATACTGCTCGTAACTAGTTCATAACTGGATGTTTGTTTTTTCGGCAAAATTTGTCGTAAACTGAATGCAGTGAGGTTGGAAATCTCAGAGGCTGGAGTATCTGTGACTTGGAACGTGATGGGCATTGAGTCAAATCAGTCGAAGAACTAGTCAGTGAATAGTATTTTTTTTGCTTTGATCGAAAGTTCACCATGCCAGAGCGCCAATTTCAGGAACCCCATCACATTCCAATTTCCAGTTTTCTCAAATATTCCAACAAGCTTGTTATCATCAAGAATGGTACTATCGATCGCTGAAACCAGTGAGATCTTGTTGAGAGGATGACTCATCCTTGACAATTTTCCATACCAATAAATCATCACCCATTTCCAAATAATTCTTTTGAATGGTTCGATAGACATCTTCGAGTATGGGCAATTGTTCTGGAGCTGATAGTTTACTGTCATGATTGTACCACACCTCTCGTTCTTCACCGGTGGTGTCATGTTGGAGAATGACTTTTCCGAGAGACCACCAATGTCCTGACACTGGTCTTCGTTCTTTAGAGTATCTTCTAGAGAGAAATGGAAGACAACACGTTGCATGACCGTACGAATATTGTTGTAAATTACAGAGTAAACCAATAACTGTAGGATTTGATAAATCCCAAATATCTTCAGCATGAATATTATTTCGAAGTGAGCTCAGTTTCACACTAACAAGGCTTAAATTCTTTTTTCTCAAAATCATTTCAACAACTTCATATGAATAATTTCCAAAACTTCCAAAAAACAAAACTTTTCTCTTGTGAAAATTCTTCATCGTTTTCTTTTTGAGCCATATGCTGAATCGTGATGAGCTTTCGATACTACCATAATATAATTGTTTCTCATTTTCAAATATTGAGTCAGCAATATGATCAAACTCTTGAGTCGATGCACGATCTTGTAATAAGTTATTAATAGAATGTTTGGCACAAAATTGTCTTTTTTGTTTTTCATGAATGAGAGTAGCTCCCGATTTCAGCAAAGGTGCATAATGTTTACTCTTTAGCATTGAGGAATCCCTAAATCGTGAATCTCCGAGAGGTCTATGAGTAGGTATTCTCGCTCCGTCCAATAAGGAGGAATAATTGAACGTGTTCAATTTATCATCACCACTCGTAACATTCTTTTGATAGAGTCCATCTTCCAATGTCGTTGCTGGAACTATCAGAGGAGCATCCGATGATTGAGAATGAACGGTAACAGGAGAATCGGAACCTTCCAAGGTTGTTGTTGATGTTTTGAGCATTTTTTTTAATATTTAAATTATTTGAAGAACGAATCCCAACGAACGGCTAACAAAATTAAGGTTTCTAATTTGTGGTGAATGTTTACAAGTTCCATTTTCACACGAGCGTTCGAAGGAATGAATGCATGAATATTCTGTCTGAATGAGGATACGTGTTTTATCAACATTATTCCAAATTAAAGAGAAAGGTTGAGAAGTGACACATATTCTAGAGTGGTGTCTGGACAAGACGGAATGGAACGTACATGCTGTGAGTGGTTGTCTGTGAATTTTGGTGTCGATGGAAAACCTTGCTTGATGTAGGGGAGTAAGGGATAAATCTCAATCTTCTCATTCACTTGTTCAATCCAAGTCGAGTAGGGCGATTTAGTCAAATTGGCAATTATTTGAATTCGGTGTGACAGTTCCAAATAATGAATAAAGAGTTTGAAAGGAACTGGACTGTTGTTGTTGACAATGTGAAAAGTATTAAATGTGGAGGAATTGCTAGAGGCAATGTCAATAATGGTATTGCAAAGGTAATCCACAGGAACAAGGCTCAGTTTTTCATTGGTGTCTGGATATTGCTTCAACTGAACGATGGATTTGATAAATTTTGTGAACCAATCATTTGCATTTGAGATTCCGGTTTGGGTTGACCAGCTGCAGAGCCCAAGTCTATAAATTTTAAATGTCTTGAATCCTTTTACGGCTGCTTGCTGTAAAAGTTTTTCACTCACCCATTTGGTTTGTGAATAGCCATCTGAATTGACAACGCCACTCTCTTTGAAGGTGTCTCCTATTGAATCATTCTCTGTCAAAATTGGATTTTTGTTGAGAAGATCGCCAAACACGCTAATGGTTGATATATGATGCAAATATATCTCAATGGGAGATTGTGAAATGAACCTCAACAAATGCTTCACAGAGTTCACATTCGAATTCTTCAAATCTGAATACGATTTTGAAAACTCTACCTGAGCTGCCACGTGATAAATGCTTGTGACTTGGTTCAATAGTAATTCATACGCACTTGAATCCTTAAGAGCAAATTTATCTTTTGAAATGTCTCCACACAGAATTTTGACATTGGATAAATCTGGTTTTAACTGTAAATTTGACAAACCTGTTACTAATCGATCCTTGGCTTCAGACTCTGAACCTCCTCTTACAATGCAATAAATGGTACAATTAGGAAAACGGTAACATAACTTATCCAATAAATGGCTCCCAACAAATCCTGTCGCTCCAGTTAGTAAGATGATCTGGCCTTCTCTCTTTTCTTTTTCGTGAAATTGAATCGATTCGTCCAAAATTAAATCATTCTCAACTTCTAAAAAGAGGGTTTGATTCTTGTGTGTGGTGAAATGGTGCATTAGCTTGTTAGAAGAGCCTATCGATAAGACTTGACAAACAGTTGATAAAGGTTGATGAATCAATATATTGATTGGAATTTGTGAGATGTTAAATAATCTTTGAACGGCAAACAATAACTTGACAGCTTTCTGTGTGTCAACCATAAGTATTGGATTTCGATAACAAAGAGCACTTGTTTAAAACTTACCATGGATGATCCTCCAAGTTCAGTAAAGCTTTTGTTAATGTCCAAGTCGTCTGTTGTTTCTAAAATGTTCTTACATAGAGTTATAAAGTTTTTCTCCACGTCATCATCTGTGAACAAAGCTACTACTGGGTCATTCGAATGAGCAGAATAACATTCCTCTATACTTTTTTCATGTTTCTTGTAAATATTAAATCTAGAAACCTTGCCACTGGGAGTGAGTAAATTATTTTCAATTGTCCACTCGTCACAATCAAATATTAAATCTCTCGGAATTTCGAAATGTCTAAAGTTATGTAGCTTTGCAATTTGATGCATTGCTTTTAGAATTTGCTTCTTATTGTTACAATTGCTTTGAACAGTTCTTACTATTGCAACAATATATTCTCGACTACTATCTCCATAGATACAACAGCTCTTAATACCGTCAATTTGTTCATAAACATTCTCTAACTTTGTGGGACTAACAAATTCAGAAATTGCCAGCTTGAAAATGTTTTTTCTACATGAGAATAATATAAATATGATCTATGACAACATTTAGCCACATACCGTCTATCAATTATTTTGATTGAATTATTGTCAGGGTTCAGCTCAACAATATCTCCAGTGATATAATATCCATCATCAGTGAATGATTCATTTGACTCCTTTTCATTGTTAAAATATCCAGGAATGGTATATGAGGTCTGTCAATGAGTTCAGGTAGAGTTTAAAAGATGTTCAGAGTTGTCCTATCACTTTCTACCTACCTTAACAAGCAACTCTCCTCTTGGAAAAGGAATATCTGTTTTGAAGTAACCCATCTCTGGCACATCTACGAGTCTAAATTTGACATCCGGGTTAATGACTCCGTTTGTTGCAATTCCACCACATTCAGAGGCACCATATCCTTCCACAACTGGTAGCTGTAGGATATTCTTAATGAATTGGAATAATTCAGGAGCAACACTTGCTCCTCCAATACCAACCATTTTTAACCTTCGGCCAAACAGTCTGGTATACTTTTTAGCAAGGTCTTTTATCTGTTGCTCATCTCCTTTCTGTTGAAGTTCCAACAATTCAGAATGATATTCATTGTAAATTGAGTTGAAAATACTGGGAGGTGTAACAATTCCTGTTGGATTAGTTTTAATCAAATCTTCAAACAAATAGATTCCTCTTCTGCAGTAAACCACTCTGCCGCCTTTTAGGAAGGCTCCCCATGTCGTAACTCTATCACTTCCAAGGGCTTGTGGGCTGTATGAGGCTTCTACATCCAATAATTCATGTGAAATCTGTTTTTCAATATCCACCCTCCAATGTTCATTTGTGACAATACAACCTTTTGCTTTAGAGGAAGAGCCCGATGTAAATATAAGAGAATTAATTCTTTTAGAATATTGTTCCGTCTGTTCAGGCTGTTTCTCACCACTATTTGGGTCATTTGAGTATCTGTATAATTGAGAGTTTTCTTTAACTATTATTGGTGTTGATAATTGAATTCCTAACAAGGTCTTTGCATTTGGATCTGTGATGCAAACATTTTGACCTGCTTCAACAATTTCTGATAAAAATCTTGTTTCAATATCATCACATGTATCGCTCGAAACAGTGAGCCTGTCCAATGATATCAAAATAAATTTACCATCTCTGTTTCCTAAATTCGTAATGAGATTGTAATATTTGTCATACAGCTTTCCGTCACATACAATGCATTTTACGGAAGCCGTACGAATGATGCTTTCCAACTCATCATCAGAACGCGTACATTGAAGACCTATACTTATGAATCCATTCAATACACACATCAAATCAACCATGGAATATTCGTATCTGTTCTCGTCAGTACTAATTGCTATTGCTACTTGCTGGTCATCCGAATCTTTAAGGATTCCCGCATTCTTCAAAACGTCAGCAATTCCAATAGAGCAGTAAATAATCTCGTTTCGGAATTCTTCGTAAGTTTTGAATGAAAAATCTCCGTCCTTATTTCTGGTACCGACAGAGGGTCTTTGTGAAAATGTTCTGAAAATATTGTTCACAAATGTGTGAAGACTTGGTGCATTTAAAATGTTCAACTTCATGAATACTACATCATTATACTCTACAATGTAAGGATATCCAAAAAAGGGATCTATCTCTTTTGCTTTCTGAAATATTTCATCGCTATCTTGAGATATGACTGTGTCATTGTTAATGTCAAACTCTATAGGTGACGAGAAATATCTTTTTTCAATTTGTTTCATCCATCGATAGCAATGCTCACACTTTGTAGCGGTCTTCTCTGAGCTAGATATACATCGATATCGTGCAGCTCCTTCTCCTTTCGCTCCACTTTGAATAATAACCTCGCACATTCCGCATCGATCCTCCCACAGATTATTTCCGAATCGATCTGTAATTTTTCCAGAATTAAATTCCACAACTCCATTCCTTTCTGAAGAATCATACGATGCACTATATGCCACTTGCCATGGAATGGACAGGTCTCCAATACGTTCTTTCCAGTGATCCACTTTTTTCTCTAGTTCTCTGAGCTGCTCACTAAATTGCTGATTGAGCTCTGTAAATCGATTCATTTTGGGATGCTCCTCTAAATCCGACAATTTGAATTGTTGTTCCATAATAAATGTTTTATACTCTCGTATTTGTTTCCGAAAATGATCAATCACTAATGTACACGGATCATCACAATTCCGATTTGAAGTCATTTGCTCTTCCAGCTCAAGTTTCGTAAATAATTGATTCATACTCTGAATCTTTAATTCCTTTTCTTCCAAATACTTCTTTTGAGCAATTAAAAACTCATCTGTCCAAGCCTCACTCTCCTGAACAAAGACTTGTCTCACATGATTGCCCAATTTTAAAACTCGGATCAGATCATGAAATAATCGCAAGCCTTGTTCTCCTTCCTTCCGAATGCGTTCATAGAATACTCTTAAAAATTCAAATTCATTCAACACTTGCTCAATATTCAAAGTTGCATCATCATCGCCACCATGGTGAGAGGATGGAGAGAGGAGGGGATCATTCATCTAAAGTAGTTGTTGTGCGTCTTTTTTTTTGCAAGAATGAGATTATTTTGGAATCAACGAGTTCATCATGTTTGTTAAATTATGTGATTTACTGAACAATCTAAAAAGTTGTTGAGATATTTGCCAAGAGAATTCTCGTTTTTCAACTGTTAAAGTTGTTTTGCATAATTCCTAATGTACATTGTTGGATGTTGTTCTGAGAGAGTTGTTTTCTATAAGAGTTCAAAAACCTATGAGGTTCGGGTCATGCGTCAACTGTCATTCTTTTTTCATCTTTAAAAAAATGATGAAACAACGGCCCACAACATCGATCATTTCAGTGGGAAAGCCTTCGCTACCACTGCTGTTATTGGCCATCACGTTTACCCTCTTCTTTACCATCACTTTTACTTCCGCTCAAAACATGGGATGTTCTTCCGATAGAGACTGTCTTTCAGGATACAAGTGTGTCAAAATTTCAAAACCATCAACTATTGAAAAGTATAGCGTGTGTTTACGTTCTCAAGACGATGATGATTCTACTTCTTCAATTGTTAGAGATTTAAATTCTAAAGCAAACAAAATTAATGAAATGAAAGACAAGCCATTGAATGCCATTGTTTTGGAAGAGAAGGAATCAAGTGCTACAGAGTCGATCGTGTTGGATGCTTCTACTCAACAAGCTTCTACAACCTCTGCAACTACTACTACAACTGCTACATCGAGCTCTCAACCTTCGGTGGATAAATTCAGTGCAGTCAACAATGACGTTGGAATTGGAAGTCAAAATGCTGAAAATGCGGAAGAACGTGACGAAGAGGAAAATGAAGATAATGAAGAAGACAATGAGGAAAACGAAGAAGATGAAGAAAATGAGGACGATGAAGAAGACAATGAAGAAGACGATGAAGACGAAGAGGACGATGAAGAAGAAGAGTAAATAATTGTTGGCTTACCTCAGAATAATAATCACTGAGGTCATCATTTCATGAGATTCCACTCGAGCTGTATTTTAGCAATTAATCATTTTTGAATGAGCACTATTTATTAGTAATTTTACCAAATAAACTAATAGAAAGTGTCACAATCATTAGAGTTTTGAAATTACTACTTTCGCAAGAGCCTAGATTTTAGAGATTCCAAAATGGTTGTTCAAAGATTGAGATAGAGGATTGATCAGAATGGTTGTTGTACACTACAGGTATTCATCGTCATGCTGTTGAGAGGATTTTTCTAAAAACTTTCTTGTCAAAGAGGATAGGTCTTTCAATTTTTCTGAGAGTTGGGATGACGAGCTTGGGGTGGTCACCATTGAAGGTTCTTTGATAGGAGGTTTCGGCGAAGCTTTGGGAGAGGTTAAATTATTGGAGATGGACAGATATTCACGGGGAATTATTGAGCTAGATTTAACATCAATTCCTGATGGAGGTTGAATGGGCTGAGCTCTCTCTTTCTTTCTACGATTTTCAAGCATTTCCTCTTGATGTCGAATCGTTAATAACAAAGAGGATCGTTCCTTTTTCAATTGCTTAATTTCTTCTTCCTTCGCTGCAAGTTTCATCTCGTAATAGTCAAACTTCTCCTTATCTTCTTTTTGTCGACTTTCTTGTTCTGCTTGTAACAGTCGTTCATAGTGTCGAAGTTTGTACGTAATTTTTGCGTTTTCACTCTTTGATTCGTTGAGTTCAATTTCAAGTCGTGTAAGTTCCTCATCTTTTAGTCTAATTGCGTTGAAAACCATGTTGTTCTTTTCTCGATCTGATTGTTGTTGGTACTCGGTTAGTTTGGCTTTTAAGGTCTTGACAACTGAGAGTTCATTTGCAATTGTTTGTTCAGCTCTTACTAAAGAAAGGTTTAGTTTTTCTACTTCAGAACATTTCATTTCAAAATCTTTTCTTACAACCTCAAGTTCCTTATTGAGCTCGTCAAATTTTCGTTGAGTTTCGTCTTGTTTTGTTTTTTCTGAAAATTGTCAATTTGATATCATTGTGTTGCAAAGGCATTAAAAACTTACGTTGTTCTTCAATCATGTTGCGATCGTCTTTAAGAGTTTTGATATCTTGTTCATATTTTCGTTTCATAAATTCTCGCTCTCGATTCAGTCGATCAATTTCTTTCATGTATTTTGTGACGTCCACTTTCTTCATTTGTTCCTCCATATAATGAACAGATGCTTTCAAATCCTTTTCTCTATGTTTTGAAAGGGTTAACTCGTATTTTAACTGCTTTATATCTTTTTCATATTCCGTCTCTTGTTGCTGAAACTCTTTTTTAGCATTTTCCAATTCCATCTCTCTCATTTTCATCTGTATTAAAAGGGCATAAACTTTTTGACGCCATTTGTTAATGAGTGAAATTTGAAGTGAATGCTTTCCTTTCCTTAATATGTCCTCTTTCGACTCTTTTGCTTTTGAGCTGTTATTAAATTCGTTAATCTCATTATTTTGTATTTCAATAATTTCTTCAAGAGCAGCAATTCTCATGGATAAAAATTCAACAGAGTTTTCTCTTCCTCCTGACGTTGTGACACCTTTGGGATTAATCACTTCACTAGTAGGCATGCCATCCTCGTTTAAATATGGCGACGAATAAGTATAACCCAAATTGCGAATGTCCGAATCTTCATTTATATCTTTTCTAATAAATTTTCGCTCTAACTCGTTGTTTTGAAAGGAGGCCGAAAATTGAGGAGATTTGCTCGAAGACGAGGAAGGAAGTGACAAGGGTGTTGTAGAGGGATGTTGAGCAATTTCTTTTTGTTTAATTCGCTCTCTAAATTGCCCAATATCTCGAAGTTTTTGTTTTTCTTGTTCTATTGAGAATCCTAGTTGTTCTTTATATACATAGTTATCAGGAAATTGGCCAATTATATGGTCGTTTTCATTAAAATCAGAAAACGTTGAATGATATGGTATCGTTGTGTCTGTATGGTGATGGGGAGGGAGTCCAATGTTCTGCTTCAAGTAATGGGCTTCTCCCATCCATCCTTGAAAGGAGTGAGGTGAAATGGTTGTTGAAGAGGTCGGAACACTCAAAGGTGATGATCGATTCAATAATTGTTGTTGCATTCCGAGAGATGATTTTTCATTCCATCCGTTTCCTAATATTGAACTTGAAAATCCATTATTATTATTTTGATTATTATTAATGTTATTACTACTCTCATAGGATGTATGGTTGTTGTTGTTGTTGTTGAGAGATGAAGAGGAAAGGTGTTGTTTCATCCGTCTTGTTTTTTTAAGATGAAAATTTTGAACGAAAATGTAAACATGGGCGCGGTTTGGTTTTGAAAAAGGAGGGAAAATTTGATCTTGTGTGGTATAGAATTCTAATTGGGTTTTGGGATTAGACTGCATGATGATGTTGTTGTTCTGAACAAGCGAAAATCGTTGGAGTCATCATTGTGATTCAAACTAGAGAGAACTATGTTTATTTCTTCTTCTTTCCTCCTTTTGATTTTTGTTTGGAGCCACCTCCTGATTTGGCAGCAGCAGTGGATGTTGTGGTAGCGGAAGAAGATGCAGCTCCCGATGTTGACGATGAAGCTTCTTCCTTGCTGGCCAATCTTGTTTGAAGATTTGGAATCAATGAAGCAATATGAATCAATAAATCTTGTTTTGTTTTCCATTGAAGTTGAGGAACGTGATCTTTTTTCAACAGAACTCTCACTCTTCCAAATTCAAAAGGTTCTTGAGGGTGTCGTTTTGTTGGCTTTGCACATATGATGACAATGTGTTACATTGTATTTTGAATGTCATGATAATTCCAATCCATATTGTTATTCATCAAAATGAAATTCACAAAATTCGGAGTGAATCATCACAAAAATTTTCAGAATATATTGATCCACATGTGATTTCAATCCGACAACAACATATTAACCAATCCATCAACCCAAATATATACACTCATGATGCAAAATCCTACCTCAAATTCATACGGAATTTTCAAATATTCACAAATATCAACAATCTCTGAAGCCTTCGGATTCTCCACACATTTATCCTTTGGAATCCTTCGTCCTTCACTCAATGATTTATTCTTATCAATATAAACAGGGTATATAATCTGAGTTCTCTTTACCGATTCGGGTGGTGGACTCGATGCTGAAGAAGGCTTTTGTTGTTTGCTCATTTTATTTTATTATTGTTATTATAATAATCATGAATGATCGTTACAACAATGAAAAGCCTCTTCATCATTGTTTGCCTTTGATGACGCAACACCAAAAAATATGCAATAATCGAGAGAGAGAGCAACAACATTCTCTCAACAACAGTAGAAACACTTTCCTGTCAAAAATTGAGTCGTGTTATATTCTGCTGGCTCGGGAGAGTATTATTCTAGAGTATTTGCAAGTATAACTTTTAGTATTGAAAAAAGGACATGGATTTGGATGAAAAGATGGACCCGAATAGTGGTTACATGGAACAAGATGGATTAATTTTGAGAGTTGATGATGTCGATCGTGATCACGGAACAATGACACAATCGGAAGTACGAAATAATGAAAAACCATTGCTGCGAAGAATTACTTTAAAGTGTTCACCATGGAAGATGATACGAAGTACCTTTTTGAAATTGATTCTCGTAGTGATTGTGTATTTGTGTTTACATTATTTTGTAAATATTGAGGATATCAATGACACGTCGTTGGGTGAGAACACACACAATGATGATGATGGTTATTATGGTTTCTTGCAAAAAAGGATGTCACTTCTCTCTATATCATTGATCATTCTCTTCTTTTATGTTATGTATTGCATGTTAACAAGTGTTGTGGAGGAGTCAATGACTATTTTACGAGGAAAAGGAATTCAACTCGAAAAGAAAGTTTTTTACGGCTCTAAAACTCGGCGATTGTTTATTCCAATGAATGACGTAAAATTTGTAGCAATCAATGAAGGATTTCACATTGATTGCGTAATTTATTATTTTACCATAGTACTGACACGACCATATGATGGAAAGCTATTAATTTTACCGTTTGACACATGGTATCCTAGACTAAAATTATTGAAAGTAATTTATTTGAAGTCTAAAGAATTCATAAACTCGCGAGGTCTTCAATAATATGAGTGTCTCTTGACTGTCTTCATATTCAGCTATTACGGTGATGTAATGGAACTTAATAATTGAACATTGAATTAAGAAGCTGATTATATCACTCGCATCATTCGAAAATTGCTCTTTCACCTTGAAATTTGTTTGGATTATTACCAAAATGGAATAAACATGTAAGCCGTACTTTTACATTCATGTTTGTTTGGCACTAAATACTTGGTTTTAACCACATCATGTTGCCGGCAACATGATTCCTTCACAAAGACTAATTAAAACAATTCTCCAAAAAAAAAAAAGCAAGACATAACAAAACATTGCTCCGCTGCCGGGAATCGAACCCGGATCTCAAGGGTGAGAGCCTTGTGTCCTAACCATTAGACTACAGCGGATTACATTTATCTGATGATTGTTTAACTATTAAAAATTAGACGAGGTTGAATTTATAATAATAAAATTATTATATTTTGTCGATCAAGCGTATATGATGATACACTAAATATACATTCGAATGTCATGATTGAAATGACCAGCAACAATTAGCTCTCCTGTCCTTTCATTGACGCAACATGAGATGATATCACAGATGTGTTCTTTAACAAACTCTCCATTCCCTGTAAATACCACAATTTTCCCCTTCTCCCTCGTATGAGAACAAACAATAAAATTCCCATCCTCATAATCATTGATCAACTCTACCACGTTCATCAAATGTTGGTCTTTTCCAAACGTCAAAACCAGTTCCCAACTACCATCCTCTTGTTCCCTTAACTTGTAACACGTTTTATCATCACAGGCAACAAGAACGTCACTTCTTGATGCAAATTCAAAACAGTAAATGCTTTTTGATGTTGGAAAGTTCAAAGTTTAAGATTTCCCAATTTTTGGCCATCCTCTGAACGAATCATCCAAATTTCATCATATTTGCAAGTATAAAGGACATTTTCCGAAGGACATTGAGCGTATTTCATTGTTAATGAACATGCATTGTCCAAGTAGTCCGTGTGCCACAAGAAGGAAATATTATTGTCTTCAATTAAATCTCTTAACCTGTATTTTCGCATCGTGCATTCAAACAAAATGATCAAAAATGGAATAATTCTGACATTGACGTTTTTTTGAATGATCAACATTTTGGCTCCTCTTCCACACAAATATAATAAGCAAGTTGTGGCAATTCAACATCTTTCAAATGCTGTTTCGTGTTCAAATCAATAACGCTTAGAAATTTCTTCTCTTTCTCTGAATTTCCGACCAAAATACATTATGGACATACGAAATTTTTATGACAAAGGAAGAAACTGTATCTGCCTGTTCGATCCTGTTCTTATTTTGCTTGAAAGGATTTTCGACTCTTCTTTCTCATACGTTCACATAATTTATGAAATAGAAATCATGATTGGTTCTTCTTGTTCTTCGGAATAAGGAGTAGCTCCAACCACTTGGTCACGTTCAATACAACGATAAAGAGGACGAGCCATTAATTCAATGATCGCTGGGTTGTCGTTGTTTTTGGCTCATTTTTTTTTGTAAATTTTTTTAAATTTCAAATTTCAAATTGATTCAAGTGACAGATGAACATTGGTCAGTTGAACAAACCCATAATATTGATAAAGTCAACGAATTGTTGAAGCTACAAGCATGGAAGATATTCAGCATCTCCAAGTAACCTTACTGCAAACAACAAAATAACCAACAAAAAATTTATGGTAATTGAATCAATGGTTGCTGTGAATCATGATCTTTTTGATCATTTTGACAACAAGGTCGAAATTCTTTGAAAGAGATGATTCTCGACGTGCTTTTCAAACAAGATGACAACATTAGAAGAGAATTGTTAAATTGTTTCGTTTGTTCAATGAATTAATTGTTTCAATTAAACAATGAGGATTTATTTTAAAGTCAACACCGAGTCAACTCGACTTAAAACAAGAAAGCAAATAAGGCAAGTAAGGCCATAATCATTCCAATCATACCAGTCCAACCATTTCTTGCAGCATTATTGCTCAAATTTGAAGAGTTCTCACTGGAACCTACAGAAGGATCCCAAACAAAGTTATTCACTCTCTCAGTGATGGACATGTAAAATCTTGCCAAAGCAGCATTTGAATCTACCTCATCTCTCAATGAGCTCTCTCCATCTTGAGATGGTTGGAATGCAATGTATTTTGTGGAAACGAATTTACCTCTTGTGATCACAGTTGGAGCAGAAGAATTCCATCTAGAAATGAAATTTTGGAATGAGAAGAAAGTCTTTGGAATGTTTGCAATCTGCCCTCCCAATTGAGTAGAAACATCATCATCGAATTGTGACACTTGTTGATCATCGGAGGAGTCGTCTGGCTTTTCGACATTATCGCCACCAAAGATGGATCTTTGAGTTGGTTGCATTGGTTTTTCACGACGATTTCCTCTGTAAGCAACGATAGCTCCCAAAGCAATCAATGAATCACTTGCTTGATAATTAATATCATTCACTTCCAAAGTGAGTTTGAAAGAGCTTGGATTTAACACTTGAACAACACTAGTTCTGTTCACCAACTTGGGAGAAGTAAAAGAAATGACATCTGAAGTGACCATGGCACTCAATTTCAATGAGCAGAATTGAGGAATTTGAGTCGAAACCACAGCTTGATACACATAGGAAGTATTTGCATCATTCAATGGAGTTCTTGTCAATGACTCGACGTTCCAAGTGTATTGACCCAATCGGAATGATCTCACCACAGTGTCATTACCAGGTTGAAAACCTTCAACACCATTTCTATCACGATATTCCAAAATTTCATCCAATCCAAAGCTAGATCCCAATTGAACAGCAAATTCCTTGTCTCTCTTGTCACCTGGCATGTTGATTTTCACAACAGTCTTTCCTTTCATACCAAAGATTGGGAATTTGGCAACCGAAGCAAAGAATTCAATTTCACTCACAGCTCCAATCGCAGTGTCATTTCTTCGATCAATACAACCAGCTTTGGTACTGAATCGAATACGTTTACCTCCGTCATCACGGTCGACTTCGATTTTACGTTTGCATGAGGTAGAGGCGAGTTTGTTGAAGAGAGAGGTATTCACTTCTAAAGCGTTTGAGAACATGACCATCATCATCATGAGGAGAGCCACGAGGAGAGTGGCAGAGATGCGTGTGGACATCATCTTTTGATTGTTGAACAGGTAATTAATTGTTGTTTTTTTGTTGATTGGAATGAACTAGACTTGTCATCATCGCATTTATAAGAATCTTGAGTTGGCAGGTGACATTGAAGAGTTCTCAAGGGCTGAACAACATGTGTTCAGGAAAGGAACTGTAACGTTGAATGTTTGACAAGTAAAGGGAAAAGAACACATTTATGACCAAAGTAAAAGGAAGACACCAGATGATTGTTCTATTTCATGCGACGATGGGCGTGATCTTCTAATATCCAGCTCGAGTTCAGGAACGAACTATTCACAGTAAAGAGAATGTTTGTCTTAATCACTGTGGCTGGTCGCGAATGTTAGATGTAAGGGAAGCCTTCCCTTTTCATGATTGACTGGTTCACTCATAATGCAAATAAAAGGACATTATTTATTTTCAACAGTTCGCATTTAATTGAATACATGGTGCCACAGAAAATCATCCAAACAATGAATATTGTCAACACCAATGCCAGTATTGAGCTCCTTACTATTGTTTGTCAGACATAAAATTGTACAGTAATGATAAAAAAATTCCCATTACTCTTCAAAGATAGATATTCAACTACGTACATTTCTTTGGCTGACATTTTAGTCAATCCAACTCCGATAGCATCCTCTTTTCCTTCCACCATTATTGCAACAATTTTATCCTTGTCCACAGACATGTCCAATTTAGCTCCTGGTGATGTCAATCCACGACACATGATATTTGCTCCACTCAAAATAAATTTCACAGCTCCTCTATCGACTTGGAATTGAGGCAACATTTGTGGATCTAAATTTCAAATATTGAATTTGTGTTAGAAATGCAAATGTTTCAACAAGACTTGAATTTCTCATCTTTCAAAAACGTACATTGATGTAATACTTTAAGATGAGGGTAGAATGGGCCATCATGAATGGTGAAAAACTTTGGCTCATTGTTTGAAATGTAAATCTTAACTTGTCCGGGGCTGTCAATTCCAAAATTTAACGAAAATATTATTCATCATTTCATCACATGAATTGTTGAAGTTATTATTGTGAGTGATCATCGGAATTATTAGGAATCATCCATTGATTGATTGAAATAATCCAAGCCATGACGTATCCAATTGAGCGGAGCGCAATATGTAGCCAAAGTAATATTATTGAACAATCATTGTTTTCCAATATTTGATGAATATTCATGATGGTGATGATTATTCCAAAATCATTAATCCTCATTCTAAAAAACAATTTCAGATTCATACTTTTCAAAACGTACCATTTGGCAACAACAAGAGGAACCTTCTTTGGAATAATATCTTCAAGGCTTTCTCCGAGCATTGGATATTGTTCTTCAATCGATTTTCTAATACCTCTCTCTACGGAACTCTTCAATTTGGTAATGCTTCCAACTTCCTCCTTGGTCCACCTAATTTCAACAGGTGTGGATCCAATGGTCCGTGCGATGATGATGCAACATTTAAAAATTTATTCCTTTTCTTCGTCACTTACTTTTTGAACATTTTTTTGTTTAATGAATCCCAAAAGATTTACATCCAAACAACATTGCTTCATCCACCATGAGTCGTTGATCCTCAGTTGAAACAAGTATGACAATTATATTCAGCAAGCCTTTCATGCCTCCAGAAGAATCCAATTTCAACATGATAATCTCAACAATTTCTTAAGTAATTGGTCATTTCAGGTAATTTCTTCAGTTTTAAGATATTCTTCTTTAGAAGTTGAATAGTTATGAAAACCTGTCCGAGCTGTCAATGGCTGAAGACTTGTCACTCCTTCAGTTGAATAGCCTTTGAAAAAGATCAAGCGCAACCTTCAAAACTCCAAT